TATTATCTCTTATGGATGCGTTGACTAGCTCTCGGAAAACGCAAGATCCTACCTCTTCCCTTAGTTGATGCCAGCCGCACTATCCAAAACAACACAAGCCTTACCAGAAATCAACGATGACAACATCTTCCTACTTCGCCACGATCGAGGTTCTTTATATGACACTTCAGGCGCTTGTTGAGAGCCTTGATGTCCTCATCTGATGGTTGCTGCGCCTGAGCGGGACGGACAGATCGAATGACGCCTCTGGTTGGCATGTTGATGCGATGTACGCTCCGCGGGCGCGCTGCTCTGTGTACTGTTGCGCGCGGTCGGGTGCCCTAACGTCCACAAGTTTGATCTTTCCTCCTTGTCCTTTCTGCCTAAGGTTCAGAATTGGTTTGCTAGCGTCGATCGTGAGTGTACATCCATTAAAATCCAATTGAATTTCTGGTGTAAGGACAGACTTTGGTTTCGATCTAAACTCTGCCTTCTGGATCTTTTTCTCTTCAAGTAACGAGAACGCGGGTGTCCCAAGCATGAGAGTGTCATCTGTTTGCATGCCAACGATGCCGAAGATGCTGGTGTCGCTGTTTGTGATTAACAGGCATGGGTCGTACGTAGATGTTGCCATGTCCAGTTCCTTGCAATGGTGCCCATGATAGGTTGTCCACCAGTGGACTCCTGCCTCTGCGATTCCATACAGTGGCTTGATCACATGGAGTAGCGTGCCCCTCGGATATCGTGGTACCAGCTCAGTAGGAAGATGTGCGAGTATCGTCCTCTTCAGGGTTGTCTGCGCCTGGGGATACGCCTGCGTGATATCACGGAGCTCTATGTTCATTCCGCGTTGTACCATCTCGGGCGCCAGCGACATGATCAGGCGCTGGCTGCATCGCTGGATGGTTGGAGATTGCGTCAAGATAGCCTCTTTGCCGTGGTCCTGGTAGCCTTGGATAACCAGGCGGGATTTCTCATAGGGCTTGGTTGTCTTTCCCTTGACCTCACGTACCAGGCGTGACTTGAAGATCCGGATCTTGCTGTGTAGCCTCTCGTCGTATTGCTCAAACTTGAAGACTCCACGACCTACGAGGTCGCTGATCTCTTGGTCATCAGATGCTTCAAAGGGTGCGCCTGGTGTTGTGATAACTCCATCGTTACGTAGCTTGATAGCTAGCTCAAGATCGTCCTGCTCCTTCTTGGTGATGTACGCGTGCCCCTTCCGCTTGTTCTTTGATCCTGGAGGGCGGCCTCTCTTGCGTGGTTGCACTGCCGGTGGTACTGCTACCGGCTCATGCGGCTCATTCAGCGCGTGTGGCGCATCGGGGTCGCTCCAAAGATGGTCCGGTCTGTAGTATGGCTTGACGACAGTAGATCTGAATGTTGTTGGACCATTGACCATATCGACAGTAACGTTGTGGCCGTCTATACTGGCGATCTTGTACGGGCCATTCCAGCCATCACTCTCTCTCCATACTAAGACTTCACTCTGGAGTGGGAGCGCGAGCATGTCTGCAGTGGCTGGTCCATTGCGGGTGTTCAAGGCGTCTGCAACTTGGCGCTCTGCAGTAAGCTTGCGCAGGGCTTTCGTCGCCTTTTGAATAGCCTCGCTGCGCCTAACCATTGAAGGTGCCGGCGGCGACTCTGTAGTCATTCGTGGGTATGCTCCAAAGACTAGTAGAGTCGGGACTAGACCATCGGGTCCAGCGGTGTCATTGACAGCTTTCACGGCCATTTGAAGGATCGCTTCATCAGACATATCGTCTTGGAGCTCGTCATGGAGTATATCCCATGCTCGGCGAAGTTGTGCGTGGTATCTCTCAGTCTTGCCCACCGACCAGTGAGCCTCTGTAGGCACCTGCTTGCATGTAACTCCCATGATCTTTGCCTCAGCACGGAACTCTGCGCTTGCAAAGTTGGTGCCTGCATCATGTGTGATGATGTCTGGTGGTCCTTGATACGTGTCGATCCATAGCATCCGCAGTGCCTGCCATGTCTCCTTAGCTGAGATAGCGCTGAGGAATTTTGCGCCTTGGAAAGCAGTTGAAGAATCAACCACATGTAATACTGGCTTGCCGCTGAGATACATCACATCCACCAGGATCTCATAGTTGAAGTGGTGATCATCCTTCAGAGTGAATTTGAATCGGCGCGGCGCGGAGCTGTGGAGCTGGCAGTGGTGGCAGAATTCAGTGACCTCCTCTAGGGTTCTCTCTTCAAAGTCGTTATGGCCAGCGTCCTTTAAGAGTTTAACTAGTCGCGTGACAGCTGGGTGTCCAAACCGGCGATGGAGCCGTCTCAGCTCTGTCTCAGTGAGAAACACCGTTGCTCTCTCTCTCTTGTTGAGATGGAACCATGGGTGTCCCCATTTGCGTAGAACAGGGATGCGTATCTTGTCCTGAACAAGCTCATCTGTAGTGTTATTGAAGTAGACTTTTAAGCGGTCCATATCTGCAAGGCACAGCAAGAACGGTGTAGGCGCCTCGAGCACTTCGAAGTTGATCTTCCCAATCTCTGTAGAGACCTGCACTGTTCCAATAGACGCTGTAGCCTCGCCTTTTCCGAATTTGATAGATGCTTTCCCAGCTGTAGATGTGTCTATCTTAACTGTTGGATCTTCTCGTGTGAGTGCAAGATACTGCTCTTTGCCAACTGTAGATACGTTGGCAGCGCCTGTATCCGGGAGGATACCTTGGTACAGAGATCGTGTATAGCGGTCCTCGAGCAGAAACTGCGACGCTGGTGCTGACGGCGCGCCTCGACCGTATATGTCGTCGCCAGAAATGTGATGCAAGAACGCCTGGTCTGCAAGGCATTGCTCCTTGAAGAACTGCTGCTCAAAGTATTGTTGTTCGCCAGTGCCGTCGTCATTGTCGTCATCCTCGCAGTCTTCCTCCTCTTTCCAGCCTCTCTGGTTATACTGGCTGGTGTGCTCAATTCCTTCGTACTCTGCAAGGTGTACTGAGAAGTCCTTGGGTGGTGGCGCACCTGTAAAATACAGCATAGAGAAGAACTGCGCACGGGCAGTCTTGCGCTCTTCGTCTGTGTGGTTTGTGGACCAGCATCCTTCCTTCTGGCAGACAAAGCACTTCTTCTTCCAGCGTGGCTTGAATCCACGGCTACTGTCAAAGCTTTGTTCGCCTTTTTTGAAATGCGCCTCTAGTTCCGCCTCGGGACCCACCTCGGTTTCTTCCATTGCTGTTGTACCGGCGGTCTAAGTAGTACTGGTTACCTTGGTCTACCTCTGTGAAGTTGACAGAGGTAGTCATAGCGAGTGAGTTTTCAATCGAAGATCGTAGATCTCCAAATAGGACCTCGCATTCTAGAGACGGCCTGTAGAGCGCCATTGCGAACTCTTTAACGCCTCGACATGCTGTGATTACTGTGGTCCGGAGCGCATATTCTCCCATATACTGCTGCCCAAGCGCCCTCTGGCATAACTGGAGTTTGTCTAGCATAATGTCAAGGACCTCATGGAGTGTCTTGTCAGGATTCTCCCTATGGACTTTAGCAAAGGATGTCGTCGTCCAGTCTGCATAGTAGTGACTGTGGTTGACGTCCGTGTCGAAGTGGTTCTTAAGCTTCGTGTATACAGTCAAGAATGTATCTGTCCGCTGATCAACGAAGTGGAGGTAGTAGTCTTGCGCACGGCCTTCCAGGATCCGTGGAAAGACTGCATGGAATTGGTCTGGCTGGATGTCTACGTGATAGCAGATGCTGTAGAAGATCTTCAATTTGTCGTCTAGGAGGTCGTACGGCTTCCCTGTGTATTTCTTCTCACGATCCCACATCTTTGTAAAGACATTGATTGTCTTCGGATCTAGTTTCCCATTATTAAACTCGATTGGGGGAACTGCCTTGTATGGGTCTGTATCCCCTGAAGGTATAATTGGAGGGACGCTCGGTCCCTTTGGGCGTTGTGGGTATGCTGGCGTGTATTCGCGGAATCTGTCAAAGTTGTTGTACGTTAAGCGAGGTTGATGACTTTGCTGTCGCTGGTCCGCCTGGTGTCGCCCGTCTGCCTGTGGTGTCTGTTCAATTGTCTCTACAAGCGGATCTGCTAGTTGTTGGCTGACCTGGGTACGGGTGCGGGTCTCGTCTTGGACATCGGTTTGTTGATCCTCTGCGTCTTGGTCTCTTGCCCTTGCAGAGGTTTGGCTCTGCGCTCGACTCGCTGTCCCTACGTTTGTAGGTTGTACCGATCCCGTAGTGTGTCGTCCTAGTAGCCTCCGCTGTTGCAGCATATACGCCGCTGACCGCTCGTCGAAGGCAGTAGATTGGAACTGATCGTCCGGCCACTTCGGACAATCCTCCTTGTGCAGTAGCTTGGCCACAGCTTCGCTTGGCGGCATGTTAACACGGCCAGTGTACACGCCCTTAAAGCGGAGGATCCGCTTTAGTTCCTTAGTATACGTTGCATGCGCGCGCATAAACATAGCTTCAGTCCAGCCTTCAAAGTCCTGACAGAACTCACCAAAGAGCTCTGCGTCTGCTGTTGGCCGGTCTGTGTAGTCTGCGATCGCACGCGCAATGTACGTTGTTGCTGCAGTTCCGTCTACCTCGTCGTCTGGGGCTTCGATCTCATCGTCCCAGATCTTTGGATCAATGTGACGCCACTCTCTTGCCTTTAGGTTTGTGGTCCCTAGCAACTCCTCTCGTGTGAGTGTACAGCCTCCATTACTGCTTGCTGTTTCGCTCGCCATTTGTTGTTGACGCGTGCCGTGCTGGCTGCGTTCGCCAGGGATACGTCGGTTGTCGTAGATTGTTGACGTGTGCCTTGCTGGCTGCGTTCGCCAGGGACTCGTCGGTAGTCGTGGGTTGTACACGGGTCAATGGCGCGACCAAGTGGGGGTCGGTGCGTGTATGGACTGCGTCTGGGAACGCTCTGATACGGCTGGAACGGTCGGTCTCAAGCCGGATGAGACGCCTGATACAGCTAACAGTGAACTTAGCACAGATAACTCCGCCGCTGATATAGGCGATCTAGGGAACGCGCGGGGTTATAGGATCTGTCTCTTCTAACCTAACTGTCTGTGACTGCCATGCAATCACTGATCAGTGTTGGTAGGCCTTGTACGATCGTACGGGTGAATAACAACAACGAGGTTCTTCTGGTGACTGGTATTGGTATTGATCTTCTACGAACATAGCTGCTACGAAGGTACACCTAAGCTCTGCGCAAGGTGGGCCGAAGTCGGGCCGAAGTGTCAAGCAGCCGACGTCTCTACCGATACTCACGATTCGACATATATTGTACAACTCGCATTGCGTAGGCCTGACAACGACTTTCTTGTTTGCTAACGAGAGATTGATTACATTTTCAAAGGCTGTTTTGCAGTGTACATCGTATAAGGTGGAGAGACGTATACTGCATGGCATAGCCGGCGAAACGTATGGCAGTAGGTTAGAGAAATGGTTTGCGCAATGCAGACAGGTGTTAGGTTTAAGCTTACGGAATATTTATACTAGATGTGCTTTTAGAGAGTGGGGTTGAAAGATTCCGTAGAGGGGGGTAAGCATGTTGTGGAAGGTCTTTCGTCGCTTCTCTCGTTTGTCGTGAATATGCGGATACTCTCTACAGCGAAACGTTTCAACCAAATCCCTATATTCAACTGCTGTTTACTATACTTCACGGCCTGGAAGCCAGAGCACCGAACGGGAATCTGGAAAAGAAACAGGGAATGCTATAAATGGAGTTCGGGAGAAGAGAAGCGACAGCGGTTGTAAGCAGTTAGCACATGACCTCAGTAGTGATCTGCCAGACGACTGGTATTTCAGTCCTTCACCATGACTCGCATCACCGGATCATGTGAGCCATCACACCACCACGCTCTCCCCACCAAGCCAATGTCTAAACGCAGGAAATTCAGAATCGAGCCTCAGATGCAACTTCGGTCTCGGGATAATCAATGATTTAACGCCGTTCCTTGCGTGATCGCCGTTGTTTGCCTGGTTGCCTGCATGCACGTTTGGGAGGCGAATATGCGCCGCATCATCGGTTCGACCGGAAGAGCGCGGAATAGCCGGGATGGCAAGATAACAATGCAAGCAATGTGCAGCCCAGTATACAGAAACGGTGGAATGCGTAAGCTTAGAAGGAAGCACCCGTCTTTGTCAGCGCGGGAAGGTTATGGATGACGTCGTCATATACAACCACCGCGTGAGACAATATGCTCCAAATGCGTATTGTTCCAACATGGCAATTTTGCGAGTGCTTACTGACTTGGAAATAGTAGTTCCCACCTCCATAGGGGTCATCTCGCCGGTTGGTAATGCTTAACCCGTTAGATCTGTTTTGCAGTGGAGAAAATCCAGGTTTCTGGAAACATCCTACGCCTAGCAAGTGAGTATCGTACCCATTCCTCGCCCCGCTACACCCCTCATCATCCGATGATCCGTTCCACAGCAAGTAGAAAACTTGCCATTTGGAAAGATTCTCGATCCGCGTGATGCCTGGATGTTACATGAGAGACTCTCATCCGCAGCCATCCGCCCCACTCTAAAGCACAACGATAGGGTATCCCATGCTGTTCGACGTCATTCCCACAGGGAGGGAGGCGACAGGAACGAGTGGAAATCCACCTCTCCACATAGAACGCCGGAGGAACCGGGTGCCGATAAGGGAAGATGAGATGTCCGACTGGTTGGTTGGGAGGATGGTTCAATAGACGATAGTGGTATAAAGGGTAAGTTATGAGTGTATAAGACAGTTTAGTGAGATATCCAAACTGTTCCCAGCTGACATCCCTTTGAATCTGCTAATTACCTGTACTGTATCTTGTTGCATAGCGAGATAAGACAGTATAACACAACATGGACAAGATCAAGTCCACTTTTGCGAATCCGGTAGAGAAATGGAGAAGGAGGAATTCGGTGGAGCATACTAATAGATGGGTGGGCGAACATGACGGATACGACAATCGACCTTTGCCTAGGTTGACGTGGAAAGGGTTCTGGATGGGTATCTTGGTGTCGATGGGAGGTTTTGTCTTTGGGTATATTTTTCATTCACATCTTTCCCACCATGCCTATATCGGTTGCACTGTATGAGAATCTAACGCACAATCAGTTACGACACAGGTCAGATCTCGGGTTTCCTCAGCATGAAGGACTTCCTTCGCCGATTTGGTCAGAGACGTGCGGATGGAACACCATACTTTAACAATGTACGATCGGGCTTGATTGTCGCCTTGCTTTCTATAGGTACGCTCTTTGGTGCGTTGGTCGCTGCGCCAATCGCGGACTGGATAGGACGAAAACAGAGTATTATCCTGTGGTGTGGCATCTTCTCCATCGGAATCGTGGTGCAGATTGCGGCGACAGACAAGTGGTACGAGATCATGATGGGCCGTTTCGTTGCTGGTTTTGGCGTTGGAGCACTAAGCTTGCTCGTTCCCATGTATCAGGTATGGCCATGTAGTTTGCTGTAAATGCTACGACGCTGATGATACACAGGCTGAAACAGCACCCCGACACGTTCGTGGTGCCCTCATCTCGACTTACCAGCTCATGATCACGTTCGGAATCTTCCTCGCCGCAGTGTTCAATTATGCAGCCGAACTCCACCAATCTGGTAAAGCAGCATCCTGGCGGATCACCTTGGGCCTCTCCTTTGTACCTGCAGCTATTCTCGCAGTTGGAATCTTGGCCTTTTCGGAAACGCCGAGATTCAACTACCGCAGGGGGAAGATCGAGGAAGCAACCAAGACGATGTCGGAGGTGTATGGTGTACCAACGAACCACTACAGTATTCAGTTGGAGCTCGAAGAAATGAGGGTTAAGCTTGAGGCAGAGAGTAAGGTAGTTAACAACCCTATCCGGGAGTGGGTGGGTATGTGGATCGCGCCCAAGATGGCGTATCGATTGGCGATTGGGATGGGTTTACAGATGTTTCAGCAGTTGACCGGTGCAAACTACTTGTAAGTCTTATGATATATTTCAGAGATTGCGCTGACCAACTTGCAGCTTCTACTACGGTACCGTGGTTTTCGCGGGTACTGGTATTAAGAATTCGTTTGTTACGCAAATGATCTTGGTGCGTAGTCCAGTTCTGTGACTGCGCCTCATAGCTAATGACTCTAGAATGGCATTAATTTCGGTGTGACCTTTTACGGACTGTACATCGTCGAGCACTATGGTCGAAGAAAGTCGCTCATTGCCGGCTCCTGTTGGATGTTCATCTGTTTCTTGATCTTTGCTTCCGTCGGTCACTTTGCCCTTGATCGCGAGGATCCAGAAAGAACCGAGAAAGCTGCGACGGCCATGATTTGCTTCGCCTGCTTCTTCATATTCGGATTTGCGACAACCTGGGGCCCAATGATGTGAGTATCTCTCAGACCCTGTCAAGTGCATATGACTGATGTATCAACAGTTGGACCATCTGCGGCGAGCTCTACCCAAGTCGGTATCGTGCCAAGGCAATGGCTTTGTCAACTGCTAGTAACTGGCTATGGAATTTCCTTCTTGCTTTCTTCACACCTTTCATTACCGAAGCAATCGACTTCCGCTATGGCTATGTATTCGCCGGCACTAACATCCTCGGTGGTCTCATCGTGTATTTCTTCGTTATCGAAGGCAAGGGCCGCACACTGGAAGAGATCGATACCATGTACCTCATGGGCGTCAAGCCGTGGGAAAGCGCCAAATGGGTCGTGCCAAGTCTGGAGGAAATGAGTGGCGACATGAGGCAGAAGCTTGAGGCGGCGAACCCCGAGCTGGCCATTAAAGCAGAGTCGGATGGCGCTGTGTTGAACAGTTCGAGAGCAGATGAGAAAGAAAGTGATGAAGTCAGGCGGACTGAGGGTACGACGAATGGGAGTGGGGAAAGTCCGAGGACGAAGACCGAGATTGGCCCGTAGCTCTGCATCACTTTCTGGACGGCATGTGAGGGACTAATCTGCGGTGAGGTAGATTATCCCGCAAAATGTCTATTACTCGTATTGATTGTAGGATTTGAAAATGATATGTGTGATCTGTCGAATCTTGCTAGTAGTAGTGGTGCGTCGCAATCGGGGCCCCCGGGGGAAGGCGCAAGTCAGACATGTGACCCGACACATCCAGACCTCCTACTCTGTGTCGCCTCTTCATGGTTGTGAGTTCATGCAATGCGCTTGATTTGTAGGTCTTCTGAAGAATCCAGCGGCATCTTAGAGAATGCGGCCAAACGCGTGTCGTGGTGCCGCCCACTCGGACCCGGCCCCGCTACGCACCTTGAGGCTCTGCATCTTATCCTTCGATCTTCAACGATTGTAACGTCGTAAGTAAGCAAAATATTATCAGCCAGTTGTTCTAATACTGATAGATATGACACAGACATTGCGCCCGGTATGAGTTGGGAAGGTGACAGTGAGAAAACAAGGGAAACCCATGTTCCGTCAGCCATGTGCCTCATCACACCCCGCACCGAGATACACAACAGATCCCCATTCGGTGCTGACACCTGTCGCATAGACGTCGTGGCAGTGTCGAAAGTGATAGGAAGTGTCTGCCTGACCAATGTCTAGACAGCTCCAGGCCACCTGCGAGAGAGGCTATCTTTCAGCTTGACTGGCAGTGAGTTGGAATCAAGGTCGAGAACTTGAGAATCAGTTGAAGCCAAGGCTCACAATCAACACGTGATTCGGCCTGACGTAACTCCAAGACTCCATTTATTGTTGCCAAGCATTCTCAAAATCCACAACAAATCCGATTAAAATCTGTGTCAGCGCTAAAATCATGCTAGAATACACCTGCACGTGGTTCATGTGCGCGTAATGTTATCATAGCACAAGTCTGTGGACTTAATGGGGCTGTTGTGTGGGTGAACGAGCATTTGCCCTCACACGCCACTTAGGTACACTTAGCGTGCTGAGATCACCTAGCCGACTAGCCGCTATTTGCTCGAGCCGTGTCGCAATCAGGGCCGATTCGACCCAAAAACATCTGCTACCTCGAACATTGCTGTAGGGGATCGCGACTTTGGCGTCTGCACAACACAACAGCAATCTGCTTGCTAACATGAGAAATCCAGTGCATCATGGCGACGGCCTTTCTGGACACCAAACTCACCACATGGACACCGATCGTGGCGACAAGTTCGGCAAAGACGAGGATGATAGCCACGATAGCGGTCTAGGAGAACACTCCTCGAACGCGCCCTCGGCCCAAGCTGGTGTCAGGCGTATCGAAGCCGTCAGCAAGGCGTGGACAAAAACCTCACTCATCATCGCATATGTCACGTAGGCTCTCTCCATTGAATCCTACCCTACAGCTTCACAATCTAACACAGCTTCCAGCCTTCTCATCATCGCTAATGTCACTTCTCTTGAGATTCAGGTCACCAGTCTCATGGCGCCGTTTGCTACGAGTGCATTTTCGTCACACTCTCTAGTCTCCACCATCTACGTTGTGCAGGGCGTCGTCAGCGGTAACCCTCACTGCTTAATGCTTATGACCAGCTTCTGACCCTCACACAGCTGTCATCAAACCGCCAATGGGAAAGATTGCAGATGTCTTTGGACGTCTCGAATCATTCTCGATTACGGTCTTTCTCTATACGATTGGCTATATCATGCAGGCGGGCTCTAACAGTGTCAAAACATTCGCAGGCGCACAGATATTCTGGGCTGCGGGCTTCAATGGACTACAGGTCTTGCAACAGATCTTTGTAGCTGATACGACAGATCTATTGAATCGCGCTCTTTTCGCCACCCTGTTTGATGTACCCTTTCTCTGGACTACTTGGGCAGGACCGGAAGTCGGTAAGTCAATCTTGGCCAATACTACTTGGCGATGGGGATACGGGATCTGGGCCATCATTCTTCCAATCTGTTTCATTCCACTGGCAGTAAGCCTATTTATGAATCAGCAGCGGGCAAAGAAGTTAGGCTTTGAGGTTCCCAGCCCTTTCCGCGGCTTCAGTCTCCTTCAAATCCTTAAAAACCTTTGGTTGGATCTGGACGCTTTCGGACTGTTGTTGTTTGCTGCAGCCATCTCACTGATTCTACTTCCTCTCACCCTTGCTCCAAATGCAAATGGTGAGTGGAAAAATGGAAGCATGATCGCTATGCTCGTCATTGGTGGTGTGCTTCTAATAGCTTTCCCTTTCTGGGAAACCAGTAAGAAGTTAGCACCAAATGCCTTCTTTCCACCCGAGTTGTTCAAAGAGAAAACGATCATCGCAGGTGTCATGATAGCATTCTTCTACTTCAGTAAGTTTAGAGAGTCTCGAAAACATCATTATGTTGCACACGATGATTCGATACGATCACGATTGGAACCAAGTCCATACTAATTACTCGGCAGTGGCGTTCTACATGTCGGTTTTCCCATACTTCAACTCGTATCTCCAGATCGTGCAAGGCCAGTCCTTCGTCACCGCCGGCTATATCACCCGGGTCTTTACATTCAGTTCTACTGTCTCATCAATTGTGGTCTCGCTTTTGATCAAGTATACGGCACACTACAAATACTATGTCACGATAGGTGCGACCATCTACCTCCTGGGTATGGGCCTCATGCTGGTGTATCGCACACAAGACGCGTCTGTCGGCACCCTTGTTGGAACCCAAATTGTTATTGGCATTGGTGGCGGGTTCCTCAACGTACCAGTGCAGCTCGGTGTGCAGGCATCAGCTTCACATCAACAAGTTGCAGCCGTCACTACCGTTTGGCTCACACTGCTCGAAGTTGGTGGTGCGGTTGGATCGGCCATATCCGGTGCCATCTGGTCGACCTATGTGCCTGCAAAACTTCAGGAGTATCTCCCAGCTACGAATGCGGCTGACTGGGCAAAAATATACGGGGATCTGACTGTGTCTTCTAATTACACTACATACCCACTCGGATCTCCGGTACGGCTTGCTATCAACCAGGCTTACCAGGAGACTATGCGCTACCTCCTCATCGGAGCTCTTTGCTGTGCGGCACCAATCTTACCCCTGACGTTCGTCCTGAAGAACTACAAACTCGACCAGATGGATCAGAAGGTTGTTGGGAATGTTATCGGAAGTGCAGAGAAGAGAGAGAAGGGCAAGAGTTGGAGGTTTTGGAAGCGGTGATTGAACTGACGATTATCATTTTTCCATTCCAGTGAGCGGTAATGCATGAGAAGAACATGAGGTTTCACATAATACTTGCTTTTCAATAAAATCATAACCAGACCCAGAATTTATGTACATTCTTTGCTCTGGATACGTGTTGAAATTCCCACCGAATGTTGCACAAGGGCCAATGACGTCATCGTACCCGACACCTTCCACTTCCGCATGCGGCCGCAGAACTTGCCATTCTTCTCCCACGCACCAGCTGATACTATACTAAACAGACTCTTTGCGATGTGTACACATAGAACTTACAGCTATGATAGAGCAGCGCAAGCAAAGCTGTAAAAGTGGTCGCCTGTGCAGCACCGCCACCTCTGCTACGACCTGCCGTGCCATGATGTCTTCTTCGCTATCGATCAACGTTAACGCAACCTTGTCCATCTCAAAGAAAGACGATTTCATCTCTGTCACACAACTTCAAGATCTCTATTTCTGCGAAAACGACAAAGAGCTGCCCGGATCAAGATTAGTTGTGGATCTGTGGGCAAATGACTAGCACGCACAGTCGATACGAAGCCTTGAATTTGTCGGCTATTGCTTGTCCTCTTTGTGACATGGCGTTGCCTTGGAGGCCATTGTTCCTCCTACGGCAAAGCCGTGGCGAAGCGTCAATACAAAATTGGCTCTTTGTTAAGAGACATTGTTCGTCATTGACAAGTAAGGAAACCATCGAGATTTGGACGCGATATCACCCACTTTCGCGCGAACACCCGGAGACACTGTCATAAACATTAAAATCCCAAGTTTATAGCTCATATTGCTACCATGGTCAAAAAACCGCCCTACGCCAATGGCCTGCCATACTTGAAGAGGTCTCTTGAGCGATGGTGTCCTGAAAATCGACCGACATGGTTAAACAGCAAGTCATCCACTCTGGTTATCTACTGTCCCCACTAACGCACCGTCTAGATGATATAAAGTGGACTGCGGAAACTTTGTGGTTTGGTGAAATCATCATTCGGGATGAGTACAGACGTAAGATCGGTAAAAAGAAGATATACCTAATGTACAGGCCGGATCTGGTTCCTGTGAATCCATGGAATCAAAGGGACGCGACCTCGGCCAAAACAAATCGGAGGCTACCACCGGCTCGTGGTGTCATATCTGCTGCGCCCCCGGTACCACCTGGCTTTGTAGCAGTGGTGCCTCGTCCTGCTCTTCCTAACCCACCTGTCCCACCTCCCCCTCCCCCACCTTCTCCTCCGCCCCCACCACCTGCGCGTCCCATTAATGGCTATCCCTTTGACTTTTGGCCCAACCTACCTTGGGATCCTGAGCCTCAAGATGATGAAACTATAAACGAATCAATGGGCTCAATCGCCAAAGATAAGGGTAATCAACTTCTTTGGAGAAACACACGTCCAATGTTATGGCCACCTCGGAATGAAGACAACTGGAGAAACAAAAGATTCCTAGGCGCTGGGAGTTATGGATGTGTTGGGCTACGATGCCAGCATGACGAAACGAATACCATAATCAGAGTAAGAGCATACTAAAAGCAAATGCAAATTGCTTCTCTTGATAATTGTACCACTAAAAAACAACAGCAAATGATTGTGAAAGAATGTAGACCATCAAAACACATATGGCGGGATCCAGTAAGATGGCGAAATCAGGTTCCTCAAGAGATCAACATGCACCAGCTAGTTGATCAAAGCCGCACAGCAGCTAGTGGGGGAATAGACCATGATACTCTTGTAGAGCACCAAGGCTACCGCTTAATGATGGAGCTGCAACGTTACCGAATTTTCCTCAACTACTATGAGGGTAGGGAACTCCTAGTAGGACTTAACAGCCACTTTAAAAAAAATGCACAAATGGCGTAACGGTGGTGACGGTGGTGACGGTGAGCTTCCAGAGCTGTTACCAGAAGGACTCATCTGGAGAATTGCTAGCTCGTTGGTAACAGCGTGTCAGATCCTACATTATGGCCAAGCAAGTCAGGGTGAAGTGCAGCATACAACACCCGGATGGAAGCCAATCAAGCATAACGATATAAAGATAAACAACATCTTCATGAAACCGCGGTGCAGGAAGGGGAGGTAAGTGACAATGTACTGGTGATGCAAACGCAAAGTGACAATGATATTGACTGCAATAGTTTCCACATTCGTCTTATCAGATTTCGGCGGAGTCTTTACAGACCTGGCTGGAACCGAGGATGTTAAGAGTGACAATCCAGACGAATACACCCTTGACGCGGATATTGCATTGCTCCCACCTGTATGTGAAGAAATAACCCAGCTTTGCAGCCAAAGCTATACTAACTATGGATAGGAGATCTACTCTCTTAAGCTAGGACACGGATACTTCAACTCCTACCTAAAGAGATTTAAGAAACGAGACTCTAATCGCTGCACCTGCCAAAACATCCAAACGCCAGAACACCTACTACTGTACTGTCATCTATACAAAGACCATCGAAAAACGCTCCTACAAACAATCAAACATCGCCCAGTCACACTACCACTACTACTCCACACTAGTATAGGTATAGAAGCAACCCTAGCTTTTATCACTAGCACCAAAATAGGAACAAGAAAATGGTACCTAGGACAGCCACCAGAAGACCTACAGAGAGACACTGTATAAAACTAAAACCACAACCCTCTCCTTTGCCACAAGAGCCCGCTGCTACATCTCTTTCTACTTATCAAACTGCTCTTTAGCACCTGGCAACAAACAGATACAAGCTATCTTTTGTAGAAAAGCCAAAAACTGTTGAGAATATTCCGGTCACCTGTCACGAGGACGCTAAGTCACATGACCCACACCGCTCTATATTAGCCGAGCTTTGTATAGTTAGCAATTGACACACTTACATGCCATGACTGAGAGAGTCATTCTTTCTCAACAGGTTATGAGCCCGGCTTACGCGCTTGCGTGTGCATTGTGAGTGTCCGGAGTGTCGTTTCTTCGATATGGGCAGCAAGCTGGTATATGCGTGTCTACGCCAGAACAACCCAGGAGGTCGTCGCCTTCTATATTCTAAGACACTGGGTCGTCGCCCTGGCTGCCGCGAAGGGTATTAAGTCCTGAAGACACTGGGCCGTCGCCCTGGCTACCGCGAAGGGTATTAAGTCCGAAGAAAAATGGACTATCGTCCGGAGAAGCTGGGAGCGTCTCGAAGATACCTTGGGCGAGTTATACCCAATTCCGACGCGCGAGTCGAAGAGAGCAATGGTTGCTCTATCCCTTTTCAACCAACCTTTTGACAACGATTCGAATACCTACCTACCGACGGTAACCATCGATTCTTCCGAAAACAACTCGAATTGCCTGCCTATCGATAGTAACCTTTCGAGACCTTCTTTTTAAACTAGTAGCTACAGTTCGACAGCTACTTTCAATTCCTTAAACTCGAAAACCTACCGTTTGACGGTGCTCGAAGTTTTTTTACTCTCTCGAACGCTACCCACCTACCCCCACCCGATTTCTCGATCGATTTTTATCTTCTTTCCAAAGGATTTCGTTAAATAAACGCAAAGAAGCAAAGGCTTATATAACGATGGGGGAGAATAAGGGTGTTAGGGTCTGGAGCCCTGAATAGGACACAGACAAGGAGGCAGGAGCGGAGGAACGGAGCGGGGACAACAAGAGAGGAGAGCGTACATAGCTAGAGTACTGGGAGTACTAAGCTAGGGGAGCGCTAGGATAGAGGAGAGCGTACACAGCTAGAGTACTGGGAGTACCAAGCTGGGGGAGCGCTGGGACAGAGGAGAGCGTACACAGCTAGAGTACTGGGAGTACCAAGCTGAGGGAGCGCTGACTCTCACGTAGGAGTCGAGGGAGAGTCGGTATGTTGGTGATATCGATTCTACCTTGATTTTCAAACGCGAAAATTCTCTCGACCTTCTTTCTCGACCTTCTTTCTCGACCTTCTTTCTCGACCTTCTCTCTCGACCTTCTTTCTCGACCTTCTTTCCTCAACTCTTCACTCGGCCGATACCTCACTTTACTTGAGGGACTCGCAACGTAACGGCCACTATAGGGTGACAGGGAGGTTTCATTCTTGTTGACAAGGCACTTCTGGGGGAGTGTTGGAAAGTGCATGCAAGGCGTTCAGTGGAAGCATATAAAGGGAGAAGAAGCTTCGACTGCAAGACCTATACAAAGTAGTGGGTACAGCTGATCGGCTTATGGGGGAGTGTTGAGAATATTCCGGTCACCTGTCACGAGGACGCTAAGTCACATGACCCACACCGCTCTATATTAGCCGAGCTTTGTATAGTTAGCAATTGACACACTTACATGCCATGACTGAGAGAGTCATTCTTTCTCAACAATAACTGTGTATTCGTAGTGTCCGTATCTTGATCGGAACGCCGTTTTCCACTCCTCACCTTTCGCTATGCGAATCAGGTGGTATCCATCTCGAAGATCTAATGCTGTAAAGATCTTTGCGCGAGATAATCGATCCCGTAGTTCTGTAATGTTCGGTAAGGGGTATCGATTCTTGATTGTGATGTCGTTGAGCTTGCGATAGTCTACACATAGTCGTAGTTTTCCGTCTTTCTTCGGGACAAACATGATTGGATATCCTGCTGGTGACTGCGATGGTCGGATATATTTTTTTGCTAGACTTGTCTTGATGTAGTCGCGTAACGTGCTCAATTCTTTTTCCGATAGTCCGTATATTGGGCCGAAAGTCGGTTTCTTTCCTTCCTGTAGGACAATCTTGTGGTCCCAGGGTTGGTGCTTTGGCAATGCTTGTTCATCTGCCACTTCCCGGAATAGATGTTCGAATTCTTTGTATTCTTCGGGAATCTCAGGAGTTGCGCGTTTCTCCAAAACTCTAGTCTGTCGACCCGGTGGCTCCGTTCCGGCGTCTGCTGAGTCGGACCCTTGTTTCTTAAGGCCGTCCTTTGTCGAGGCTCGCTTTTTCTTTGCGATGTTATTCAGTTTCCTCTCATCTACCATCGTACTCTGACAATGCGTAGGCTGGCTTGTGGTTGCGTCCGTTCCACAGCACTCAAATGAGAACGTCTTCGACTTCCAGTCGATCCGTGGGTTGTGTTCTCGTAACCAGGGAAGTCCTAATATGATGTCGTGGGTAGCTAGTCCGAAGACATCTAGGTCTATCTTCTCTTGGTGTCCTTGGATGTTGAGCGTCACTTGTCTGACCTCATGGGTGATCTCTTGTTCACCTGGCATTGGCTCTCCGTTGGCCACATGTAGTGGGTAAGCTTCTTGTTTCCGTAGTGGCTTCAGTCCGGCTGAAGACGCTGCGTGCGCTGAAACGTAGTTGGCTTGTGATCCCGAATCTACTAATGCCTTCATCCACCTCCCTTCAAGCTTCACCTGGAGCTTGATGAGGTCTAAGGAGTTTACTGAGTTAATCTCCTTGCCGGGCCGTTCTGGGCCGGGCGCTGGTCTAAAAAAGCCTGATTTCCAAATCCATGGAATCCTTTGGCTATCGCATGAAGGTCGCATTCTTTGCTAAGGCACGTTTGCCAGTTGGGTTGTTGACATTCCCAAGCGTCTCCTTCATCGTATTCTTTTAGCCATACTGTTTGCATCTGATCAATTTCTTCGGGGTTGTCGTGACCTGGGAAGTATGTTTTTTCCCTTTTGTCCCATAGGTGTATTGGGCATAGGTCGTTTTTGCAGTCGAAGAATTGCCACTTGCAGCGGTACGATCGTTTGGTTTCTTCTGGGAACCATCCTGATCCGGACTTATCCGAGTAGTGTACTCTGCAATGGTCGTGAATGCATGTGACCCATGATAACTTCTCATGTTCTGGGTTCCTAGGGTCCATCCAGTAGTCGTATTCTTTTGATCTACTGATGTCCTTGGCCTTTCTCTTGTGGCCGTGTTGGAAGGTCTTCCAATCGTTCCTGGTCTGGCAGAGTTCGTCGTAGATCTCTTGCTTCTCTTCTTCCGAGATTGGCAACGTTGGTTCTTCCCATGATCGGATTGCGTCTTCGATCCAGCTTAGTTCCCATGTTGTTGGTAGGAACTCCAATATTTCGGTTGAAACGTTTTCCTTGTTTCGTTGTACTTCTAGTGACAATCGGTAGAAGTCCTGTCGCATAGCAGCCATGATGCTAGGTTCCTCGTAGGCGTACTCGATATCAGCCTTGTTGAGGTGTCGTAGTAGCTGGTTGATCTGTCCTGCGAGCTTGTAGAACTCTTCTTCCTGTACATAAGGTGTGGATGGCCTGTTGACTTCTTCGAATGTGGCCATCTTGCCGAATTTGGTCTGGTCGATTTCCGTAGCCTCTAAGTTCTTGGACTCATCTTCGAGCATATCGTACTCCGAAGTGGGCTCTTCTTCTGAGTCTGATTCCACGAGTGTGAGGTTATCCAATCCCAAAACGCTTTCCTGCGTGTTGATTTCGATGGTTGGTTTGGATATGACATTCCATGTCTCGTGTCGCTCAGTGGGTACTGCTTTGTGGATAACGTTGAGTTGTCTAACCACTTTGTTCTTGCTGTGGCAGTCCCTAGCCATGTGACCTTTCTTGTCACAATTATAACAAGTGATCTCCTTCTTGTTATATGGCTTCTTCTTGTCATTCCTTCCGAAACTCTTGCCTTTGTTGATGTTGTCCAGTTGCATTGCATCAGGGTCATGCCAGTTGTTACCGGCGGAGGGTACAACACCTCCGGGTGTCATCCGATATCCTGGTTTCTTCTTGAAGAATCGTCCCTTTGTGCGTTGCACTGACTGGTTGGCTCTAACCGGTCGGATTTCCTGCTGCAATTCGTAGAGTGCGTTGTCGATACGAATTGATTCTCGGATGAGATCCTGTAGGTTGTTGATTGCGACGCCGCTTCGCATAAGCTCTTCTTTGACTCTTTCCTTGAGTCCTTGTCTGTACATAACCCTTAATGCCTTGTCGTCCCAGTCGGTCTTCAGGGCGTGTCCCTGGAAGACACTGGCGTAGTCGGCGACTGATTGGGTTTGTTTGAGCTGTTGGATTGCACGATCTGCCTTGGATTCTTCGTTGATGACTCCGAATTGCTGTCTAAGCTTGTCTTTGAAGGTTGGGTGGTCTTCAAACATTCGTTCAATATCGTCGTCGTCATCGTTGTCGTCCATGTATTTGTTGAGGTAAGGCTTGATCCAGGTGGCCAGAGATGTCAACAAGCAAGTCAAGCTGGCTTGATTCTTATCGATTGCAGATCACAGACAATATAGAGGCTCGTGCACAGTGGCACGTCCCAGAGAATGGTCTGTGATCTGCAATCGATAAGAATCAAGCCAGCTTGACTTGCTTGTTGACATCTCTGCAGGTGGCGGCAGTTCCTCGCATGTAACTTGCCATGAGCAGTCCACGATCAGTAGGGTCGACCTTCTCATCTTCAAACCTGAAGAAGAGATCGAACTGGAGAATCCAGTCTTCGAGCTTGTGTCGATCGCCGTGAAATAGATCGGGTCTGGCCACCTTGGTGCGGCTTGACGAAGTTTCGTTAGGTGTGTTCATCGGGGTGTCACTCATCTTGAGGGTGTTCAAAGTGTGAAGGTCGTCCGAAGATGATCTTGGGTTGGTTCTCGGGGATGGAGTGATGCGATGGACACGAGGTTGTATAGCACGATTGGTAGATCGATGTAATATACGGGGAGTTGAGAATCAAGTACTAATCCTTAGATTTCGAAGTTGAACACAATGAACCGTAAGGGCTCATTGCCTACTGTTATATAATAAGCGTGCCCTCCATTGTGGCCTTTCCCTCCATGGAGGTCGCACCCTCCGTGGAGGTCGTGCCCTCCATGGCGGTCATGCCAAGGTTGGAGGGCAGGTCACGTGACTGCGCGGCACAAGCTTACCCGCTGTGCCCCGCCTTCAACGTTGTTCTGCCGTTGTTGCTTGTCCTCCTCCTTGCAATCGTAACATGGTGTTAGCTTTGTGAGCTGGAATCATGTTAGGTACTATCTCTATATCTAGATATATGAATATACTTTTATTCCAAGTTGGCCTGTTTTGGTTGATGTATTGGCTGGCATCCCAAAGGAAATAATCGTAAGCTCTTCGGTATGGTGGCGCCATGGCTGCAAAAGAGTGCCCGTTGAGGGGCTTGCATCTGCTCTGCTATCTTGGCTTTTCTTCTCGTCCAATTTGACAGAATAGTGGTAAGGGCTATCTGGGATCAAGTATCTGTGCAGCGAAATCATTGTTCTGATGACAGACAAAGAGAGACCCATGTCGCACAAACCATGAATTTCCGAAAACGTCACGGAAATCACAAAATCGAATTTCAAACTTCCACCCTAACGAAGGGCACGGGGCTGGATGCTTTGATCAACTCAGATTCTAGGCTCGATGGTGGCAGACATTGTTCAACATCAATGTCATGCCGGCTCCAGAGCAATGTGATGTGACCAATCCAGGTTTTGGTCTGTCTGATACTACATCGGCATACCCATCAAGGGATATGGGGAAGAAAAAGCAATGTCCGGTTCAGATGAGGAGCCGCAAACAGCTGTTGCCGTTGCTGAATGACGCTAGACATGGCACGTGAGAACAAAGGAGACGGCGTAGTTAATGATTGATCTCTGACAGGCATACAGATCCGTGGAAGAAACACGACCAGCAAAGATTATATTATCGTCGTTAATAATGCGATAACCGATGAGTGGTTTCGATTGCAATCTAGAGTTGTAGTTGCAGATACGTAGACGGAGTGGATGTGAAGCCTTTGGGAAACGGCCGGGGGCAGATGCGCAGGGGGCCGTGCGCGCTTAACTTAGCGCGCAGCTGCCCGTAATCGCGGCCTTCGACTCGACCGGATTCGGCGACAACTGCACACAGATAACAGCGCCAGATATCCAAAGTTTCCAAAGTTCAGCAAGACAGTAAATTAACCTCGTACTATTTGCGTATAACATATACAAAACAAAGATGACAAACTCCTTCGTGGAAAAAAAATTATTGCCCAACCTGCTTGTCTGCCCCCTCGTCCCCGTGAAATCTTGGTTTTTCTTCCACCATAGACGTCGCAAAACAACTCATCTTTGCACATGGATGCCATGCCTCACCCGCTGTATCCGCCAGTACCAATGCCACCTCCCCTTGCCCTCTCCTCCCTAGACAGTAAGATCCATCTCTTCAACCTCTGCTTCGATAATCTCGAGTCTATCTTCTTCGTAATTGTATGGTTCACTGTCATGGTCGTTCATATCATCGTCAAGGTTACTGTTTCCGAAGACGTCACCTACGTTACCCCACTCCGCCAACCCCGCTGCAGCGTGGGCCGCTTGAGCAGCTTTACAGGCAGCACGTGCAGCTAATATAGCTTTTCGAGCAATACGCCCAGCACGGGTAGCTTGGGCAGTGCGGGTAAGCGCAGAAGAGCTGCCAATGAATTTGTAGTCGTCCATAGTGAGTTGCTTCTTGTCCTGGCGCTCTTTCTCCTCTTGCACCACTCACTGTCTTGCGAGGTCTTCCACGGCCGCGCTTCACGACGCCCCCGCTTGGAGTTACCTGAGATGAAATTAGTAGTCTTCTATTGTAAAGGATCAGAAAACTTACCGGCTCTTGTTTGATGTATGTGGTCGCTACCTTGCCCTTGCCCTGGGCCTTCGTGTTGGTCGTGGGAGTGCTAGGGCCTGCTTCTGTGACGACGGGTCGTGGTGGCGCAGTCAATGGTCGGCGCATTTTCTTGCATCGATCGTTGTAGTATTGCATAAACTCTGACACCGGTGACTCTCTTGGAGAGGATGGAGGGGAGGATGCCGATCCGAACTGTCGTAACGGTGATGAAGATAATGCCGCCGGTGGGGAGGAAGAGGATGCCGCCGGTGGTGACGAAGATGCAATCGCTGACGACGAGTTCGTCTGGTACAGAGAGTTCTGGTTTTTAGCAACATATTGCGAATAGCACTTCGGATTCCAATGGTAAAGTTCCGCGTTCTTGTGTTCGAAGAGGGCCTTCAAGAATTCTGGACGCTTTCTCATCACGCTCTCCTGGCCAGCACAGCTTCTAAGATAGTCTGTAGGTACACGGGAGAGATAGGCGCCATTTCATGCGCCAAAGTCGAACCGGTACACATTGTGAAAGGTCGGTCCGGATGCAAAAGCCTCTGGATGTTGCGCTCGGTTCTCGCGTGCGGCCTTTTCCTGTTTTTCGTTCGACCAGTGAACAAAGTCTTTCGGCTGCGAGGTGAGCACTTGAGATGGAGCCAAGGAAAACAGATTCTGTATTTTCGCGCCTGATGCTTGAAGAAGGGCAGTAGCTGGCATGATTGGAACCGGGGCAGCCGGAGTTTGAGACGGGGTTGTTGGCTGTATGTTCGAGGCTTGCGGAGCTAGGGGTTGATATAGATGGGTTGCAATGCGGTTTGCAAGCACCTGCGCAACAATCTTTTCAATTTGCTCCGGACTTATTCCCATATCTTGCGCCGAGGGAGTCTGAGGCGGCTTGCTCGTAACTTGCTGTCTCTACTGCCGACTCTCCCTGAGTTCGCGCTCAAGCCTCATCTTCTGCGAAGCACGTTGCTTCGCATGATCCTCGTGCAGCTTAGTTTGTTGCGATAGAAACTCAATCTCCTGCTGCTTCTGTCTGTCGGCAGCTGCTTGCTGAGCATCAAATGCTTTTATATCTTTAGCATGCTTCGCCGCAGCCGCTGCCGCAGCTTTAGATGCGGTTCTTCTGGACGGAGGCATGCTTGCGTGTTTAGGCACGGGGGCCGGTGGCAGGCAAACGTGAAGGAGATATGGGTGTGAGCTTGGGACTTCAGGAGTTTTAGTATGTAATTCCAAGGTTAGGGGAAGAGGGAGAGAGAGAGGGGGGGGCGCTGGTAATCATACCTAGGTTGGAGCAGCCTGAGAGTGGTGAGACCGGACTGGGAGATCTTTGAACGCACAGATAAGGCTCTGGGTAAACAGTCTGCAAAATTTGCGGGTTTGAATATAATAGTGGGACGTGCGCAACGAGGCGTATGCAAGCTGAGAAAGGGACACTTGGGCAGTGATGAGTTGGATGTAGTCGTATGCTCACAACCTGAGGTGTGCTTCCTTATTTGTAGAAGTTAGTAGCTTGTCTAGAAGGACGAAATATGCGAGGCTGGTTGGAAAGATAGCTCCAGCCATCTTTTGGACGGTAGTGTAAGCCTTGCGGTCCCAGCCATTATGCATGGGCCATCTGCCAGTTCCAAGTTTTGTAATACGCCTCCTCGCGAGTTTGACACTTGGATCTGACCATATCCCGGTGATGAGGGAAGAGAACAGTGGAGCATTTCGACCCACCCTGCAGTGTCGTCTTCCCATGAGGTTGGGGAGTCGTTTTACGGTTATTTCCCAAATTGAGGATATTCCTGGCTTTGTTTTGTCTTTTTGTGTACATGCAGAATAATACCAACATACTAGTAACGATTCAGGGAAGATTTCATGGACCTACGCTACATTGGGCCGTGAACGCTATCAGAGTAACTTGTACAGGTGTTTTGTTGTTTGCGTTCCATCAGTGGGCAGTGTATGCAATCAGGGAACAGCCTGGCGAGAGAACGACCATATCAACATCATGCGTTGTTGGACTGCTTGGTACTTTGCCTTAGCATCTCAAGCAATATTGTCTAAAGCTATTTACGTGTTGCCTCAGTGATGATCACTCGTTTCCATTCCAACCTCTTAGCAATGGTTAGTGGAAACAACATTGTTTAATGGCGCACGCCTTCCCAGGGTCGTACATGTCAAGATCATTCCACAGTTTTGCGAGCATGGCAATGGAAGCGATTTACATAATGCACAGATTTGTTCCACGGACTACATGTAGTGTGCTCGTTCGCTCCATGAGTCATAGAGTCGCGCTCAGTCATGTGAGTGTTGTTGTAAGGAGACCCTTCATGGGCAGCCCCATACACGAACTATGTCGATAGTGCCGATCCGTCGCACCACTGAATTAGTATGGAGGCTACACAAAAAAAAACGGATGCATCTGTGAGAAAGTAACTCAAGTGGCTTATCTCTAGCCCAGGTATCGTCACAACGGGACAAAAACGCCCATTTTCGCCCATTTCCCAATGACTAAGGTCTTCAAAACGGGCAGCTCATGACTGTTTATCTGTGTTTTCAAAAAATGTCCAAAAAAGCAATTTTGGTACTTGGGATTTCCTCTTGTTTTCCAGGGGAGACGTTAACAACCACCCCCATATCAAGGAGATGACCAACCCCATAGGCACAAAACGTCGATAGTGCCGGCGATTATCGTGCCATCGTATTAGTATGAGAGCTACACCAGAAATTGGTGTATTTGTAAATCTTGGCAGCTGCCAAAACCTGAAGTGGCCCATCTACATCTCCAAAATTGCCTAAAACAGCCCATTTTTGATGCCGAAGGTCTCAACAACAGGATAAAAACGAGCCAAAAACGCCCATTATAGAGACCCCAGGCTCCCAAAATAGGCGTTTTTGACATCATTTTAAGACCTCAAACCCCATCAAAACAGCCCTTATTTTGACGCCCGGAGGCTTCCAAAAGTTAAAATTTCAAGTAAATTGTCAGCAACTTAGATTTGCAATACATATAATTTTCGTGTAGCTCCCATACCAATACGATGGTACGACAAATCACCGGTACTATTCCGTTTTGGGCGACACTATCGACGTTCTGGGCTTATGGGGGTGCTGATTTACTCCTGAGGGGTGCCCGTTAACATCTCCCCATGGTAGTACCTGCACAATCGGGAACTTTATCGAGCCCCTTAACTTACTGGGATCGGCTGGCCGGCTAGGAAGAAAGAGTCGCGGCCGAGTTTCCATGTTGGAACTCAGGCCATTTTTCCGGGCAACGCGGGACATCTTGAATTAAAACTAATGTTGCAGCGAACACGATTGTCTCGACCTACAGGAACGAAACAAGGACAGAAAAATAGAGAATCCATGATACATGCGCTGCCGGTTCTTGGGCCGTGGTCTGGGCTCAAAAACGTTCCACTCTGAGGCATGGCATGGAGGCTCTGTACTACTCGCTGTCTGTCTAGCATAGTAGCCGCATCAGCCAAGTCGGAACGATAAGGAACTATTATATCTGATGATTACTGGGGTGATTGGAATGGAAATTTTATCATACACACTGGAAATTTAGTCTACATTGCAAACAATCGCGATTGCCAACAGCCTTCTACTGCCAACATTGGTTGTTTGTTTCACTGCAAAGCAAGCACCAGATTGATCGTAAAGTACAGAAGTTTTACAAATCGCGGCCACTCATCATCTTGTGTTCATCTCTTTCCGACAACACGGCACGCGCACATCGTAATCATCCTCTACATCATATTCGCTATACCGCTGTTCACACACATCACACGCGGCGAGGGTATCGAGTGAACACTCTGATTTGTCGCAGAGGTAAAATCTCTGTTCAGTGCCTATATCTTCGGAGTTCTGGGCTAACTCATGTGGTCGTACCAGTACTGGAGGTTCAGTTGCGTTTGGTAACGCCTTTACTGCAAGCACTCCCTGTTCTCATCTCTAGAAGGTCAGCACGACCTTTTTACCCGAAATATACATATACACAGCAACTAACAGTATCGTAGCCTCTTCACAAACAATTTCTTCGACAACGCAATCTACTAAGCAGTACGCTAGCACCACCAGCTATGTCTTGCAACGGCTGCGCCTGCCCTGATACGTCAACATCGACAGCAGATGGCATTGGTGTCTCGAAGGCCAACAGGGAAGCGATAACCGGCAACGTTCGGTATCTTCTGAAGACGTTCCATAATTGTAGCGGCGTTCTTGCTGATCCCTCCTTCTACTTGAACAAGCTCCAGGAGATAGTCGAAGTGGTTGAAACGGCTTTTGTCCGAGTCACTCCGTGTGAGGAGGTACTACTTCAGCTACGTGAATTACTCAGTACCGGATTTCCTCAACCTGCAGCCCATGCGAAGAATGGGCCAGCGGCAGTACCCCGCTGTGGTGGCCCGCCTATCGTGGACCGCGGGCAGCCTCCATCTATTCGCTTCACGGTTGAGCAGACCGACTGGGAGCAGGTCAACAAGCACGAAAATACACAGATCAAGACGATGCTGGGCGATTTAGGTCCGCCGTGGAGTGAGGTAGTTCAGGTAAGCAAGCATCGTGGAAGTCTTTTTCGAGGATGAGGAGAAGAGGAAGGCTGTGTTAAATGCAACCGAGAAGGCGAATGGAATACAAGCCCTCAAGTCCAGGCTACACTTGCACTCGGACGTCACGGTGCACCAAGATATCTATGAAGTCAAGGTATTCGATGTGCGATTCGGACACAAAATGAAAGCCAACGATCTGAAATCCAGAGTCGCGGCATGGTCCAAGGATGTAACGGTTTGGGCCTTGCCAAGACCAACTTAGGTGAGAGTTGGGTACGGCTACGGCTACCACACTTTCCTATCACGCACACATATAGATAGCTGCCCTCCTTGATAGCTATAAAATGCAACGCAGTCCTCCTCCTCGCCTCACCCCGTTACAAAGGAGAACCAAGTCACGATCCAACGAGCTCACTATGCCAACAACGAGCTCAGGCTTGAGCTCACCGACATGGACCAGGCCATCCAGCTGGTGGATCAGCAGTTCATTGTTCTTGATGGCAAGAAGTACACTGATTTGAGAGATTGGGACAGACGATGGGATCGTTTCCAGTGCTACTGGTGCCTGGGGGAGAACCACAGTGCAGAGTGGTGCAGGGGGAGGGGAGCGAAGCCATATTGTCTTTGGTATGCTGAGTCACATCCCTCCAAGGAGTGTCCGGTCTGGGACATTGTGGTGAAGAAGAACTGCATCTACTGCGGGGAGAACCATTGCGGGACAGACAACAAGTGCAAGCATCCCACTGTTGTCGCCGAGCTCGAGAAGCGAGGCAAGATGCAAGCCCGAGGAACACGATGGTATCGACGTCGTCAAGTCACCGATGATGAGGGTTTTACATTTCCCCTTGGGCGTAGCAGTAGGCGTAGTGTTAGGCGCGGAAAGGCGTCTGCAGCTGCTGGTGCCGGTGCTACCGCCAGCACCGAGGCTGCCACGGCTCAAGCTCAAGCCATGGATGCCACTGGAAAGTCTGCAGACCCACCACTCAGGCAGCAGACAATCTTCGCGTACACTGTCCCGAAGCCACCGAACAACAAACAGGCGGGTACTGCAACATCCCCGCGCCGCCCCCGGACGCCTGCTTCACAGCCGTCAACATCGCGTCAACCTCCGGCAGCGAACAAAGATGGGGCATTTGCCAAGTCTATCAAGGACAACAGCAGGACCTACGAGAATGTAAGCCCAGAGTTTGAGGCTAGGGTTGAGAATATACTAACTGATCTGCAGGTCTTGGACGCCATGGAGAGCCGCCTGCCGCCCCCGGGCGCCACAGAGAGTCTCCCACATAATTACACGTCTGTTACGAACGGTTCGCCCAGCAAGAAGCGGAAGAACAATAACTGGCAAGGCAGGGGTGTCGCCTCCCCTCCACCGGGCTCCCACGAACTCGTAGGCCTTGGACCTAGATTATGGCCTCGCTCCATCAACACTCATATTGAAGCCTCACCTAGCCTCACTCCACCGTTGGGCATTACACCGCAATTGCCGTCTCTAGGCAATGTTCCCCGCCAGTCTAATTTTTTTGGTCTCAGTCAGCATGGGTCCCAGCAGAACCCCCAGCAGAACCCCCAGCAGGATCCCCAGCAAAGCTCCAAGATGAAGCCTGATCTCCCGGAGCAATTTGCCCGTGAGAATCATCGTACTCATCCCCTTGTGACTTTGCCGCCAGCTACAGCCAATGGTTGCTCCTCCTCATCCGGACCATCAGCTCCAGCGTCATTTCTCCGTGCACCCCATGCACCCCAAACAGACGAGTCTAGGCAGTCTGTCACCTCAGTTGCTCCACAGACATCACAGTTGACCGCCTTCGTTGAGGCGTCTGCTCCACCAGCAAACATGGTGTTTCCGTCAACGTCTGACACAACACACCCGGCGGTTTCCGATCAGATGATCCGGGAAATTCAACTCACGCATTCTAAGGGCTTTAACGATCTTGAAATCTGCAGGATCTTATCAGGTCACAATGAGAAATGTCGTGACAGGATTATGCAGGAATCAGGCGGTGCCGAAGACACCGAGATGTCAGATGAACCTGACTGGCATCCATGCGTGGCGACCGCGATGTCAGATCATGGCTCGGAAGACACTGAGCCACTGCGCGGTGAGCTGCGCGGCGAGCGCGACGATGACAGCGAAGTCGACTTCGAAGATGATCTGTTAAACCCGAACGGTCCTGAATTTCATCATGTTGACGGCGGCTTCGACTATGACGCCACCCACCAGTTGAACCCAACCCTCGCTTCTCAATGATTAGCAAACCCCAGCCACGCCTACGTGTATGAAGCGAGAACTTCATGGGAACTCAACGCGTTCAGGAGAAGGTTCTGTTCTTGGCTGCGGTAGAGAATGTTGACGTTCTGATGCTGCAAGACATCGTTGCGAACACCTCGCAGCCCATCGAAACCCAGAAGACTACCCCATCGAACAAATCTGGCACGAGTGCTCGCAGAGCAGCCAGAAAGAACACCTTCAAACCAGCGGTTGCATCTCCGGGATTTCGGCTTGTACTAGAACATGCATTCTCCCACCGTGTCTGCATCTATGTGCGGCATGATCTCGACGTATCTGCGTACGAGTTGGTCCAGCATGACGACATGATAACAACATTTTCTTTACTCACGGACGTCGATTGGCTACACATGCATTGTATATACAATGTCACGTCCAAGAGTATCCCCACAGACAGGTTCAAGGAGCTCATGTCAGGACCGGGTCAGCATTTGATGATGGGCGATTTCAACATGAAGCACCCATGGTGGGGCGGCAGGCGTGTGAGAAACCAAAAGTCCAAGGAATCTAAAGCGCTGCATGAGGCCTTTAGATATGAACTGGAGCTATGTTTGCTTAGCGAGGCGTCAGGGCCCGGGAGACGACGCCTAATGATCCCAACAGATGGAGTACGCTCGATTTGGCATTTGCAACCTCGACCCTGGCCAAGCGATGCACGACAAAAACGCTGCCTGAGTATGTCGGTAGTTATCACTACATTACTCAGGTCGATATTGAGATGTCACCTAATCGCGTGTTTTCCGAGAGACGCGACTATAACAGCGCCAATGGAGCCCAGCTCTGTAAACACGTCAAAGAGCGCCTCAAGTCTTTTGAGGCCGATCCTTTGAACACCACCACACAGCTCGACAAGTCAATCAACGTGCTGATCGAAGTCCTAGCGGAGGTGAATGGAACCATCCCGGTTCTACCTTCGACTCAGGCTTGCTTCACACGCATGTCACCGAGCGTTCAAGAGGCATTCAAAGCCGTAAGACGTCGTGCCAAAAGTTCCAACGTCAGTCAATCACCGGCTTATCTGAGTGAGTTCAGACAAATCGAGCGCAATGCGAAGAAGCTCTGGGCACTTGACAAGGAACTCCAATGGAACGATCACATGGCTCGTTTGACTACCAACCTGGATGGCACCTACAAGAAGTACCGTCAGGCCTTGCGCAGAGAGAAGACTCGAGAGCCGGCACACATGCCACCAGTCAATGATCCGAAGGACTCCAACGTCAAACATACCAATGTTGATGCCAAGAGTGACTGTCTTGCTGAGGCGATTCTCCTCGTACCTACCGACCAAATCAAACAGCGCACAGTACCTGTGACGGTTATGAGGAGAAGCGGATCACGTGTTTCACGTGTGTCACGTGATGGTGATACGTCATGTAAAATAGACCCTGCTGCTGCCTTTGTAGCAAGGCCAGCAGACAAGGACAACACACACAGACAGAGAGCGAATACACTGATGACTGCCTCGCGCGGACACACTTTGATTGACTGCATTAACTGCAACAGTACCCGACCTTCCCTTCAACTGCGATCCTGAAGACTTGCCGACTTGTGATCAAATCACTCTGAACCAGGTCGACCAACTGATCAGGGATATTCCCAAGGTCAGATCGATAGTAGACGGCGGCATCCCCAACGCCCTGCTGAAGCTCTGTCGGGAGGGTATCGTTCCCACAGTCCGCAACAATCAATTAAGTGGGTCCTAGAAGGTTCAGATTGGATTGATTGATTACCGCTTTAAGCCTAGTAGTTACCTATAGGAGTTTAAGCCCTACCTAGATAGGTAAGTGGGTCTAGGAGAGTGACCGGATTGAATTGATTGTTGCGGAGTCTAATCGTTCCATATTTGCATCGACTCTTCAACGCTTGTTTCAGGCATTGTTATCATCCTGCTCATTTCAAGCATGCGACGACTTGCATTCTCCGCAAACCATCGGGCCCATATAACCTTCCCAAGAACTGGAGACCTATAGCGCTTCTGTGCTCTATTGGGAAAATGTTTGAATCCGTGATTTGCAAGATGCTCACTGCTATCGCAATCAAGCACAACATGATCCCTGAGACTCAGATGGCTTTCGCTGGACGCACTACGGGTGACGCTCTCCTCTATGCAGAGACCATCATCCACGCCGCTTGGTTCAAACGCAAGATGGTTACGTTGCTCGGTTTGGACATGAGCAAGGCTTACGACCGAGTGAACCGGACCCGACTGCTCCAGATTCTCCACGAGAAGAGTGTCCCCAAGGGTCTTATCGTCCTCATCCGTTCATTTTTGTCTGATCGCACTACCACCATCAGGATGCCAGGCAGGAGTTCCAAACGCCGGTACGCGGTCAATCTCGGAATCCCGCAAGGTAGCCCTTTGTCGCCCCTCTTGTTCCTCTTCTACACCGCCCCACTTCTTGAGAAACTCGCTGAACCAAGAAATGGAAAGGGTTCTAGATTCCACGTGGCCTTTTCCGACGATCTCACAATCATGGAGGTCTCCGATACCGCTGTAAACAACTGCATACGGTTATCGGCGGACTACGACATCTGTGAACAGTGGGCGAAGGATCACAATATGGAGTTCAACACGAAGAAGTTTGACTGCATGCATTTCTCGACGGTTCCCTCCGAAGCCAATTCGCGGAAGTATCCCGTTATACCAGGTTTCGTCCCGGGAGATCAGTTCGGCGTGGAATTCAAGTTTCTTGGAGTCATGTTAGATCCGAAGTTGAATTGGGGGCCACACATGGCTCATATTCAGCAAAAGAAGGTCGCACCTCTAACACGAACATTCAAACGTTTGTTTGGGCCGAAGTTTGGCCCACCAATGGAAGTCGGCACGCAACTCTATAGGAGCGTCGTATTTTCTGCGGTGACGTAAGCCCTCTAGGTCTGGGCCGATTTCGACTTACTTCCCAAGGTACACCAGCAGTAACTGGAGACAAACCAAAATATGTTTCTGCGAATCATTGGTTAGTTGTATGGACTGACAGAAGTTCTCGTTTTATACAAGGAACTCCGGATGCGAAACATTCTGCTCGAAATTGAACGTTTACGAAGCGCGGCTCTCGCCAAATTGACTATCAGACCAGTATACAAGACTATCTGTGATGCTTACTAGTAATTCTACGATAAGGCGGATTCTGACAATAGCGTTTTGCCCGACCGCCGCCGCCTTGGTTGTCGACAAGTTCCTGATCCCTTTTACGCCCGATGGACTCGTGCTCTCGAACTCGCTGGAATTGCTAAACAATCTGCCTTCGAACACATGCAATGCATTTAGTCCCCGCCTTTGTCTGCAAACACTGCCTACTAGAGCACACACACCTACCTCTAACGACGTTAGCAACCGATGCTATCTGTTAAAGATCTCGTGTCTATTAAGCTTAAGCAGATGGCGAATGAGAAGGCTGACGCGGAGGTGAAGGCTCTTTGGGTTGCTAAATGTGCTACTTACACGTATAGGGTTCGGACAACGTACACAGAGCTATGGGGTACCGATGTGTTTGCAGTACACAAGGGCCTTACACGCGTGGAAGCTATTAATCTTGTTAGACTGAAGATCGAAACCGTTCGAGTCGCTGCCTACATGTTCAGAATCTGTTCGGTACGTCTTCCATCCTGTCGTTTTCTCATTCCCTCTCGCCCCTCAATCCTCGTCTGCCGTTGCGCAATTTGAATGTATATCTGCTAACATATTGTCATCATCAGACTACCTACCACCCTGGATGCCCTTGTGGTGCTCTATGGCAGACCGTCTACCACCTCTTCACTCGATGCCCACACCTGAGCGCCGCTCGTCGACAAATTATTGAGGACACTGGCCACGACTTCTATCGCTGGCTTACACACGACGGAGCGATTGCAGCCAAATGGGCAACTAATTACCTTGGTCTCGTTGTTACAGACTGGATGCTACACTACCTCTCGGCGCTGGATCCGGATGCCGATCCGGTCCAGTTGCCCAGTGAACATGATGCCGACTCAGCCGCCAAGCCCACGCGTAAGTTTCGCGGTCCCGTCCGGTCATGTCCGGTCATGTCATCGTTGCTAATTTATGCCGTTCTAGTAGGCCGCAAGCGTCGCCATCCCCAACGCGTTTCACCACCATTGCCATCATCACGACATCACCACATTGAACGCTCACGGGCAGCACAAGCTCGTACGACATCCCCCCTCTCGCTATCTCTAAGCTCTAGGCTTACTAACTTCGCAGGATTGCAACGATGCGCACTACAGAAGACACCTCGAACCCACGATACCCCCGCGGCTCATGACCCCCGGCGATACCTGATACCCGTAAGGACGACCTTACTCGGACGATACAACCGGCTCTAACACAATTCTAGGTCAGCCCATTGCCTCACAACATTGCCGAACGACTCACCGATTGCGACACGACCGATTGCGGCACTGCCGAATGCCTCACGGTACGCTAGAATCCTTTCTCAGCTCCTCGTCCCTTCTACACATTTGCATTGGTTTGGATGGTCTAACAGTTCTCAAGAGGTCGGCTTCGTCTTCTCGCCCATGTGCAGCATATGCTTCACTGTCGCGTAAGTTACCTCACTCGATCACGATCATAGCTTCCCTTTCTCACACACCACAGGCAACCCTCCAGCTCCTCCAAGAATTCCACCTTATGTTTTGCCAGTCCCTTTCCCGGTACCTTCTGCCGGCCCAGCTTCCTATGCAGTGCTTCGACGTTCTTGCGCTGCTGCGACAGAAACGACGCGGTGGTCCCCTTCGGCTTGTCTGAATCAGGTATGTCTCCACTGCTCATCAATTCATAAAAACAAAACCTAACGCCATGTGCAGTCAGTTCACAACACGACGACCCCATCCCCATCCCCATTGCGTACCCTTGTCCTGGACGATCTCCAGGCATACCCCAAGCAGTTGTACGTCAACACACTTTGGCAATCCGCTCGTGTAGCGCATGCTAACATCTATCTAATAGTCACTCGTTCGATGTCGCTGATAGCTCGTCCCGGTCTGATTTTGACTCTCTTTTGGGCTTCTTTCCACACGCTGGAATTGATTTCGTCTTCCCTAATGCTTCTGGTACGTTTGGACCACACAAGCGTATGCCTTCCGCAAACTCATGCAGGAGGTCTCGTACCATTCTGCGTTGAGAACCCGCAACTTCGAGTAGAGCGACGGGTCGACGTCTGGAGAACGGTCTTTATCCCAAGGAGTGACTGATTCAATGCCGACGTCCGATACATTGTGCAGAACGTTGCTGAATGGATCTGTGAAACAAAGTATCTCCGTGCCATGGGCATGCTGCCCGACTCCTTCTCCTTGGTTCTACACGGCCCTAGCAAAGAAGCCAGCCAGCAACTTTGCGACGCCATGATAAGAGTCGCTATTTGGCATGACGGTGCGGAGGAGCTGGCTCGCCGAGAAGGAGAAGAGTTGCAGTGTTGGAGGGATGGTATAGCAGAAGACTTCGTCGACCTAATGAAGTCCATGATACGCGGCGATGTTCCCGCAAGATTCGGGGCGGACATGGGCGAGGTGTGGAATATAGAAGAGATTTTGCGCGACCATCAAGGCGAATGGCCTGCTAGTGTCAGCCAAGTCTTCGCTCTCAGCAACTTCGAAGAGCCGGACGGGGGCTGGGAAGCGGCGCGCGCGGGGTACTTTGAGGAAGTTGAATGGCTAGACAGGATGGAAGGGTGGAATCTAATGGTAGCAGAGAATCAGCCGGACGATAGCGATGCATAGTAGCACGTCTTGAATCGCGCATTATCGCGCTCATCGATATCTTGAGCGAACAATACATGTAGCTGAGCCATCCTGAACATGTGTTGACGAGTTGCCTCATCAAAACAACAGATGCGCGTGAAGCCGCCGGGTAAAACCTAAAACAGAACGCGTATTCGAATTTGGGGCTGATGTTTGATATGTTTGCAGTGTGACGTAAGCCCAGCCGCATCCTCTCAATGCATCAGCTAGACGGCAGAGACGCAGGTTCCGAACGTCCACACAGCGCTACTCGCGATGGCGAACAGCGACCCCTAGAACCCTTTTTGTTGATTGATTAAGAGTAACACGTGAAAGTAGAGTGCGCTGCCCGTTGCCGCCCTGGAGCCCGTCGCGCTGTGCCGCCATGCACCCCCTTCATCGACGACCGCCTCAATCTCACTGGCATTGAATCAAGGTACAGGCGAACCGTGCCCCGCTTCGGCTTTCATTGTAGCCTAATCCGTTGGTGTTCGCGTCCCGCAAACACGGGCTGTGGCTTGGTCTGAGAACAGGGACAAACGCAGGCACATAGCTACGTCACTGCCCGCATGCCTTCATAACATAGATTGCAACCACTTTGAATCGACACATACACCCCAGACTCTACTTCTCCCCACTTTACACCTCCTTGTCATCGCAATTGACTAGCAAAAGACTGCCACTAACATGGAGACAATCACCAACCTTGCGAGCAACGCTGCCTCGACTGCCTCGAAGCTCATCTACGGCGACCAGACTAAGGCCGACGAGACTGTCGACCAGACCAAGAACAACGAGACTGCCGGCAAGGAGCCTATTTCGGGCGAGCAGGGCTTGGGTACTGCGACTCAGCCATTCGACCAAGGCAATGCTGGTGAGCTTGACAATTCCATCCGTTGCGTATCACAGACTGACTCCACTTCGCAGCGACTCCTCTAGCAACTGCCGACAAGGGCACCTTTCTTGACTACACCAGTAATGAACCGCTGGGCAAGGAGCCTCTGTCTGGGGAACTTGGCAAGGGTACCGTAACAGAGCCGTTCGACCAGGGCAACGATGGTGAGTGTCCCATTATCTCCAGATGTCTCATGACTGTTTTAGTATACTAACACAACCCAAAGCCAAGGCGACCGAGCAGGCGACCGAGAAGACATCCAGCTCAGATGAGTTCCTGAAGCTCGACCCTGTCACAAAGGGACCGACCGAGACCGAGATCCAGTCGACAGGAGACCCAAAAATCTACTCGAACAGCCAGGACCCATCCTACGCAGGCATGCCCATCGTACCCCTCAACCCCGACGCTGCTACTTCCAACACCGCTGCCACTCCGTCTGCGCCCACGACCACGGCCATCACAGATAAGGCTGGAGTGACTGATAAGCTCTGGAAGGACACTCCGCTTGATGACATCACTCGTTCAGGCGCTCCAGGAGCTGGCCCTGTTGCTCCTACCGATGTCACTCCTGCGGTTCCTGATTCAGCTGCCACGACTACCAGCCTCGACCCCGCTATCAAGACCTCCGCGCCCGACTCAGTGACAGCTTCTTCAGGCATATACTCTGGCTCGGAGCCCAAGACTTCCGGAGCTGGTGTCATCGTAGACACCAAGACAGAGGCAGAGAAGGAATCTGACAACCGGGATACCCCGGAGTGGACATCAACTGGTGTGCCCTCTGACAAGAGTAACTACGAGGCTGCTGCTGCTAAGCAGAACGCTGCCTCTCCTGGAGAGTCCAAGGGTACGTTTACAAACGAAGCCGGACACATTCTGGGCAGTGCTGATGGTGTTGCAGGTTTGACTGAGCCGGCAGTTGGTCGCAAGTCCGAGTCCAACGACTTGGCATCCTCCCCTAGCAACGAAGAGAAGGGCAGCAAGATGTCACACCTCAAGGAGAAGATGAAGAACAAGCTTCACATTGGCAAGGACAAATAAGCGCTTGCTTTGTGTCGCGCAGGGAACGATGATTGATGACAGACGAGATATGATACCACGGGAATAACAGGACATGCGAGAACGACGCTCGTAATATAGTCTCTGCAGATGATAATCTAATGAGTTTAGTTCAAATCCGCAAAAGTGATGCATCCAATGAGCGTCATGATCCTTGCTCGTGGCAGACCCTAAACTTAGCGTATCTTCGGTAATCTGACCTGCGAACATGTCAGCCTACAAGACTTGCTCTTATCACACGCCTCACTTACCGCCCAACCGCATCACGTTTGCATTTCTTCGATCCTGTGTGGATTAACGTGAGTCACTCGTCACGCGACTACACTCCCCCACTTGATCGTCCATCAAAAGCATTCTTTAGATACGTCGACGGCTATTCACGCGCTGGTTTGCTGAGCCTCCTTGCTTGCTGCGCCATCCAAATAGATTACGTTCATTCCTTCGTACCTTTTTATGCCGGTTGGTTTCCTTCCCTCAACCTTAGATCCCGCTAGCACCACGAACCATGGGTCACGTCTAGCGCGTGATGCCTGATGTGTTCTAGCCAGGAAGAGACCGTATTATCTTGCTTCGTATGGAATAAGCCTGACTATATTGGTCCTCTGTCATCGCCTAACGTTCCCATATTCTGAATCCACCTTCTTCCTGCTACTACCTTTCCCCAAGTCAACTATTTAGGGCATACACACGTACACACAGCACGAACATGGGAAATATCGGCAACGAGAATACGGCTCGAAGAGCTGACAGTTCTAGCAATAGGATTACACCAGAACGGGATACTCGTCTATCGAGGGATCTATCCGGCTCCCCGCATCGCCAAGGCTATATGGATGAAGCAAATATGCTACGAAGAGCGGCGGGCAAGATCCCGCATGTTTGTGTGATCGGCGCTGGTGTCGCCGGGTTGAGATGTGCGGATGTGTTGTTGAAGCAGGGTATCAAGGTTACGATACTTGAGGGGAGGAATAGGGTTGGCGGGAGGGTGGGTACCAAGAAAAATAACCCAACTCTTGCACGAATGCTAATGAGGAGTAGTTATGTCAAAGTAACGCGTTAGGCCACCTAGTCGATTTGTGAGTCCACCTTCATTGGACCTGCAACATGTCAAATGAGCTGATAAAGCATACAGAGGCCCAAATTGGATACATGGCACCGATGACAACCCTATATTAGACCTCGCCAAGGAAACGAAAACGATTACCATGAATTGGGATGGACGGCAATCCGTCTTCGACAACCTAGGAAACCACATGCCTGATGAAGACGCAGAAAAGAATACAGAACATGTCTGGTCAATCATCGAGCAAGCAATGAAGCATTCGAACGAGGACTCCGCCAACATACCCGCAGAGAAGAGCTTGTACAACTATTTCGAAGAGCAAGTCGAAAAGATGTTCCCAGACCAGAACGACGAAGCAAAACAAAAGCAACAAACCATCCTCCAGATGGCCGAGATGTGGGGCGCCTTCGTCGGCTCGCCAATCCAAACGCAAAGTCTAAAGTTTTTCTGGCTTGAAGAATGCATCGACGGCGAAAACCTCTTTGTCGCATCCACCTACGAAAAGATTCTCCGAAAGATCGCCGAGCCAGCTCTCAAAGGAGCAGAGATACGATTCGAGCACAAAGTAAACAAGATAACCTCGCGCGAGGAAAGTGGAAACATCAGTGTAACAGTTGAGATCGACGGTAAGGGAAGTATGACATTCGACGAAGTAGTCATGACAGCACCACTAGGCTGGCTCAAAAGAAGTACCTCCGCTTTCGAACCAGCATTACCGCCACGCCTGCAACAAGCTATTCAAAATCTAGGATACGGTCATTTGGATAAAGTGTACATCACCTTCCCAACCGCTTTTTGGAACGTATCAACCTTGTCCTCCTCAACAACAACCATATCCCCCTCCTCCCAACCAGCCCCAAACATCACAGCAACAACAGCACCCCTCCATCAACTCGCTTCCGCCTCAACAACTACCCACTACCCAGGCTTCACACACTGGCTGCACCCCACGTATGCCACCCAAACCAACCAAGAAGCCTGGAACCAAGAAGCCGTCAACCTCGCCGCCCTCCCCGACAACACCGCTCACCCAACCCTGCTCTTCTACACCCACGGTCCCACAAGCCAACATCTCGCCTACCTCCTATCCACCATGCCCACCACTCAACACAACTCCCTGCTAACAGCCTTCTTCCACCCCTACTACTCACTCTTACCCAACTACTCTGCTTCCAGCGCAGATTGTGTTCCTAGCGCTGTGCTGGCGACAGCGTGGGCGAACGACGAGATGGCGGGTTGGGGCAGTTATTGCAATTTCCAGACTGGATTGCAGGAGGGGGATGGGGATGTTGAAGTGCTGAGGAAAGGGGTGCCTGAGAGGGGAGTGTGGATGGCGGGGGAGGCGTGTGCGCCGTTTGTGGCACTTGGGACTGTGACGGGGGCTTGGTGGAGTGGGGAGGGGGTGGGGAAGAAGGTGGGCATGGCGTATGGGCTAGGGGGTATGGAGGGGGAAGGGACGATGAGTGGCGTTTAGAGATATAGATGGGAGAGATAGGTTGGGGGTATAGATGTTATTGTTGTCTCAGTTGAGTGAATGTTTTCTGTACTTCTTAAATAGATATCTGTCAAAGTCCTCTCGCGTCCCTTGTCCTTGCCCTTTTACTATTCCACTTGGATCTACGCTACTTTACTCCCCGCGACAGTGCTTTCGCAACAGCGTAGACCTTTGGTTGCCCTGATATACCGCAAGCTGTCGGCGGGCAATATAGCGCTCGGTATAGCTCGGGTATGCACTGGCCGCTGTTTTCGGGTTCCGATAGGTAAGAGGGAAAAGGCTCGGTAGAGCTCTCGTTAAATCATGTAATCGATGGTTCTTCAGTTTGGTACGCCAAGGATGGATCGGGTTCCGATAGCAGATTTGAGTAGGCTGGTACGCTTCATATCTCTCCTCGAAGCGTGTGAGATGGGTACTCCGCCTTCTGTAAGGTTTGAGAAAGCGGCCAACATAGGATTCTATCGCTTGGCTGGCTGCTTGGTTGCTTGTTGTGGTGGTCGTTTGGTTGTTCGTTCGATCAATTACTCCAACACCAGTTCCCACCTCATTCCACAATCATCTCAACACCATCTATCACAAATCTCGAGCCCGCGAACTCACTCTCACCAAACGCCCACAAATCCTTCGTCGTAATCTCCGCCCTATTTCTCGCCCACCCCCCTTTCCATACCCCTTTAGCTTCAACCCTATACTTTCCCATGCCCGTTACCACCGCCGCGCTCTTATCAAACAAAACTTCCCTGCTCACGTTCCTGCCTGGCGCAAGCTCCACAATTTGGTTCGGCGGCGGCGGCATCTTACGCGTGATTCTTCGAACAACTTGTTCTACAGCCTTCCCGTCTGCCGTTGTTATACTGAAGACGCCTGTGTCTAGCGCCGAGGCATCGAGGGGTGTGGCCCATTTGAGGAGCGTATAGGTGGTTTCTGGGTGGTTATTTTGCAGGGTGACGAGGAGGGCTGGTGGGGAGGTGGATATTTGGCTGAGGGAGAAAGTGAGGCCCGGGATGCCGTTTGTGGTTTGAAGGTGCGGTGTGGTGAAGGTGAGGGAAGTGGGGGATTGGTAGATGTAGAATGAGAGTAGGAGGGTGAGAGAAAGAAGAATTGAAAGGAGGGTTGCGAGGGGGTGGGGTAAGGGTGGCATTGGTGGGTCTGTAGATGTCGTATAGTAAAGGTTGTAATGATGACAACGTACTGAAGCTGCGAGATGAAAGGAAGAAAAGACTGGAAATCCCAGGTACCTGAACCTCACATGTATCGATATCCAAAGGATAACAACCTACCCTCCCAATGACTGTTTCCATACCCGACGCGGCGCACTCGGCGATGTAGCAGTATAGCAAGCGATAGTATTGGCACGCGCACCCCAACCCTCACCACCACATCTTCCTCCCAACGAATCACATTCGTCCACCCTATATCACCTCTCGGTGTATATGCCACAAAGAGGCGGTTTTAATCTCCATTGGGGCTAGTCACCCCGCTTCCGAGGTAACTAGTAACGGCAGGAAAGTAAGCGCATTTAGAAACGAGGGGAAATTGTGTTGATTGTGGCGGAAGGCAGGGATTGTTTCTGGATAAGTGGGTGCAGAGATGTGAGCGCGGAACTTGAGGTAGGGTTAGACGGTGTTTGTGGGGGTTCCAAGGGTTTCAGTGGGGCTGGGCAGGCGGGCGCCAGGGTTGTTTGGCGTCTTGGCTGAAAGGTACGGGGAGTGACAGGGCATTAGAGAACACAATGTTTGTGTAACATGCTATGTTTATCCTGATTGTGCTGGCATTGCGCTCGCAAACTTGAGGCGAAAGATGATAAGTGAGGTATGATTTTGGGGCATGGGTCGTAAAGTCAACATTGTATTCGTTATCGCTCTCATGATTATCGTCAACTTTTATACATCAACCGACGCGTTATCGCGTGCCAAGTTCCGTGTCATGGAGAAGATGTTTCAACCCCATTGAAATCTCTCCTCGTCGACACGAGTCCCTTCTTCCCAGCACTTTTCGATCCATCCCAATCCGACTACGCGGGCAAGGCCACTGACCTTCGCTTTCCCCTTTGCTGCCGAAGTTTGTCCATCTGCTACAACAACATGCGTTACATCCTCTTCATCTCCATCACCTACAATCTGCCCGCCTCCAAACCTCACATAGTTCTTTGCTAGTTTTGCTCTCAGCTCCAACCCCACTTCCGCAGAGAACTTCACCTTGACGTTCCGAAACATGTACGTTTTGAACTGCGAAAAGTCCTCCCCATGCCCCTCAAGTTGCTCTAAAAACCCATCTCGACTAAATGTAGTCTTCGGGGTTTCCATCCCATCCAGCAAGCTCCGCATTTCCTCCATATCAGCGATATCGCGTGCATACGAGTCCCCGTTATCATCAAGATTGGCTTCGTAGTCCATTTGGTCATCGTCATGCAGGTAGTACATGTGTCTGTTAGGTTCAAAAGGGAGGAGGTAAGGAGGTGCCCCAGCATCTCGTTCGTTTTGCATTATGCAGTCCTGTAGCCAAGCTGGCTTGACAACATTATTCGTGCCACGCTTCTCAAGAGAAGCAACTTTGATGAGTCGCTTGTCTGCAACGATGACAAGGTCTTTGGCCGTGGAATCGCGCTGGACAAGTCTTCCCCCATTTGCTTTAACGAGTGCTTCCAGGTCTGCTTTTGATTTCTTGGTTGGGTAGACTTGCTCGGTCATTATGTAAAAGGCTAGGCCTTCGAAGACTTTGGATGCTGGGCCTGCGTAAGGGGTTTTAATTGCATCGTCGCTAACTACGGTAAGCGGTTTCTTAGCTGTGCGAGCTTTTTTGCGACGGGACTGTTCAATTTTGAACTCTTTCTCTTTCTCCGACTTCTCTTTCTCTGCTCGGGATTTGACATCGAGGAATTCTTGGACTGAGAGTGCTTGGTCCCAGCGCTTGTCTACGCGGAGGAGCTTGAAACGTGGGAAGCGGAGGGTTAGCGTGGAGCGGAACTTGTCGCTGCTTTCTACGCTGGCGGCTTTACATTCTAGGACCACTGATTCGCTCGGTCGAATCCATTGGTCTGGCCGCTCGTGTTGACGATTTTGTTCATGGCCGCCCAGCTCGATGAAGAGAGGTGGTCGTCGACGATCCCAATTGTGCCATTTTCCTTCTGTTCGGCCTCGTATGGCAGCATAGTCCTCGCGACTGAATCCGCCCCCGACTTTAAAAAATGACCAACAATGCTCGTATTTCGGATCACCCGGCTTTGCGTCCTTGTCTGTTAGTAATGCGCATAGGAAGGATGAGTGCACACCGCCGCGATGACCAGATCCGAAGTATCCGCCGACAACTACACAATCGAGCGATTCACCAAACTCTGACATATATTCTGGCTTGACCTTCATCCAGTCGTTGTTGCGCTGGCTGAGGCAGTACATTGAACGGGGGTTCTTGAGTACAAGGCCTTCGGAGGATTCCGCGATGACCTTGCGCAATGCTGGCTCAATCTCGGTATGCGAGCGTGCTTCAATGTATGGATGAACTTCCAATCTTCGAGGCACACCTTTGACAGCACTTTCGAGAGCACGCCGGCGATCACGTAATGTATACTGTGTGAGTAGTTTGTCGTTGAGATATACGCAGTCAAATACTCGGAACAGCGGCCGTTGGCCAGTATTTTTGTTCGTTTTGTTCTCCTTTTCAGACAAGGCTGCCGTTTTGAGTGTGCCAAAGCCAACAATATGGTCAGTCTCCATATCCCATGTGATCATTTCGCCGTCCAAGATGATGTTCCTGACATTCTCCCCGAACGCATCGGTGATGAAGCGTGTCAGTGCACCAGCCTCGTCGCCGTCAAAATGTCGACCATATAAATATGCGTAGTCCTTTGCCTTGCGTGACCAGAAGCCGAACGATTTCCCGCCTGGGGCATCTGGATCCTCCATCATATGTAGCTGCATTCTCTCCCCGTCGAGCTTCTCCTCAATCCAGAAGGTATCATCATTCTCGTCTCCCTTGAATCTCGTGACAAGCTTTTCGAAAGAGCCAACCTTGTCTTGGAACTGAGCCAACTGTGGTTGAAAACACTGCATCAGACTGAGACCAGTGTCTTCGCCTTCTAATCGAAGCTTAGTGTCGAAGAGCTCCCAACACACACGTCGGAGGTTTGATGATATGTTGAAGAGTGTTTCTGCATCTGGATGCCATATGTCGAGAAACGTCTTCTCCGTCGCACCAATCTTCATCTGACGCAAAATCATGCGGATCAGCCAAGTCATCTCTTCAGCATTCATCCTCCGATAGAATCTCTGGAAAATCTTGACCTGCTCATCTTCGGCACCAACTTGCGACAGCTTATCCAGTGCATTGTTGACCTCCGCGATTGTCATGTCGCTGTACACGGTTTTGAGTTGTCGCGTTGACAGAATCTCATAGCACCTCCCTGCAAAGTCACCTGCTGTGGAAGCTGAGGCCTTGTTGAGTTGTCCAGGCAGTTTCCAATTGAGCATGTGTTTGGCATCATCCGAGTCCTTGCCGATTCTGGTGAGTTTGATCAACACCTTTGCAATTGCCTTCTCTTTCAGGCCGTACATGGGGCGATCACGGTCTTTCTCGGGTATGATGAGTCGCATTGCCGGGTAGAAGTCGTTGCCGACCTGTTTCCGCCAATTTGCGATGAACCTTTCAATGATGTTCCGCTTGGCTTCATGGGGTGACATGTTGGCGTGTCCGTGTGGACCAACTCGCCGACGAGCCCCCACTGACTGCTTCTTCTTCTGCGTCTCCATGAGCGGATTGAAGAGGTCAGTGAATAGTGTGTGGAACGGCAATGTTTTGTGTAGGTTTATTGGCCTGGTCGGGTATTTATCATCGAGGTCGTCATCATGGCCGTACATGAGAGTATTCTCCTTAATCGCGTCCGCATCGGGCATTGGGGTATCTTCTGCCATGTTGAGGGCATTGAAAGAGGAAACACTGGATGCGCTGACAATATGTATTTGAAGTGCGGGCAGTGGTTGCCTGGCAGGTCGCGTTTAGCGCTGCACGTGCTCACGTGATGAGTGGCCTCCGAATCCGGTTAGCGCATCATCACTCATCCATGCGACTGTGGAGATAATTCACTCGGCCGCAATGCCAGTGCTTAGCAGTGCTAATCTTGGAAACATGGGCTCCTTTCCGTTTAATCGTTTGCTACTTCCTGCACCATAGGGTCAGCTTATCGGATTTATCGACCTCATCGTGCCTTAGATACGTCATTCTTGCCCGCCAAAGCCACCAAAGCCAATGGACCGTAAATGAGCTCGGCACGTAATCAAGGCTGGGTTCCGCAGTCGACTGGCGATACGCAGCACAACGTCCGCGATGCCGCGCTGCGAGGTGCTTCGCTCGCCTTCTCGAAGCCACGCCCGAAACCCAAGCCGGTGGTGAAGAATTACACAGGCGGAGATAATGGGGCATTGCTTGCGGCCACCCGAGTCGGAACACGCAGCCCTGCATCCGTGCGGAGAAACTACACTGGCGGTTCGGTAGGCGGCACCAGGCCAAACCTATCCAAGTCAGACAGCTCCAGCTCCCTGGGCGTACCTGACGATCACGGCGACCGCATATCCTCCCCGTCCAATATCGCGGCTCGGCTTGCAGCTGCCCGACACAGCCCTCTGCGGCCGACACGCCAGGCTGCCGTAACATCCGTTATGGGCGAACAACAGACGGATGATCGGGATGCACTGCCTCCGTCTGGGAGCGTGGGAAACGTGCTGGCGAGGTTAGAACACAAGAAGCCCGCTCAGCAGCCCCAGAAGAGGAGAGATAGTCTGGGATCACACTCTGCTGCTGCCAATGCTCAACGGCCAAAACCACACCATGAGACCACCGACGATACTCCTATACCGCCTACCAATTCTTTGGTGAAGATGTTTGAGCAAGCCCAACGACCTACCACCCCGACAAGTACACCTGCCGCACCCTTACACGTCACCCGAGACTCCCCACCTCCGGTTCGATCGCCCAAGCCACAGCGCGCATTCAGAATGCCTCCCGAGCCAAAAGAAGACGCTGCGCCATTGCATAGGACCAGGACGCATACGCCACCGCCCGTCAAGCCAAAGCCGAACATTGCTGTCCAGTTGTCATCGCCAAACATCGATAGCGTCCGCGAGCAAGCATACTTTAATACACCTCAAAAGGACCCCGTCAAGTCTCCCCGCATCAGTCAGAAGCCAGCACAATTGACGCCCATCAAGACAGCAATCTCTGCACCGCCCAAACCACCATCACGAAAAGCATCCAGTCAGGCACAGCTAACCTCTGCACAGAAACGGAGAGTGTCTACATCAGGAGAAGGTCTCATGTCGCCCTCGTCACCTTCATCTTTCAAGTCGGCCAAGGAGGAGCAGGAAGAAGAGGAGGAGAAAGAGAAGTCCAAGCCCAGCCTACCACCACCTCGGCGAGCAGCCTCACGGAAGGCTGACTTGGCCCCAGCAGCCAGCAAACTCCAGCCATCCGCACCGATCCAGATGAAACCACGTACGCAGAGCCAGAACCCGACTCCAACGCGACGCCAAAATATCTCTCCGCCTCGCCGGCCAACATCAACTGCAGGAAGCGCATCGTCGTCGGTATATCACAACAACTATCAACGCGAATCGGTCAAGCAGATCACACAACACATGACCGGAGAGTCACTTTCGAGTGCGATAATGGGTGCAGCCCTGGCATCTCACTCGCGCAACGCTTCTCCAGCATCACGTCCAATGTCGGTTGAGCCGCTTTTCCCGCCCCGCAAACATCACCACCATCACTCGCCGTTTCATCGTTCGCCCTCACCGCAGAAGCAATCACCACCGAAAAACACAGGCAAGATGCGCACCACTATGCGCAAAGAGCCTTCGTCATCGGATGATGAGGACAGCAAGGTTGACAAGTACAAGAAAAAGGGGACCCGCATCATGGGCATCAAAGGGCGGAAACACCCGAACAAGCATCATGAAGGTACAAGGCGGCGATGGCGCGATCAGATTACAGAACGAGAGCGGAAACGGTATGAGGGGGTATGGGCGGCAAACAAAGGCCTTTATCTACCCCCGTCTGCGTCCACATTACCTGACGACGATCCCTCAGCGGATGTTTTGAACCTCTGTGTCCAGGAGATTTGGACACGAAGTCGCTTGCCTACACACGTATTGGAAGAAGTCTGGGACTTGGTTGATAGCAGAGGAGTCGGCAGGCTTAGTAGGTATGAGTTTGTCGTTGGCCTTTGGCTGATTGACCAGCGGTTGAAAGGGAGGAAGTTACCGATCAAAGTCAGCGACAGCGTGTGGGAGAGCGCGAGGGGTGTGGGTATCAAAGTTAAGATACGGGATTAGATAGTTCTGGCATGAACCGTGTGGGTGGGTTTTGGTTAATTAATATCCTTAAATCAGGAGCTTGAACCCCTTTCCTAGGGTACGGACTAAAGTCTAGTCTTGCCCATTTCTCTCTCTCTCCTCATGATTCTCCTCTTGCATACTAACCAACCCAACGCTCCTAATAAAATTCGCCATACTCCAAAACCCGCCGCTGAAATCAAGATCATACCAGTAATTTACAGCACAACAGATCCCCTCATCGTTGCAGCTCTGACTCACTTTATGATACCACAGTGCGGGCAGGTATAACACATCCCCCTCTTGCAGCGTAACGCGCAACGGACACGAGAGATGGCTGTACGGTGTAGCGTTTACACTGGGGTTATCCGGATCCCACGTCGCAAATGGTACATATTCCTCCGGACTATCAATCTTGACATACAAATCTTCTTTCCTAATGTCTTTCCTATCCCCATGTTTGACTGCATATGTCGCCGCCAGCACCTCCCTCTCTGCTACACAAGCCGCCTCCACCGGCGGCAACAGCACAAAATGTTTCCTCCCTAGGACTTGCACGTAAATATTTTCGTAGTTATCTTTGTGCAGCGCAGTTGTGGAATGCGAGTTCCCAAGCCAGAAGTTTATAGCGTCAGGCTCGGTTCCGAGGGCTATTCGCGCCCAGGGGATGGAGGCGGGCACGTCGGAGAAGAGAGTTGAGTATTCGTGGCGGAGGTTGTCGTTTTGGGTTTGGAGGTAGTGGGTTGGGCCGGTGTAGGCTGAGCCTTGTTTTTCTTGGGACTGGATGGCGGTGAGGGCTATGGGGAAGGGCAGGGGGGTTTCGTGGGGTTTGACAAATATCGCACTCCTGCTGCTGCTGTTGATTGTGGTGTCTGGTGAGGATAGGGGGATGACGGAATCGGCATTTCCTCGTGGGGTCATGGCGACGTTTACGAGAGAGTCTTGCATTACAGTTGTGAGGTAGACTGTGGACCATTTTTTGCAGGCGGCGAAGTCAGAGGCTCCGGCGCGGAGGACGAAGGGTGTGTTGCGGGAGATGTGGCGGAGGAACTCGAGGGGTGAGGGGGGTGAGGTTAGGGTGGGAATTGTAGTGGGATTGAGGTCATGGTAGGTCGTAATCAGATCTACTCGAGTGTTAGGATAGGACAGAAATGTTTAAATTGATATGATGGGCTTGTAGTAGGACAAAACATATGAATAACATTGGATAAAGCGTGCGCTGTCGTGACTAGTTTTCTGTTTTCCAAAGTTATCCTGATAGTGGCTTGCTCTCGAGTAACGTAGAACATGAGAGAGGAGAAAAAATGCATAATGGAAGATAAATTCATTCTGAAAAAGAGAAGTAGAAGCACCTTTTACAGCATCTTGCAATGTTGCTTCGCTGTCTAAGCCAGTTGGTGCAGGCCTCGCACGATATCAGCATGACATCCATAGAGGACTACCTGAACCAGCGCTTACCGTAATCTAGCCTGCTCCAGACTGTTCAGCCCTACAATCTTATCTTCGCCCTGCAACATGTTCGATGTTCCTATCAAGTCACGCAAACTTGTCGAAGTGGGATAACCCCACGGAGTTAAGTTCTTAGCGTCGGAAATACCACCAGCTTTGTAGATTTCCCACATCATCGCACCCGCACCTCACACACAGCGCTCGCGCAGCCATTGCAACCTGCTTCCAAGAAAACGCATAAACCCAACACCTGCCCAAATATGCTAGAGCGATAACGAAGCTCTACATATCCCGCGTAATGCCGCTACCATGGTCGTTTTTCCACCGCCTCCCCAATAGATCCGGGACACCGCTCTTCAATGTGAATGCCTTGGCACGTACGTAGTTAGGTCCCCGGAAGTCCGCCATTCTTCATTCCCACTAACAATACTCCTCAAGGCTGCAGTGTTATTGCTGTACAATTACTCCTTCTCCGCCACTGCTTTGCACGATACATTGGCTGGTTCGAAACCACAGACGGCATCTCGATGATGCCGACGATGCCCCCGAGAGGAAACGTCATCATATACTCTAGTCTGCACCGCCGCGGTCGGGAATTAAAGTCGGCGATGTGGTGACGTACGTGCATCCTATTTTCCCCAATACGAGGGGTTGCAAGCGCGTTATTGGTATGCCCGGGGACTTTGTTAGCGTGGTGTCCCATGCGCGCCTCCAGCAGGATGATAAGTTTGAGGAGGATACGAAGGGAAAGTTCGCAATGGTCAAAGAGGAGTTGATTAGAGTGCCTGAGGGGCATTGTTGGGTACAGGGGGATAATCTGGAGTGGAGCCGTGATAGTAGGTTGTATGGACCGTTGCCTTTGGGGCTTATCAAGAGCAAGGTTCTTGCGGTGGTTATGCCACTTCGGGACGCGAAGTGGGTGGGGAGTAAGACGGATCTTGTGGACCCGGTGGGAAAGGAGAGGGAGTGGGTTGTTACACCAGGCAGTCGAGTGCCGTAGAGTTGTAACTTTTGTACATACGGCAAGGCAGTGAGATTTTCTCTTGCGATTGAGCATCGAAACTGCTACTGATATCACGCAGATTGGGTACATACGCAGGTACGGCGAAAACATCACTGTGCAAAATTACAAACTTCAAGATTCGGACACATAATTTCTATAGAAAAGATCATATTCAATTCAACAAAATCGATACATAACAAACTTGCAGAAGTGGCAAAAACAACACCGACCACTTAGAACGAGGTGTAGTACCTCAGACTAGTGTCAACATTGCGAAAACAACCACGATCCAAAGCTGTCATCCCCTAATTGCCAGAAGCCTCGGGGTGGTGAATGGCATACATGTGGTTGATGAAAGCCTCGTCATTGAAACGATTCTGCTCTTCGTCATCTTCAAGATCTTAACTATCTTCCTCAAAAGCGGGAGCCATGGCCTGCAGTTGGAGTTCTACACCATGTTGTACCTCAAGCACGCGATCGAGATGAGAGGCATTCTCACCATCGAAACCATCTGGCCCTCGAAGTTCAAACAGACGCTGGATCTCAAGATCTAAACGACCCTGCTGCTGAATCAGTCTCCGCAGTCGGATAAGCCATTGATCATGCATATCTACAATCGTGCGCTGACGGACGGGAACCGGTCGCTCTACTACAGCAAGCTCAAGGTCTCTATCGTACAGCTCGTGACGCCAGTAGGGACATGTGTTGTTCAGTTGTCCATGGGTGGCCAGGTCACAATGCATGTCGTGTGGAATGTGTGGTTGCATGCTGTCAGCTGGACGACGAACTGGTCAAGATGCTCGTAGCAGATGCTACAGACTGAATCCTCAGGTTGAGCGGGGATACCGGCGAGGCCTACCTCGAAAAACTCGGCCTGTGAGACGAGAGTAGCGGGAGTAGCGAGGGCTGTAGGTTGGTTGATTGAATCCATCGTTGTTGTTGTGAGTTGAGTGGATGGATGATTTATAGAGGGGGTGGAGGGTAGAGCTTATATATTCGAAAGAATTCAGAGTCCTGCATTGTGTACAATTTGGTGTTTATGTACAGCGCTGTGTGGGACTTCTGTGAAGGCCTCGCAGGATTCGGGGCTGGTATTGCATTTGCTGTGAAAGTTTGAGGGACATTGTACGAGCCAATTGGGAAAGTTCACAATATAGTTTTAGTGTTGTTTTACAGTGTCTACATATCTTCATCTATGTTCAAAAAAACTTTATTCGTCTTGTGAAGTTGTAGGTCGTTTTCTACTCTCCCGCAGTGATCTTAGACGGGTGGAAATCCCACTATTATCTGTCACCCTCTACCCCATTCTCACATCGAAGGCATGAAACTTGGTACACAGTATCATTCTGCCAACTGGGTGAAATCAAATATTTGACAGCGACAGGTGGTCAAACCACTTTGTTCCACTCCCAGTCGGTATATCTGTCGCCTAGAATGGCCTTTGTACATTAGTATGTCAAGTATTTCATATCACACGGATGACGCCCATATCGTACCGGGCGACAAGAGGCTCATCGCCTCAATCAAATGACCTTTGAACTGCATCTAAGCGGTTGAATAATTTCGCATAAGACTATAACCATGTAATAATGGTCTACCTGGGCCTGATCAGCTTTGATCTACCCAGGCCGTTTCAACTCCAAAAGTTGGCACAATGAAAACCCAACAGCCCTCATTTCCCTCTCCCATCAACTCCTCTAATCCAGCCACAAGAATGCCTAATCCCCAGTCCAAACAAAACAATCATAAGCGTCCAAAGTAATACACCAACTCCTAATAAGCAAATTATAGCAAACGATGGCCCATAACTCACATTATGCCAATCATCGTCATCATCATTAGACTGCCAGTTACGCCTGCGATCTACTCTCATGATATGCTTTACTCCATGTCTCCTAATGACTGCAAAATGAAAGCGATCAAGTGAGTTTCTAGTTAGTCGGAGTTTTCGTCTTTCAACTATAGCGTCAGTGAGATCATAGTAAGATCTGGGGAAGATATAACCTTCTTCAAAAACGGGTTCGGGATCCGTGTCAATGACGGCCGAACGTATCGGCTCAAGCAGCTGCCGACTTCTAGTGCGGGATGCGTGCTGTTGGCCTGGTAGCCCTAGCGTTCTGACAGCATGATTGCGTAGCTGCTCAAAAACTTCACGTTCGTTTATCAGCTGTGGCCTCGTTTGATCTAAGTGTGCCAGCAAATCTATCGTCATATCGAATAGACGGCGCAGGCGGGTTGGGTTATTTTGTGGGGTTTGGTTGGGGAGGTAGGTGTAGCTTTCAGGGACTTGGGGGCATGGGTGTTGGACGTTAGGGAAGATGGGGTTATGGTTTGACATTGCGTCTTGGGGTAGTAGCGGCGGAAGTGGTGGTGTGGCGCGAGATGAGAATGGTGGTACTGCTAGTTGACGAGCGTGTCTTCTGCCTTCTATTGAGGCGGTTGCAGCTATGGTATCCCCAACTATCTCGTTGGACTGTGGCGTGAAACTTGTATTCATAGTCGGAGCGGCAGCTACACGATGCATGATTATGGGTAATGGAGAACCATAACCAGGGTCCTGTAGTGATCTTGTAGTCTCCTCAAACAGGTATGGCGACGAAGGCGGTCCGAGAAAGGAACTGAATCCATCGCCCCGAGAATCGTAGACTCCCGGTAGCCCATCCAATGCGTAAAATATGTCGTCCAGGTTTTGGAACGTAACACTAGAACTGGATGGGGGTATATTTGGTAGATTTTCTCTCCGCGTAGACTCTGGATCGGGTTCGTAGAGTTCGCGTCGGCAGTTTGGGCATACTCCTCGCTTTGTGCCTGTACAGGGCGCGTTCTTCTCGAACCATCCCAGTACGCATGAAGTGTGAAACTTGTGGCCGCAGACGACTATCTTTACCACATATTGCTCAAGGCACACGAGGCAGATGCTGCAATCATCCTGTTCGTCACTGCTATCGGTGCTAGTGTCGATGGGTGTGACGCCGGCCATGTAAAATTCTAACTGGGTCCGTAGGGTAAACATGTTGGGGTCTCGTGGTGCCGAAGACTCTGTGTGGGATGCGATGATTGCCTTAGGAAAGTTGTTATGAATGCTTTTGGGAGACAAAAGGTGGTAGCTAGCTGGTGTTCAGGGTGGTGAAGCAGTGAGCCATTTCATGAGCCATAGACCTTACCATCACCCACTAGCGCGAAAGCGAAAAGTAGCCTATCAGAGCCCAGGAGAAAACCAAGGAGCAGGAGCAGATTGGGAATAAGGTTGTGATTACCGCAAAAAGAAGGAAAATGCTAGAACCAGGGTCTCCCAATGACGTGTCAAAAACAAGATTGCAGGAGGTGGTGAGCGACACCTTCCAGGCGACCTCGAGAATGGAAGCGTCTCAGTATGGCCATGTTATCAAGCGTTAACTATTAGATCCAAAGGGATCAGTCTTATCCACACGACAAAAGGGGATGGGGAAAATCACATACCAACTACACTAACCTCAACCATCACAGACACCGAAACACGATTTGAAAATGCGAAAAACATGGACAATGTTCTACTCATAACTTTCCATCTACAAACGCAAAAGCCAGAACACATAACTCGTCCCATATGTAGAAGGAAAGAGCAAAAAAAAACTCCCATAATGCAACCCCACTACTCCACTTCTAGTCTTTATCTCTTATACACACGCGTTACTCCCAACTCGTCTTCTCCACACTCGGCGTTCCCAAAACACCCACGCCATCCCCTCTTCGCCGCCTCTTCCCCAGAACCTCACAACCCCATTCAAACATCTGCCATGCCCACCCGCCTGCAACCATAACCCCACTAACAACATTGATTAAGGTGACTATCAGTCTCCAGAAGCCACCCCACTCCTCGACCACTCTCAGTACGATGGGCTCAATATCGAATTTTACAAAAATACCGGGCACGTAGTTCTCAGGCACCTTGTGCGACTGGCTGGTGACAGCGTACTGGTTAGTTTTGATGGCATGGGCGCCATGGAACATGGAGGCTGCACCGGGGTGGTTGCTGGTGGAGCCGACGAGTTCGAGGAGAGGGATGAGGGAGGGGTCGTCGGTGTAGATTGTGGGGACGATGGAGAGGTAGTATTGGAATTTGTAGAATTTGTCGTCTGGGGTGGGGGTTACGGCGATTGTGGCGTCGAGGGGGTTGGTGAGCGAGGGGTAGTAGGGGCCGAAGGACATTTCGCGGATGATGTGGGAGAAGTTGAAGGCTGGGGCATCTTGTTAGTAAACTTTTTGACTGTGGCTGGAAGGCGCGGCTTACATGAATGATCTAGATGTTGACCGAATTCAATGTATCCGTGGCCTCGGGCGGTAATGTGAAAATCTCCTTGCACTTTGTTTCCGTCCAGACTACCGTAGATGCGGCAACTATCCGTCTCGCCGCGGATCCTTGGTGTCTTACTGAACTTCCTCTTGTGCGCCTTGCCTAACTGTTCATGCACATCCCACACTTCTTCCCAGGGCTGTGCCTTGCCGGCATCAATACCCAGTTCATGTGTTCCCCTCTCCAAATTCCTGCCAGTCCACTGCGACCATGAAGTGGGATCCTTGCGCAAAAGCTCTCCGGCGAGTGTGCGGTCACCGGCTGCGTCCTGCATATTGACGTGAAGATCAGCGCAGCGCATGGCGACTATGACATCGAGGTTTAGTTGCATGTCGTGAGATATACCCTTCTCGACGGAGAAGGATTGCGACGTTGAGCCGGCTAACCAGCGCGATATCTCGGACCATGACAAGTAGATACATGTCAAGATGAGCGTTACCGTCCAAGCGGAGGAGTTGCGGCCTTGGACCAGATATGTCTTCTTGGTTTTGGCTAAGTATAATCGTTAGCTTCATCTCTTATCGTGAAGTATGGATAGCATCGCAAGAGCTCAACTCTCTCCACCACCAACACACAAAACAACCCTCCTAATTCCAGACTTACGAAAAGCATCAAAACTCGACACAACTCCGCCCTTCGCAGGCCCAAACGCATCGTCACCATGCCCATCCCCGAAGCCGTTCATGCTGGGTACCTAGCAGTTCAGTCGCGCATACAGAAAACGGTGGTCTGTAAACCCCAATCGCAATGGTAAAGCCCCAGTCGAAACGAAAGGAATTGCAACGCAAAAAAAGGGTGTGGGAGAAATTCGTGGGAGGAGAACGAGCGACGTTGTCAGATTCCGGGGTGTGAGAATTGCCGTCGCGAAAGGCCACCTTGAACTCTGGTGCAACGGCCCGCGTCCGTGCGCCCGCGGAAGAGGCCCGTTTGGGATGGCGCGTTTGGTGGGACGTCTTTCGGCCCTCACGAACAAACCCTTTTCATCACAGAGTTCATCACTAAATTGTGTTGAACGGGTATCTTCATCTCATGAAGGCGTTTTCATTCATTCATTCATCAAGTCTCAATCGACTTCATTCTGCAATCATATACCCCGTAGTTCCCCATCAACCTCGTCACACCCTCAAGCGCTCGCATCCCCCAGCCCACTAAACTTGCTATCCCCACCCTGCGCCATATCATTCCTGCTCGACACACCTGAAGGAACCGCATCCATCTTCTGCAACTTCAATTCATGCGCCCTCGCCGGATCATTCTCTGTCCCAACCTCTGGATACTTCCTCTCACCGCTCATGTCCTTGTCTTCCGTTAGGTTCGCTCCCTTGGGCTGAAGAACGTTGGGGTCAATGTTCTTGCCGGCTTGTAAGCCTGTAGGCGCGGAACCGGAATAGCTGGTTTGGCTTTCTGCTCCTCCACTGGATGATGTAGCACCAGGTGTAGCGTAGGTAGGTCCTCTGCCAGCTTCTTTGCCGTAGCCTTTCGCTTCGTTTAGTTCCTGGTCTGCGGTCCGGCCTTGTTTCGCCTCGCGCTCTTCAAAGTTAGTAGCTGAGGGGAGCTTGGTGGCGGAAGAGGTGTCGGTTGTGTTTGTGGTAGTGGAAGATGAGGGCTGTGATGTGGCTCCTGCTTTAGGGTTACCGGCGCCGAAGGAACCCGAGTTCTTGAGGGATTCGCCTGCGAGAGAGTCGGAGGTTACAGTGCCGACGGCCTCATTGATGCGGTTGTTGGCTTCGGGGTCGTTGGTGACCTGAGGAATGGGGTTAGTATGGTGAATTGAGATGTTGACGTGGCAAGGTCGAGATGTGGAAGCCGTAAGAAACCGCATACCTTTGTTCCGTATGAAGATGCCATATTGGTAGTTCGTTTACTTATCGAGAGTCAAGTGTTCGTACAATTTGATCAAGTCGATTATCAGTAACAAGTACGGTCAGGTAGAGTGCGGTGTTGTATTGTCAGTGAGAGAAACCTTCAATCCAGCCTTTTCTATGTATCCTACATACCATATACGTCTTCCCTCCATCACACTGACCAACTGCTGTGGCGTATCCTTGACGTCAAATAGTCACCTCAGCCTTAACCAGCCCCACCCTCCTCCCAAAATGTCAAAGCGCCAACGTCGATCGGATGCTCGGCAGGGTGATCCACATAGCGGATTACTAGAATTGGGCATTCGTGCATATTGCGGCTGCTATGGCGGCATGGCGTCAGGTACACAAGGTGCGAGTTCTCGACCAAGAGCTCTTGTGACCAACTTTCCGGTTTTACGGACTTACGCTGGTATGACGATGTTGTTGCGCCTGACAGACGATTATCACTTCAAACATCACAACACTGCGCAGTAAATACAGCAAGTAAATTTTACATTCGTCATTCATTCATTTCATCTAATTGTACATGAACACTGCTCTTGCAGGTCCAAGCTACTGAGCGCAGTGACAGCAGCCATTCATAATCGTGAAAATACTTTTCAATCCCACTTTCCCTCGGGGTCTGGGTATCTCAAGTGTTGTCCCCCTGTTTTGCAATGACTCTCTACTGCTTCATACCGGAGCTGGGGTCGTTCTTGCCCGGGTATCCGTAGTCCTTGCCGGTGGTGTCTGCAAGACCAGAGTGGTCCTTTGCTTCGCGTGAGACGGCGTCGTTGGGGAGACCACCGAGACCGTCCTTAGCCTCACGAGCAGCGGGGCCGCCGACAGCGACTGCGGGCTCACGGATGGCACCGCCGCCGGAGGCGAAGGAACCTTCTTGGCCGCCAGAGCCGACGTTTACGGTGCGGGCATCTGAGGAGTTGAAGTCTGAGGCGACGGGTGGTTGGTCGGGAAGGGGAAGGTTGGACTGGGCCTCGTTGACGGCTTCGGGGTTACCCTTGATGTCGACAGTGGTGGGAGCGTAGCCTTGCTGAGAAGAGACCATTTTGAATGTGATTGTGTTCTGCATATGTTAATAGGATGTTCATTACAGGGATATATGGTTGGGATTTTAAGTCAGGGATGCAGACTTCAAAACCTCGCGCCAACCGCCATGGGATCTCTTACTTACAAGTTTGATGTGGAAGATTTGTTGAAAGTGAGAAAGGTTTGATTTTCGATGTTAAATTGCGAATTAATTTGTGGTTGTGACACTGGAAAGAAGACTCCGTGGACGCGTTGGACTTTTATTATCGTAGCGGGGAGCCCTGGCCCCACCAGTGACGTACTTCTGATGCAATACCGCAACGAAGATTTCTATCAACCTCAGAGCGGGCCTTGCTCACATCGATCATCGGGTATCCTTCTGCAAAATTGGTTAGTGCTCATGTCTGTGCTTTGAAGGGGTTAGGGACCGCGAGTGCGAGTGTCGCGTGTGGTTGTGCTAGTGCGACAGAACCATGCATGATCTTCGCAACCCCCCGAATCTTCGGCATCCTCCTAAATCTGCCTGATTATCTAGCACGCTGGCAAGTATACCCAGTGAGAATATAGACTTTGATAATGTTCTTTCACAAAAAATTCCCATGATCTGTGTTTGTGCTGGGTTGTTCTTCAATGTGACACGTCACGGCGCTGAGTCTAGTAACGCACTAGATAGCAAAAAATGAGATTTCAGGCGTGAATTAAGAGGAACGGAACTCCTTCTGATAGAATTTCGGCATTTGTTGCCCAAGTCCGGCGGGCTGATGAGTCCGGACGTCTCGAGGACACAACCAGCTATATAGGGAACATGTCCACCATAAGTAATGTCTCAAGGAATGGAAGCCCAATTTCGCAAGAACCAGGCTTGGAAGCGGGTCACCCGAATGTCTGGGAAGACTGAGTTGAGGTATGCCGGTACTGCAAAGTCATAAAGACCCTCTGCTGTGGCAAGAAGCGGGGCGAGCCGCCTCTGCCCGGCGATGTCTCCGCCGAGCTGAGCCATAGTTATCTGATATTCAAGGTCTGCATAATTGATTAGTAGTTGCAAATAAAAGTCGAAAATGATTTCATACTCGCAGGGGCTTGGTAATCAATGCTAGCCCATGGTCGATCTAATCAGAGATCAGTGAGAAGGCATAGCAACACTTCGATGGATAAACATACTCCTGCAAGCTCTGATAGTTTCTACCAGATCGTGGACAGTCATGCGTTCACCGCACATGCTCATCTCGATAGGCCAGTCGGGCATATCGATGGCTCGTACCACGAACTGTGCTACGTCGTATGCGGAAGTCAGACATATCCAGGACGGGTTCTGCGCAGCGTCATATATTGGTGCCATTGCAGTCATTTGCCGAGGATCGGCGATAAATCCACCTTCATGACCATAACCAGTGCTGGATCCTATCCGGTGAGACATCATTCCGTTCACGGAGAACCGTTCATACAGTATGCCGCAAACGAAGACCGTGTATTGCATGTGGCTCCGATAATGCTCTAGCAAGGCCAACGCTGAGTTGTGATTACGATCGAGTAGCTCATTTTGAGCTCTTAGGCTTGGCCGACCTTCAAATTCAGCGGGTGCGAAACGTCGCACCCGACATTGTATAGCCGCTTCGATGAGTCGAAGTTGAGGGTTACCCATGACTGTGGAGATGACAGTGTCAACACCCATCAATGCATGTTGAAGGGAAGCAGCATTGTTGTAGTCGACGGTTTGACAATTGTAACCGGACGCTATAAGGCTAGTTTGGTGCTGGCTCGTCTTAGAATCGTCATATTTTGCGTTGAGGAAGGGAATGCATGTCCATTTGTAAGCACTCACCGTCCGCGAAAGGATGACCAATTGGTGACTGGTAGAGTTATTGAGCACCTGAGCTATTAGTAGTGCCAGGCCAGAGGTGCCTATGGATTATTAGATGTCAAATCGTTGCATATCTCAGGCTCCTAAGCCGATTGCCTTACCTGCTATTGCAACGCGCATGGTATTGGACATTCTTATCCTTGTAAAATCTTCTAGTGTGAAGAGTGAAAGAGTTTATAGGGAAGGAAAGGAAGTGGTTTCCAAAAATGCTCTGGTACGCAAGGACAAGATCACTGCCGCCTTTATGGCTGTCGATTACACCTCCTGTGTACGGCATGATCTGAGATCAGTTAGTGACTCACTGGGGTAGACCTAGATCTGCAAAGACGGTAAACGTGGTGCCTGGGTCATAGCGTTCAACCTACTTCCTAATACCGAAAAACCATGGTTTTCTTGATAATGACTACGTTACAAGGTTTATGGGGCCAACGCCTCCAATAAGCAGCCGTAGGAGCGTAATGTAATCAATCGGAGAACGGCTTTGTTAGTAGAAAGTCTCAAGTCCGGTCTAACGCTAGCATAAGTTACAACGGTTACCAGCATTCTTCTGCAATGTTCAGGGGTGATCGAAGACGAGTGTAGCAATACTCGGTGAAGGGCTGAAGGCAGACTTGGTGGCCTCTTGATCATAGTTGCCTACTTTCGCCTGCTTCGAGCTAAGAATGCACAACAGGTATGGTGTAATCCATTCGCTGTCATGCCGGTGAAGGCCTCTTCTGACTCTTAGTTGACCACACCTTGAGGAAAAGAGGCAAGTTTCTTGGGGACATGGGGCTGATGACAGAGACCTTAATAGGAGAATAAGTCATATAACCCATCGGAGTACCGGAAATGAATTCAATAGGAAGGACGATTGGCCTCCGCGAATGAACGGCAGATGGGCTTTGACGTGCGTCGTCATGGTGAGCGACCATAACGCTAGGCAAATCGTCCCAGCCAATCGAGCGACGACTGAAAGTCCGGTCACGATATGATTTCTTGTAGAAGGGTGTGGTCTGCAACACTGTAGGTTGTTGAAGATTAGTAGTCGTCAACGTTCGTAAGCCTCCACGCTGCAGTGGATCCGTAGGGCTAGCCCTGCCTCATGATGCGGCCGCCTTTAGGTACATCTGCAGCGGGTCGGACGCAAGGATCTCGTACGAAGCACCCGATGCTTACATTCGGCTGTATCAAGGGTGATCTTGTGGCGTTCGAGTAGTTTTGCTCGCGAGAACTGTCACGTCAACTCGCGCTTTTGAGCTATGACATGCGAACAGGAGGTCTCCGCCAATAGGCCACCATATAAGGAGGCTAAAAACTTGTCGGAGATGACGAGATAGGGAAATGGGGCCAAAACCGGTCAGGCTCGGAGTGTGTCGCACGAACGCCAGTAAAAGCCACAGGAAACCCCTTTGTGCGAGGCTTAAACTTCGAATGATAAATAACAACATATGAAACGAATTGTTGCGATAATATGCTATACCACAAACCCTTTTAGCAGGTTTCGCCCTGTTGGTATCATACCGACAGAGATCTATAGTACAGAAGCTGCCAGCATGTAGCATGCAAAGCGAAAACGTGCCATTCGGCCCGGATGCAAAAAAAATATGTCTTTACGTGACGAAAACTCCAACTCTTTTTCCCACAACTTCTGCCTTGAGTGAAACATGTTCACCGGTGGAGGTGGGGCACCCGGACAGACAGACAAACAGACAATGGGTGTTTTGACAGGCGCGACTGCATGCAAAGGGTCAGATGTTAAGGAGGACAAATGAATATGCACGTCTTGGGGTGATGGTAGGTGGATCGTGGGGAATTGCGGTTCAGCTCATCTTACGGTGAGAGTCGCCGCCAAGAGTGGAAAATTGGCTGGATTGTCGATAGGCGTGTTGTTGCCTAATCTTCTGCAGCGATGCATGCATGATGGTTGGTCGGAGCACTCCGATAGTAGAGAGTCTGTGCAAACAGTCTGTGGATGACTAGATGGTACATGCGGAGGCTCGGGTTTGCGGAGGCAGCCGTCGACCGAGAAGGTTAGCGTGTCACGTGCAGACGCGTGCACGTGTTTAATCCAGAACACGTACAGACATCAGTCAATATGTAAGCTATACCAAACAATAGATGGTTGTAGGTGATCATGAAGGGTCAGTCTCACGTGATTTAAGACCATAGTGAAGGCGTACAGAGAGTAGCTTCAGCGGTCGCATCGCTGGATGAAAAAGATTCCACTTAATGAAATGCGCACTTGACGCGGTTTCAGGTGCAAGTGGTTTCTCCTCTTCATGGCGCGTGGTAGCATTCACAGCGGTATTCATCAAGGGTAATGGTCGGAACTCTTGTATCAACCTGGAGACGCACGCGTCTCGTGTGCGGATACTCGTGACAAGAAAAGGCGCAGGGCTGAGAAAAAGGAAGCATATTGATCGTCCCGCACTTACGTGAACCTCGAGAAGCGGAGATGGGAGCTGCGGCTGAAAGAAGCAATGCAAACACTGCCACGACACCCAGCTCATGGTTCCTGTCTATTTTCTCTGGCATCTGACATGAGTAAGTAACTGCCATGAGTAAGTAAGCATTTTTCAGCCTCCCCACGCCCGTGCATACGTGATGATCTATTTCAGCGGTACCGATACTAGCGGACATTACATGAGGGTGCACGTGCACGGACTCGGTGTTCATGTTGAATGTCAAGACAAAGTGCCACATCGTCAAGAGAAGGAAAGCTTCAAGGCATACTGTAGATCTGCTTATACCTCTTGCAATGTGATAGTTGTCCGTACTTCTAAGCTCGGGCTTATTTTTTCTCACGAAGACGTGGTGTTATGCACGACATAGACCAAGCGCTCCCGCGGCTCGGGCCAATCTGATACGCGCCGGAAGACGCGCCTCGCAAACCTGCCACCATATTGCTCGCGTTACTCTTTCTTTAACAGTCACTCATGTCGCGTGGTCTATAATCACATTCTTTTATCTACCAACAGTCGTTTTCGCCTTCGCACCATGGCCGCCTCATCACCATTGCCCGCATCCCTGCCGTTTTCATCGCCTGCGTCATCGCGCTTTCGACGCGCAAGTTTCAGTCAATTGGCCTTTCTCGTCCATTCGCAGGAATCAGTCGCAAATCACATGCCACCAGATGTTGATAACAAGGCCCTTGCTCGCCAAAAGAGACGACGCACGAGGTATGTTTGCATTTTTGTTCAAGTTGTGGTCTTTTCGTCCCGACTATGTTGACCCCATGCTCGACGCGCTGGTCGCGCCTTCCGTCGGGAGCTATTCGGCCCAACTACCCCGCGGGCAAGCGACACTCCAACGACCCATCATCGCTAACCACGACACTCTGCAGCAAGGAGGATGAAGATATTCTCAAGTCTTATTACCTGAAGAATCCAAAGCCGGACAAGACGGCGCGCTTGGAAATTGTTACAAAGGTCGCACTCGGTGAAAAAGAGGTTCAGGTACGTCCGCTGATATTGCTCCACGTCACGAGTGTGCGCGTCCTTGCTAACATGCACTCTTTAGATCTGGTTTCAAAGTAAGTTGCTCTGCTCGCCGTCGCATCGCTGGCGACTGACGTGTCAGCGCTTTTTGAGCGAAACCGTCGTTGTGTCGCGTGCGATATCCGATCTACATATGATTTTCGAAACACGTCCTGATCACGCTTGCCTTAGATAAACGCCAAAACGAACGCCGTCGTTCGCGCCCACTGGAACCATCTTCTACCGCCTCGCTTATGTCGTCGTCGTCGACAATGTCCGACCCGCCTACCGAGGACGAGACGGTAGCTATTGCGCGAAACATCGACACATTGCCAGAGCTGGAAGAGGAAGAGTGCCCCAAGTCGGACCCACCAGAGCATCCCGCAACACCCGAACTCACATCGGACGAGACCATACCAGAACCGCGCACCGTTGATACAACTGTGTCTGCCACTGCCGAACGCGAAAACGTAAACGAAGCCGTCGTAGAGCCCTCGACCGAAGTTCTAAAATCGGAAACCGCCCCCACCGAACTCGCCAACTCACAACGTACTGCACCGTCTTCTCAGGGCGCCCCTCAGCCAAGAACATCATGGATCTCCAATCGTCGCAGCGCCTCGTTCGTTCGATCGCTTGAAGACTACACGCCCGAAGTCATTACCTTCCCCAACGCTCCTACTAAGCCATTTGAATCACCCGACCTCGCCACAAAGACTCCCTCGCGGTCACTGAAGCGTAAACACTCCTTTGTACGTTTGTCCACGACCGAGGATGGCACTGCGCGCATAGTCACCGACCTCGACAAGACACCTTCGCCACCCAAGTCGAGGAAAACTCCTGCTTCATTCTCGCGTGCTGCAGCTGGTATTAGACGGAGCTATAGCACCGCTGGCTTGAATGATAGACTCGCAGCTGCCGGCCGAGGAGAGCCTAGCCCCAGGCTGCCAAGAACAGTATCAAACATTGGAAGGAGCAGGGATTCGCGTGCATGGGAATTCTGGTGTGACCCCGAGAGCCGGTCGGCAACAAGCCTGACGACGCGTGCGGAACAAGAGGAGAGTGGCAGTGCAGCGGATGCTATTGGTATTCTACGCGCCAACCGAAATCGAAGGATACTGGCTCAGAATCAAGCTCGCCAAAACAGTAGCCCACTCATGGCACGCCATAGCTCTCACAAGGTGCAGGGAAGCCCGCTAGTCAAGAAATCTCGCGGTCCCATGCAACGCGCATCCACCATCAACGGTCGGCTCTCCAACATCGACCACTCGGACTACAAGAAGGGTGGCGAGAGCACAGAGTCGGATGACTTTCCTCAAACAGAGAGCGACAAGGAGAACTGGGAGCCCGGCGCGGACAAGTCAGTGTGTCGGGATCGCCAGGTCGCTGCCACGCCTCCTGCTTCACGAGCAGCTCGTCAGATACTGGGAGAGAACACTAAGCTCATGTCAAAGTCTTCAAGCCTTGGTGCACTGTTAGTTAGAGAGAAGAGAGGGGGTGATAAAGGCTTCGTCGACCCCGAGCAAGACGATGAGCTAAGGCTGTTCATGAACGGTGACGGCGCAAGCGGGCGGTCAAGCATAAACTCGGCCGAAGAGGCGGGGTGCGTAGAGGGTTTGCTCAAGTTGAGCCAAGGTCAGTGGAGGTAATTGTACCTACGTTTTCACCGAGGTATGATGGCATTTGCGCTCGCTGAGTTTTTTACGACGGGTCTGGCGCAACTTTCATTTGTTAGAATTGGTCAGCATCATTGCATTTCTAGCGACACGGAACATGGAACAACTGGGTAGATGGAGGTCGGCCACAATAGCCACAGGTGTTTGGTGTCTGAACGCTGATTGTTTGAGTTGTTTTCACTATGACATCTCAACAGAATTGAATAATTTTCTGACAATATCGATTTCCAGCCTGTTCTTGATGAATGTGTGGGAAATACAATGCTTGCCATGTGATAACAGCAGTCTAGTTCTATGAGTGAGAAGACCACGCCCCTCTCATCGAAATATGCGTTTTACTATTCCAGGTCTTTGTCCTCGCATTCAAGTTCCTTGACATATGGCACTTCACTCATTCGGAACCGCATAAACCTCATTAATAGTCTATCATCGCATCTATAAAATCAAAAGAAGAACAGGCAACGCGATAACAGTAGTTGCAGGGAGATGAGGGGGTAGGGAGACGATAATTTTAAAAAACGTGGCAAATCAACGAGGAATCAGGGGAAATTCACAAAAGAGATGTTGGTGTGGAAAAGGTGATAACGATTCATCCATCCAGCTAAAACAGAGCTGAACTTATCCGTTCCTTGTACCTCACATCCAGTACATAGTAATTTCTCGATGCTTCCACCTTCTCTTCCCCGCAGGGTTGTTGACAACAGGGTCCATATCACGGTCCCACCTTTTTACGATGTTCGGCATGAGCCAAGATTCCATGCGCCTTGCCACAATTTCCAGATCATCTTCATCGTCGTTTGTTTCGGCAGCAGACTTCTTCTCGTCTGTTTGACGAGATGAGTTGTGCGCGTTCTTGTTATTGCGGTTTTGTTCCACGATTCGCTCTACAGCGCGGAGTTGGTTATTATATTCTTGTCGCTTGTTGTTGTCAGGGTTGTACCACTCGCGGAGATAGCAGCGACCTCGTTCGCAGAGACGGTCGGCGTAGTAGGCGGGTAAGGCGTATGATACGCCTAGTGTTGTTCGGACGTAAGTATGGCATAGTCTGTGTGTCTGGGACTTGTTAGCAGATTGTATTTCTTGATCATTGATTTGGTGTACTTGCCAGGTCTTCTAATTGCTCAGTGGTCATTTGCATGTCATTCTTGATCACTGTGTAATGGGCAGAGCGCGCAGTACCTTTGATCCCGTTTTCCGTGTTGTACGGTGAGGTGATTGAGCTTTCAACGAGGAGTCCAGGTTTGCAATTGTTGTTCCTAGTCATGGCATCGATCTCTCGGAGAGGAAAAAATCGAGTACCGTGTCGTTTATTCACGATGACAGCGGTAATCTTCAGTTTCTGTACTTCTGTGTTATCCTTCTTCTTGCTCTTGACTAAATTTTCAAAGGCTGCCTGGATGCCTGCAACCTCTGTAGCATTGACATCATCGAACTGAGAGGTGCTGACGCCGTCGCGATAATACAGTACGTTCTCGGGGAATCTATCATGAAATTTGTACCAGTCATTGAAGTGAGTTTGGAGGAGGGTTGCTAGGCCCGTGATGATCTGAAAACATTAGCGCTATGCAAGGTAGTTGTTTGGGGATGCGTACTTCTTGTCTCCCACTCTGAAGCTTGAGTTTTCCTCTAAATCTGCCTCCATTTGCTTCTAGTGAACTGACAACAGCAACAATCGAGGGACAGCCCGCTAGTGCCCCACTACCCAGGTGTGTACAGTCTGCACTGAGCACTAGGGTTTTGAAAGCCATTGGTATATGTTGGAAGCAGAGTGATTAATGCCTGCCAGCTTAAGGTCCGCCTTCATAGCCACGTTAGCCATATACTGGTGGATGTTGGCTTTGTTCATGTGGGTCTCTGTGATATAGATTGCCTGAATATGAAACATTCGGTCGGCCAGGTATTTGAAGCTCGAATAGATATTCTGGTCTTTTTTGCGCATCAATAAGACAGATATGCTAGGAACAGGTGCACCTATCTTCCTTAGTTGCTCGAGATATTGGTGAATGGTATGTTCTAAGTGACCTTCTGAGCTGTCTCGTAGGGCTAATGGGGCGCCTTCTCTATCTGACTGTGAGGAAACACCAGTAAGGACAATTTGTCGATCGAAATTGTTTTTCAGTGTGTTTCCTGAGAGATTGCTGACGTGTGGTTCACATATTAATTTTCAACGAAGATTGTTCTCTCCATTCTTTAAAAATCTGATTTTCTGGAGGCCCCATCTTCCTGTGTCTTTATTAACGCTTTCGGTGGTCGCTGAGTTCGGATGGTACATGATACTTGGGTACGGAAGGTTAATTGAAGGTATCTGGAGCAAGTGGGAACTCATCTGAATTGGTTTGCAGCTCGAGCCGTTGTTCAGAACCAAGAACGATATATTGAAGTCCCTCTTGTTCAATTCGTGGACGGATCTCGTTAGGTGGACGACAGGCATTGTTATGGAAATCGTTAGCCACACCATCTGGAATCACCTTCGCATATATCTGGTCTGGGATGATCCGGAGGTATTCGGGTGCAAATCAGCTAGGTGCAAGGGCTGTACCCACATTCACTGCAGACAGTTCACCGTGACGAAGTGTTCGTCCATACTCTGGAATACTGTCAGTGGATTGATTTAACTTTTTCAATACAAGATATACTCACGCAATCTTTGATACTGTTTCACTGTGACAGTTACAGTATCGCCTGTAATGACGTTGCCAGACGCGTCTCTGTGCTCCCACAGGAAGTCTTGAAATTTACATTCTTTTCCAAAGCCGCGGATTTTTTTGACTCTCGCATGCTGAACGTCTAGACTCCGCTTACTCATCTTGCTCTTAGATGTTCCGGTTCCACACACTGCATCCTTAAACTTGGGGTTCTTGCACCTCCCGTCCTTGTTATCGCGATCGTAAGTGATGTAGACTCTAATATTCTTGAGTGCTCTCTGACCACCTTCAATAAGTCCACCAAAAGACCCGTTTCCATTGCGAAGGACTTCATGAACAAGGAAAGGCCTCCAAAACGCGCTGTTGGCTGGACTAATGTTGAGGAGAACTTTCCCTATGGTTGGGTGAATTCTGTAAGAGTAGCCACGCATTGATCGAAGTGGTGCTATGGCATGCTGCTCCCTAGTACGAAGATCTTGGAAAGAATCGCGCACGTAGAACTTGTGATTGTTCAGGTGTAGCATATTGCTTTGTCTGATACACTTCGTTATGATAGTGTTGAGTACATTCTCTGCCAGGGTCGGATCGTAGGTCGTGGGATCAGCGTGACTTGTGTTAGAATAACCCAGAAGTCCTTTGATGTCAACTTGTCGTACATACTCGAGGCAGAGATTCGCAGTTGTGCCTCGGTCGGTAATATCAATCAGTCTCCATCTCCTTCGAATACTTGTGATCGGATTTCCGACATGAACACGAACACCCGTTGCATACTGATGTAGGTTGTCCCAAAAAGACGTTTTGGTTGTTGTTCAGAAATGGTACTGGTTGAATCGCAGTGTTCATGTAACGACTTTTGCCCATACTAGGTTCAGAATCTGGTATGCCATGTATCTGATACTCTATGAGTATCGCTTTCGGATCAATCAGAAGTTCAAAGTAGTTGGCAAGTACCTGGCCTTTTCCCGGTCCAGTTCGAAGCTTTGTCCTCATGGGGTACCTGAGAGTATCCTTGAGATTAGTCAGCCTGTTGGGGAGTTCAGGATCGACAAATACTCTTCTACCTTCGCTGTAGGTGGATCTTGCAGGTGCTAGCTTACATTTTGTAATCTCGTTAAAGTTGATCGCAGGAGCGTCCATGAGATGGGTGCTTGGGACAGCTGAAGCGACGGGTGTAATGGGAGTTTGGTTACTACCAATGGCACTTGAATCTTTAGCCTCAAGAGTGTGTGGGATTTGAGGTGTTTCCAAGGGACGTGGTATTTCTTTGTCAGCTTCTGAAGTCGTAGCGTGGTGAGGGCTGGTGGTTGGGTTAGCACCTGCAGTCATGGAGACACTTGGAGGTATTGGTATGCCAGGTGCCAAAGGAAGAGGAGTATTCGGAAGAGTTGGAGGATTTGATGCTTGGGGAGCAACCGTAGGAGAAAGTTTAGGCAGATTGGAAGGCTCGCTTGTGCCCTCCATCTGACCCCTTGGCAGACCAGCCATGAACGCCGTAACCCCGTCATTCCTCGGATAATGACCAAGCTGTAGCCCATAAACATAAACCACGGCGACATCGAGTTAGCCAGCGTTGAATACCTCATTTGCGAGTGTAGTGCGATTTTCGGGAGCGGGATACGCATTTGGGCAGTCGATCAAGACTTGCACCAGATGCACTTCTCGAAATTGAGATCCTTGTCAATGCGACGTCTGAAGTCGGGGCCCAGCATGTGTCTAGTCTCTAGGTCAATGCCAGGGATTTTTGGCATAGCTGCGATGATTGTACCTGATAAGGCAGGAGCTGTCTAGCTTATGCACTGCTGATGGTCGTTTCGATACAGCGTCGCGATGCATTTATATAGAAGTGGGTCTCTTTACTATTCAGCTTGTTTTCGTACCCAAGCCGCGAGTGACACTTTGGAGCAATCATGATTGTACCGTAATCTTAGATCGGCAAAGTAAGCGTTCCAAGTCAAACCTCATCGACTTGTGGTTGCGTAAATACGGAAAAGGACAACGAGACCATGTGTAGCAATAAGTATTCGCTTGCAAGTATCGCAGAACCCAAGGTGATGACATCAATGAGCTAGTGCGAGTCCGAGTAGCCTCTCCTATCACGGCAAGTGTGAAAAGCTCAGTAGAGTTCTCGTCAAATTCTGATAATCGATGGTTCTTCAGTTTGCTACGCTAAAGATGCGTACTATGCAGTTCATACCGTAAGTTACCTAGGTGAGTGAGATATAAAACCTCCCCCCGCACGCGAAGACCTCCATCTCCAGTGCACCACGATACTACAATACCCCCACACCATATTCTTCGTATCAATACCATGCCTTATAGGTCTATCAAGGATTTCTTTTCCAAGCCCGAACCGCTGGAGCGGCGCCTTCCGTACATAGCGCCGACGCCGGAGTATTGCGACCTGGCCTGCTGATGCCACAACCACAACGCTGCAACTATCATCGACGTCTCCTAGTGACCATGATGGCTGGTATGCATCGGAAATGGTTAAATGTCCACCCATCCTCATCGCCCACTCAGCCGCAGCCGCAGTAACGCTCCTACGCTCCTTCCTCCCCGCGTATACGCTCGAAGACAACATATGGCATGACCTCTTCCTAGCAGCAACTAAGATAGCACCTAGGCTACCTCTTCCAGCACATAAATGCCAGGCATCGCTTACTCAGACTAACTACGGTTGCGGTCATAAAGACAGCGGACGGGATTCTAAGCGATGATGAATCTGTTGCAGACCCCAATGGGAAGAGAAGACGATTGCCTAGCGTAGCCAAAGACGACGCCATCAATGACACGGTCAGTGAGCCTGCTATTGAGCCTACACGCGAGCAAGGGCGGTCACAGTACATTACGCGCACTACCACCACCAACAACAACCAGATGTCAGAGAGGCAGCGGCCGAGAAGACACGAAGTTGCAGAGGCAAAAGCGCCGCCGTCTAGGGATGAGATCGCCGAGCAGATTGCACATCGCTCTATTAATGTCGATGACGCACCAGTCATATCTTGGATCCTAGACCAGCCTATGAAGGATGGTGGCTACTTCCTCTCCACCGTGCGCCATCCCTACGCCACTGCGGCAGCCATGCTTCGGTGTGCACGCCAATTCGGCAACCCCGGTGCGAAGAAAGTTGCGGCCTAATTTTTAGAAAACTGGCGAGACTCAGGAAATGCGGTGTACGTTATCGCTGGCCGTCCCTCAACCTCTGAATCGGCTCCAGAGCCTAGTCTGGTTATGTCATCCTTTCGCTTCACCTGGGAGGCAGTTACGCATAGCGAGAGGGTAATGGGAACTGCGGGCGCCATATATCGATGGGGAATAGCGTACATTGGGCAAAAGTACCAGCATATGGTTGAGGAGGCCCAGAGCAGTGGGCAAAGCAGTGTAAAAGGCCACAGGCGCATTTTGGCAAAGAAACGGCTTTGGAAGGAGCAAGGACCCGAAAAGTCCTGGACATGGGTTCATTTAACGCACGGGTGAAGCGATCTCGTCGCTGGTACGAGGCAGCTACCAAGCTTGGCTGGGGATGTCTCCTCCTCATGCCTGTCGAGATAGTGACGGTGAGCTGGGTTGAGCAGACGCTGCTCGTCTCCGAATGGAGCCTGTAGTTACAACTAGTGCAGGAAATCAATCCCGGAGCCGTCCAACTTGGCCGCAAAATCGATGAGTCTTTAGGTCCTAACTGCCAGCGTGTTAGTTCCCTCTCACGTGTACAGTACTCAAGCCTAAAGGCGAGTGTGGCACTGCCGCTCGACGAGGTCGCAAAATCTCTGGGTGGCAATAGCAGCCCTTCATCTGTTAATGGGTAAAGCCCCAGGGAGTAACTGAAGATGGAGGGGTTTCTTTTGGGTGTGAACAAGGATTTGATTCACGCTATTCTTATCAAGAGGACAACAGAAGTAAAGGCCAAATTCCTAGGCCTACTACAACACTACAAGTATTGAGAGCATTTGAAAATGCAGGCTCCTCGGCTTATTGCAACACTATGAGTACTGGGAGCGTTTATTGTAGTCGACCTACTGCGACACTATCGGTACTAGGAGCCTTCAATTATGTAGACTCTTCGGGCTTTCAGGGAAGCTAGGGCTCACATGAAGCTTGTAAAGGAGAAGAGAAAGTGACGAAGAGAGGCAAACAGTTGGGGTGGGACCTTTAAAAGAAAGTCAATAATGGTCGAACGAAAAAGCCTCATCGATCCATCAATGTAGTAAGTATTCATTCCATTGCATTATTAGCATGCTTGCAGTAAGAACGATTGCGAGTAGTGAGACGTGATATATGCAACATTCTTAGGTGAAAGTCAATGTATTTGTGTAAGTCTGCCGAACTAGCAGTTCCCGGCGGAGTGCCTGTATACTCCCAAGAAGAAATCGACGCACTGATGGATTTTCAGCTACCATATTGTCGGCCGGGCAAGCCAGTCTCCATGCATTCACTTCTCACCAGTTAGCTCTCCTCTTATAGGACTAGCTCCTTCTGCTTAAGGGCTAGCCTCCTCTAGGCAGCACCCCGCACCATATAGCTAGCACTTCGCGGTTCTCAATACAACAACGATTTCGCCCACTCAGTTCCCCGATACATATCAATAGTTTGCTACATCATCCATCATCTTATCCATCCCCAGATCCTCAGATTTTCAAACCCCCAAACCCCAAGCCTCTCACATCCAAAACATTGTCTTTCCCAGCTCCCTCCCCCAAGGATTTCCCTGTCCCACATCTCCACCACCATCCCCACCATCCCCATACCTATTAAACTCCTCCTTGATCTTCTCAAACACCCACTTCTTCACATCCTTGTTGACCGTATCCTCATCCATCCTCTTCCTTATCTGCTCCTTCCCAATCATCCCGTCCTTGTCGTCTCCAAACTCATCCTTCCTCTTCACTTTTAACTGCGCCCGGAGTTTATCCCTGGCGGCATCGACCTCCATCCTGAAGTTCAAGTCGTCACCCACGAGGAACCGGCGCACGTACAGACGGCCGCGTTCGCATAGCCGGTCGGCGTAGTATGTGGGCGGAACGTAGGAGACGGGTGTCATCGAGCGGACGTAGGAGTAGGCGAGGTCGTGTGTCTGTAGGGTGGATTAGCTTGAGCGTTCAAAAGAGGGGATACGAAAGGAAAGAGTTTAGGCAAAGACTTACCAAATCGCGGAGAGCTTCTAGCGTCAAGCCTGGGACTTTGTTCTCAAGAACAAAGTAGTGGGTTGGACGCGCTGTTCCCTTGATGCCGCTGTGCGATTGTAAGTAGAAGTCTTAGTAGTATGGTGATGTGATTAGTTGGTCGACGCATGTACCAGGCAAACAGTTACCTTTACCAATTTTATCCGTTTCACCATCGCTGGTTGGGTAGAAGCGTGTGTGATGGCGCTTGGTTACGATGACGGCGGTGAGGTTGAGACCCTGTGGCTTTAGGCCCTTGGTTTTGCGAACTGCGGTGTACGCAGTGCGGATGGCTGTGAGTTCGTCCTTTTTTACTTTGGCGTAGTGACCAGCCGACACGCCGTCGCGGTAGTAGATGATATTAGCCGGCAGTTGTCCCTTGTGAAAGTCAGCCCAGGCGTGGAGGCGCTCGGTGACCATCTCGATGACTGATTCGGAGACCATGATGTGGTATGTTTAGCATTTTTTCAGTAAAGTTGGTTTTTACTTAGCTCGCGATCTGTAGTGTCAATACCCTGTAGACGCATGGAACCCAGGCATTTGCCAGCATGGTTGTCGACCGAGCCCACGATTGAGGCAATAGAAGGCACACCAGGGAGATTACCGGATGGATGAACAAGGTCAGCACCGAGAACCACAGTGTGGCTCTTGAGTCTAGTCTGCACCGCATCGACGACATGGTTAATACCGCCAAGTTTGAGGTTCAGCTTCATCATGACATTTCTCATCATATCGTCAAACCAACGGTCGGTCTTTTTCATTTGCTCGACTACGCATAAGGATTGTATACCCACAACGCGGTCGGCCAGGTTCTTGAGCTCCCGGTAGATGGTCGTATCGTACTTCTCCACTACCAGGATAAAAAGTTTCGCGCCTTCTGTTACGGCTCCAATGAGTTTCTTTTTTAATTCCGTCTCATTATTCGAGGCCAGGAATGGAGTGATCCTGTCGACACTGATACGCGTGACCTGCTGAGGTGAAAGGCCGCATTTGCTGATGTGATTTTTAAGAAACGCTTCATACTATTCCGGCGTGGCGGGGTCACAGCCTTGAGCCGCAACGATGGTATATTTGAATTTTACAGTCTTTGGTCCTGTTTTGTAGAACTTGTCTGTGTTGTCAGGCCATGGCCAACGAGATCCTGGCCTTGTGTGGTTGGGCTTATTCTCTGAGCCATAGAGCGCTTGGGGGAATCCAAGATGAATGTATGGAACCTTAAGCATGGTTGGATGAAGGCGTAGCGGGATGTTTTTGAATGCGACAGCATCAGCGGTAATGCCGAAACCAAGAATCCTAAGTCCTTCATTCTCAATATACGCTCGATTGAGTTCTAGACTCCGCAACAATCAATTCAATCCGGTCACTCTCCTAGACCCACTTACCTATCTAGGTAGGGCTTAAACTCCTATAGGTAACTACTAGGCTTAAAGCGGTAATCAATCAATCCAATCTGAACCTTCTAGGACCCACTTAATTGATTGTTGCGGACTGTGTTGAGTTCCGGCGACCGACAAGCCTCGTTGACCATAGACGATGTGAACTGGTCCGGAACCGGTTTTGTGTATGGCTGATAAGGTACAATTCGCAAATGCTCCTGTGCATACCAAACCGGACGGTCACCCGTCCCAACATTGACCGCGGGTCGACCAGGAGTGGGGCGTTTTCGGAAGACTGCACATCATACGTTAGCAATACTACAGTCAAGTGGTGAAGAGAATGCTTACCTTGCTCTAAGTGATCAATCCCATAGATCTGTTCAACGACGGAATTGCTATCCACCATCTTCGACTTGGAAAATGTCAAAGACTCGATGTTCTCTTGAGACAGCCGCGAAACCTTCCAGTAACGGGAATCTTCACTATTGAAGTATTTCTGCTTTTCAGGATCCTCATGATAATGCTTAGCGTCAACATAGACGTTCTTGCCAATCAGTATGGTCTTAGCGCTGGACGCAAAAGTGTTGTTCTTGTACAGGAAGTCGGCCACGAGAACCGAATGAAAGACAGCGCTGGTGGAGAGGTTGAAGTTGAGGATGATGTTGCCCATACCAGGTTTGACATTGTAGAAATAACCACGGATTATTTCAAGCGAATCAGATGCTTCCGAGCCAGTCCCGAGAGGTACGCGTGCACTCTTGACGAAGAACTTGTTGGCGGAGAGTTTGCGTACTTGGTTGTTGAAACTCTTGGAGATTACCAAGTTGAGACAGGTGGCGATATTATCAAAATTCACTCTCTCGTAGCTCGGATCACCGGCTGCATATCGCTCTAGATTGTGGATGGTAATTTCCTTGGCGAAGCGAAAGTGAACGGACAGTTTGGTTTCACCGACAGCGATGCGTTGACCCCACTCAGTACTGTCTTCATTTTCATTGTAGCTACCTCCGTCTAGATTCAAATGTAGAGGTTTCCAGGAAACAATAGTGTCGAAGTAGTTGGTCGCAAAGGAATCCTCATTTTGTGCGAGGAAGCTCTAGTCTGCGATAGCCGTCTTGACAAGTGCTCTCGCCTTCTTGCGATTCTTCATTTTTAGATCGAGAATCTTGTATTCGTAGAAGATGGTATCGGCGTCAACCTCGTATTCGAAGTGGTTCGTTAGAACTTTCTGGTCTCCTGTCTTAGGGAAGAAGCTTTGTCGAACTGCGAACTGGGATTCCAGCAGCCGGCGCGAATTGATTTGATCACGCAGCTCCTGAGGAAGATGCCATTCTCTCCCGTCTTTGCTATCTTTGTCTTTGTTGGGCTGCTTATCAGTTCTACTGAGGTCTTGCTTCTGGGGATAGTACATCTCAGATGTTGGAGTAGAGTTGACGTATTCGGGACCGCGAGTGTGTTTTGGTGCAGTTTGCTTTACCGCATCATGTTGAAAATATCCTCCTTTGAAGTTTTACTGCTGCTGTCCAAACTTGCGATTGTCGTTGGTAGTGTTGTTTCCGAAGGCTGGGGGGTTTTAGGCCCAAGGCCACCTGCACCCTTCGCGCCAGCACCGCCGTTCTTGAACCCACCCCAATTCTTCCCGCCAACATAATTGTTCCCGCCTTTCCCATTCTTTCCACTACCTCCACCACCTGCCGCTGGCTTTGCAACATACTTGTACCCAGTATGCTTCTTCAGATACGCATCAGCAGCCTCATGAGCCCCCTTGCCCATCTCTACCCAAACCGCGCCTTTCCTACCAACCAACGCATCTGCAGGGCACATCGCAAGTGCGTGTTGTCCGCCACATCATCCAAAGGGCGACCCAGCTTTCTTGAGAGCATCTTCGATAGCGTTAATATAACGCTGCAGCAGCATCGTTCGTTTGTATGCGAATACCGAATTCGTCTGACTGTGTGGATGATAACGATGGAAGAATGAAGATGAGGTATCTATATCAGTGTAGAAGCCTGTTCATATACTTTAGCCCACGAGTTTGGAATTGTCCTTTACTTCGTGTCTTACTGTTAGACAAGCTTTGTGGCAATAGTGATCCGTACAAACGATTGCGGATACTGATGTTTGTGCAAGTACTGTCGTTCAGAAGGACGCGTTTTCAAGGTTGCTCAGACCCAAACATCGCTGCTCATCTGTGGGAAGGAACGAAAATGTTCTTGCAAGGCAATTGCACACAAGCTCTTGCCCCCAATCGAGGTCACTGCGTGTCTCGCCAACCGCAAAGAACAGGAAACATCCACCAAGCCAAGCGCATCTCGTATTCGAACCACGTGTCCATGTAAACTTTCATCAGCTCGATTGAATCTTGACCTTAGATTCCATGTCACCCGGGTGTCATAATACTTGACATACTAGAATACCGTCAATTTGGCTGTACGTACCTTGGCGCCATGTCCGAAAACATGCCTACATATCTAGTTTTCAGGCGCCCAAAGCTTCAATCTCGAGTCTAGATCTACCTAGATGAAGCTAGAACCGATTGCTGTCAGTGTATGCTTAGTCACGTGAGCAATACCTACACATGCGAAATCCATGATGTAAATGATCACGTGATCGAGAACGCTAGAGTCATCTCTACAAATTCAATGAGCAAAGACACCATGACAAAAGAAGAAGATAAAACGAAAATGAAAGAATATTGACCCGCCTGCCTAAAATGATCATAGCAGAAAGAGTAGGAAGCATCATCACAATATCCGGACCCCTTTTCCTAACAAAAGGAATGTTTTCTTACAAAAAACCCCCCGTCCTTTCCGAGCCCATCCCACCCTACTCTATCCCTATCCATCGCAGCCCAGCCCATTCTATCCCACAAAACACTCAACAGACACAACACAACATCTTCTCACGAAAACCTCACATTAAAAAAAAAGAGTCTAAATTCTTCATACACAACCAATCGATGAAGTCAGGCAAGGGGGGTCTCCCTTCCAAACAAAAAACACACCTCACCGCCCCTCCCCCTGCCCTTCTACCGACCCACCCAGGTCTCCTCACAGGAAAAAACCGCAAGTCCCCCAAGATTACAAGTGCAATAAAAAAAGAGGTCTGTGAAACACAAGCGCTGGGTGCTCTCCAAAAAGCAAAATCAAGCGCGGGAAACAAAAGAAAACAGAAACCGGGTATATGCAGGAAGACAGACAGATGCCAGATGCCAGAGAGAGCGGGAGAGGAAGCAAGTTTATGGTGTAGTGTGGTGTGTGTGTATGTGATGGTCAGTTGCATGCAAGTCGTACAGAGGTAAATTATGTCGGAGCCAGACGGGATGGAGAGATAGCGCGGGGAATGACAGAACGAGGAGGCGGACGGGACGGGATGATGTGTTGTTTATTTGGCGCCTGGGGGTAGCTTGACGTTGTTGGAGAGCCATGCCTGTTACACAAGAAAGTTAGCGAAAAGAGTCCTCGGAAGAAAGGGGTGTAATGTGATGGTGGGATATTGACGTACCAGACCCTCAAAGATGCCTTCTCCCGTTGTCGCACAGCTGGGTTCCACTTTCCAGACGTGGTCTTTGGCAATCTTGTCTAATTGGAGGCGATCCGAGACTTCCTTTGGTGACATGGCTGTGTAGTTTGTCAGCATCTCTGCGCGCAAATCATGTCATTGTCGTGTACGCACCACCTTGAAGATCCTGCTTGTTTGCGAAAACCAACAATAGCGCATCCTTCATTTCTCGGTCCTGGATGATGCGCATCAATTCCTGCCTGGCCTCGTCGACGCGGTCGCGGTCGTTGGAGTCGACGACGAAGATGAGTCCCTGGGTACCTGAAGTGTACATGTCAGCACAACATCTCACTCGCCTGCCCACCCGTTCCGGTGCGCTCAATCGGCCAACATACCAGAGAAGTAGTGTCTCCACAGAGGACGAATCTTGTCCTGACCGCCCACGTCCCAGACGTTGAATTTGGTGTTCTTGTATGTGACGGTCTCGACGTTGAAGCCGACGGTCGGGATGGTGGTGACGTCTTGGTCGAGCTTGAGCTTGTAGAGGATGGCTGCGCAACACGTGAGGTTAGCGATGGCGCCCTTGCAATTGGCTGCTACTACTGTTGGACGCGACTCGGGCACAACAGCAGCGCGGGTAGGGTGGGCATACTGGTCTTTCCTGCGGCGTCGAGACCCAACATCAGCAGGCGCATCTCCTTGGATCCGAAGACCTTGGCCATCATCTTTGAAATTGACCCGCCCATGATTTGGATAATGATTTGTTAATGACACGCTCGAACCGTGTTTGATAGATGGCAATTGTCGTCGTCGCCGGTGGTGGAGGCGGTGGTTGTTGCGCAAAGTAAGCGGCGATGATGTTGGCGGTGGCTTGTTGATAGGGAGCTGGGGGGGGGGAGCTAGTGCGCGACTAATAACGGGTAGATGGGATGCGTGGGTGTCGACAAGAAGTCTGCTGTCTGTCGAGCGCGTTGGGCGTTTGTATATAAATTTCAGTAGTCAAAGCAGATAAGTGGGAAAAGACGTGTAATGCGTGACAAGGAGCAAGGCAGAATGGGGCAGCAACAGTAACGGAGCCTCTAACGGAAGCCGGGTCAGGGTCTTTTCTTGTAATGAGGTTTCGAATTGCTCAGGAGTGAAACCCAAGCAGGCGCGTTGCAGATCCCAGGCCCAGCTCGAGGCGCGTCTGTGCTTGGCCCAACGGCTTGCGCCATGCCAATTGCCTCAATGTCTCCACCACAAACCATAGACATGCTCTACCACGACTTGCCGACAGCTGGACTCTAACCACCAAAGAACAAAAAAGGGGGCCCGTTTCGCTACAGCCTTTGATTGCGAATCTCGGATAACGCGAGGCAAACCGTCTTTGCATGCGCTACTCGCTGCAATGGTGCTCGCACATGCACGTCTACTGCAATAGGCCTGCAGCTAACTTGATAGTCTACTCGATGCGGTGTGACCTTACCGCCGCCGTCCGATTCTGACCTTTTGCCCCAAACGCAGGTACGCGGCGCTACTCCTGAAGGTCGACCAGGTGAGTACGCGGCATAGGCAATTGAGGGTAGTGATGAGCCCTCGCCGAGACGGCGGATACGAGCAGTTCGCCCACAGCGTGGAGCCGTTCGTATGCAAATCTTGCAATCTCCCACTTGCACATGGTCGTGACGTATTGCAACGCTGGATTCGGCGGCATCTACTTCCAAACTTGTCTTGAGCCCGTGCTGCTTCATGTGCCATGCTGTACGTGAGATTGAAAAGTCCATAGTCCAACTCGGTTCAATGGGAGTGGGCTCCGTGCTAAGTCCACCGGGTCATGCCGTCGACGGCACAGCAAAGTCCTCAGTGGCTTGATGCGGAAAATTCTCCGCCAAAACTGTCCGACCTGACCAGCGCGTCCCATGTCTGTGGCAGTAACTCAAACGCGCCCGACGCGTTACTCACGGCCAACATTAGTCTGCAGTACAATCTCATCTCATGACGTACACTCTTACACTGTCTCCATCTACCCCCGCAGCCCTGCTCGCCCAATCCAGTATAAAACATGCCTGATTCGGGAATCCGCCTAGTACATGTTTTCGATCAAGCCCGCTAGCCAATGTTACTCCAGGACCCCTCTCGCATGAATCATCAAAACCGAGGCATTATTGTGTATCGAGTTTCTACGTTTAGGGTAACAATAGATGTTACTCGTGCCTACAATGTCTGATCTACATGCCTAAATGCGGCAGTCTGAATGTTGCCCTTCTTCCTGTTGATCTTCTTCCTCTAGTACGGAGCGGGGGTATAGGTCCAGTCTATAAAACCATCATGCAGTCGCTTTCGCAGAAAACAAAAATGCTACATATCGTCGTAAGTTTCCTTCACTCGGGCAAGCTTCTCATCACGCCTTCAAAAGCCACGAGAGCCATTGCGTTTGCGGGGAACGCTCGCAGGAAGCACGGCACAAAGCCACGCCAATATCCCTTCCACCCACTCTCCCTATAAACTGTCCGCGCCGCATCTTTCCAGGCTGGAAACCTCCTATTGGCCAGGGGATCTGTCATGATGCGCTGCTTTATGACATCGCAGGGGTAACTCGTCAGCCAGAAGACCTGTGCCGAGAGACCGCCGGCCCAGAAGTTGACTGCGGGTGCAGACAGCTCCGTGTGTTTTTCTAGCTGCCGAGTGAAGAGGTCATAAGAGCCCCACCAGAAGCAGAAGAATGTCCGGAAGAGGAGAGTTGCGCTGAGGCCGTGGTAGACGCCTCTCATACCATGGCCCGTGTATATCTTTTTTAGACAGTCTATGGGCCCGGAGTATAGTCGTGCACTCTTATCCGCGGCGTATTGTACCTGCAATCGTGCCTTGATATGCTCGACGGGCGCTGCAACAAACGATACAGTCCACCCCGCCATTGTGCCTGCAAGAGCGTGGCCATATACGGGGAGTTTGCGCTGTTGTTCATCGGGTCGAAGGTACGAGGGGGGGTTGAAGACACGGTCGTTGAGGACGCGGCGGTATACGCTTAAGGAGCCTAGCATCCTTTATATCTTGTTAGCATAAGCGGAAACTTGGGGTTTGATTGGGGTTGTCATACACCGAGTCCATGAACATCCATCCTACCAGCGGCGGCGTGGCACCCTTGTACAGCCCCGCGAACCCTTCTTTCCTCAGCGTTTGCATGAGACAGTCCACGGGGCCGCGGAAATGCGACATCTCCGTCGTTTGTAGGCGCACTTTTATCGTGTCGAATGGATGACCAACTATTTTAATTTGTTAGTCGTCTTGTACCATGCATGATGTGAGCGCGATAGACACCTACCTGATAGTTTCGCAATGCCACTGAAGACACCACCAACGAAGCCGCGATAATGCTTCGGTGACTTCTGTGGCTCATCAGACGTCGCTATCAGCGCCGTAGCAGCAGGCTTCGAGTCGCCGCTGTGCTGCAGGGCCTCACCAGCATGTCGTAGCGCTGTAGTAGCCATAATCACTAAACAAACACAAAAGACAACAACTCCTCCCAAGGAGCAGAAAAAAATGCAATGCAATGCAAACACAAAAAATCTCAAGTAAACAGCTTCTCAACCCATGGTACCTCTCTGCGTCAGCACTTGCACGTCTGCACCTACTGTACGAGCGGAAACTTACAAGCGTCCGCGATGCAACATGTGGTGACGAGCTTGACGGGGACCCGAGATCGGCCGTCTCTCTTTAGACCGGAATCGCAGTCGGGCCGATCGTTTAGCGCCGCGTTGCGCGCGCCCGGCGGCGTCTGCCCATGTAACATTTCGAACCTTGGAAGGGTCCAGCATATCAGATTACAAGAATCGGCCTTGTCCAGATTGGCACACAAGTTAATGAGACATGGGATTAGCGGCTCCAACGCTGACCGGACGAACCCCTCCGCCAAACAAAGTCTAAGTTACCACAAGAGCCTTAGAGGCTGATATATGGCGCAATGGGATCCGCTCAAGTTCAACCATCGTCCTTTCTCTTGACATCATTGACTCTTCATCACCTTCATTGTTTGTATACGTGGGATATAACTTGACAGACATGACGACCGCAACCGAGAAACCTAGCGCGGGACCTGTGGTTCAGTCCAAGAGAGGTATGTGGGACATGGATGTCGATGGCGGGGTAGTATACCTACATACATAGAATGCGCGCTGACACATATCTACCACAGTCTGGACAACTCTAATCACAAACACGGCCTACCTAACTGGCCTCCTTACGCTCGACTATTCGCTCAAAAAGCACGGCACGAAATACCCCTTCATCGCCCTCTACACCGACAGCTTCCCCGCCGAAGGCCACAAGGCCCTCGACGAGCGCGGCATCCCCAAGCAACATGTCAAGTACCTGCTGCCCGTGGCGTCCAAGGACTTTTCAAACGACCCCCGCTTCTACGACTGCTGGAGCAAGTTGACGCCCTTTTCGCTGGAGGAGTACGATCGCGTCGTGCAGCTCGATAGCGACATGGTTGTGTTGAAGAATATGGACGAGCTGATGGATTTGGAGTTGGATGCACCGGAGATGGGGGGCAAGGGGGATAGGGTGTTTGCGGCGAGTCATGCTTGTGTTTGTAATCCATTGAAGAGGGCTCATTACCCCAAGGACTGGTATTTTCACTCCAACTTGGTTTCGTGGGAGATCCAAGCTGACATCGGATTAGGGTCCCTGAGAACTGCGCGTTCACGACGCAACACAGTGACCCGGAGACTGCTCAACACACCGGCGCGCCTGCTGCCGCTGGTCTTCGCATGCCCAATGGTGGACTCCAGGTCGTGAACCCCTCAATGGCCACCTACAACCTCATCCTTGAACAACTATCCAAGGAGACATCTGGGGATTATGACTTTGCCGACCAGTCGCTCCTTGGAGACCTGTTCAACGGGCGTTGGGTTGCTTTACCCTACATCTACAATGCGTTGAAGACGCTGAGGTCCAAGGGTGTCCATGATGCCATCTGGAAGGATGATCAGGTCAAGAATGTGCATTACATTCTGAGCCCCAAGCCCTGGGAGGAAGAGGAGGGCAAGTCCAGTTCGGAAATTCATGAGTGGTGGTGGGCTGTTGATGCCGAAAGGCGCAAGAAGGAAAAGAGCAATGGAATTGATGATGGGTTTTGAGGTATAGAACAGAGCAAAGATCCCATGTTGATGGCGTTTGTAGACGGGGACTAGACGGTGCGCCGTGTGCTTCGTAGAAACTTGCAATGGTCATGTAACCAAAGCAAGAATGTATTGAAATTCTCTTATTCTTTGCTGTATTCGCCTTGGGCATCTACGTGAAACTCAAGGGGTCCGCTCAAAGTTTGTTCTTGCCGTCCTCAATCTCACAGAATGCCTTGAACGTCACCAGGCCTTCTGCACCCTCGGCATCATCTACATCGACGTCGCTCTTGATGACAACCTCAGCTGTTGCACCAACAAAGTAGACGTAACCCTCCTTGAGCTCCTCCTCCTTTGGTCCCACGCTAATGGTTCCGTGACCCTTGGTACAGAGAATGATGCTGGGTCCATCAATGGGGTCGAACGTCGCCTTGGCACCGGTCCTGTTCAGCGCTGTCCTGACAACGGCAAACTCAGGAATCGGTGGATTGTACAGCATATTGCTCGAGTTTGAGCTGTACGCCGGCGCGTTCAATCTAACGTGAGAGTAGTCCTTTGGTTCCATCTTCTGCTCGCTAATTGGCGCATAGCTGTATGTCAACATCTTTGTCAGATTGTCTACATCCTTGAACTTGGGAGTGAAACCCGCGCGCACCACGTTGTCGGAGCTAGCCATGCATTCGATAATGTCGCCTGATAGGTACGCATGGATGTCATCGGCCTTGAGGAACATGGCTTCACCGACTTCAAGCTTCACATAGTTGAGAAAGAACTGAACAAATAGGCCGATGTCGCCGGGAAATTGGGAGTTGAGACGAATCACGAGGTCAGAAAGCTCCTTGCCGGAGTTGGAAGGTGGACCACCATCTGCGAATTTGTCGCCCTCGGACTTTGCTGCCTCGATAAGCTCTTCGCTGGCGGAGGCAAGCGCATCCTTGTCCGTGTTCATGAGTTTTGTAAAAGCGGACTGGAGGGCCTTCTTGTTCGACTGCATGTCCTCTTCCTTGTCTGAAGTTTCTTTACCGCTGATAGCATCCTCGAAGTTCTTGGCCTCTTCTTCGCCGACTAGCTTGCGTAGGGACGGGACCGTCTTGAGGAAGTGGGCAATTTCAGCGAGGGGACGGAAACCGCACAAACCGTCGAAGGGAGTAACCGCGATGGTCATTTCGGGCTTGTGGTTGTCATCTAGGCACGAGTTAGCCTTGTTTGATTTATAAAGGATGAAAACTGACCAGGGTAGTTCTTGGGGTCGCTTGCGTGTAGTTGTTCGGCAAGCTTCTTGTTCGGATGCGCTTGAATGCTCAAGGCCTTGTTGATGGACAGGACCTTGAACAAGAATGGCAGCTTATTTTCATAGCGCTCTGCAATTTCAGTAGATAGTAGCGCCTGGTTCTCTTGGACAATTTCTAAAAGCGATCGTTGCGTCTCGAGCTCTTTTGAGGGAAGCGACGGGTGGGTGCCCATCCATAGCTGCGACAGTGAGCAGCATGATCAACAGTGGTTGCTTACTTTTCTTACCTCGGCATACGGCTTCTCTTCTTCGATTGAGAATTCGGAAGCCGTTGCAGCATGGAACTTGGCGGCCGCAGAGTCTTTACCGACTTTCCCTGGGTTGGTTCAGCATGATGGGGCGATTACAAGTTAAGACGCGGGGCAGCGCACCCCAGTCGTAGCTATTCACACCTGCACATTTGTTAATTGGTGATAAACTTGTAATCATTCTGATTGCTGACTTACCGCATTCTAACCTGATAAGTGGGTTTCGCATCTTCAAAGTGAATGTCCTGAGTTATGGTCGTTGTGGCGGAGAGAGTGGGCAAGGGAGCTTGGGCGTGGGCCCACATAATTTGGCGGCATCCCGCGTAATCGTCACCGTGTGACCGTGCCGTTGGATTAAGCTCATGGGGAATATCCCCTCTTTCGTTATTAGCGGCTCCTGCCCTGCATCTACGCGACTACACGTACAAGCCTGTCTCTGCTATCGTTCCTTCCACTATCCTTCTTCCTTTTTTCTCACCACACTCATAGTTGCCACATGAGCCGCCCGCACCACTCCAGGTAACAGAAAGAGCTGGGGCGCGTACGGGACACGACGTCCGTCAACATGGCTGCCCGCAGCAGGCCCCGTGGTCAATTGAAGGAGGAATTCGATGAAGAAAGAGTCATCTGGAACTCGATCAAGTCCGACGGACGCCGAGTTGACCAACTCATGGTACGTGTTTTTTCTTCCGGAGCATCTTTAACGTCATTATCCGATATTCTCTAAGTATCGCTCTTATTCTCTGTATACATAATGGGACCCATTAGACGTGAACTGCGGGGCCTGCAGAACTCTGAAGCGTACATGGATGCTGCTCCCAAACGTGGCCGGCGTCGAACAGCACCGGAAGAACAAGAAAGATGGGACGACATCAAAGACACGGCCAAGCGCATCGATCATCTGCTGGTTTAGGCCCTACATGCTTTCCCTTACCTTATCTACGTACATGATATTGTATGTGACTACTTGCTAACGTTTTATAGAAAGAATCGGAAACGATACAAGAGAAGATCCTCACCCTTACGGAGCAGCAGAGTGCTCGCATACGTGCGTCTAAACCCTATAGGCTATCAACTAATCGTCTCTGAGAGCTAACACTCACAGGCCGTGGCGAGGAACCCTCAGGTCGTATCGACGACGAGCTTGAAGATCATCTACGCGAAAACATCCGCCTTTTGAATGAAGCCCAAACCTTACTCCAACCCGTGGAAGGCGGTAATGACGTCCACACTCAAATGACGCTCTTGGCTGCTCTGCGTATGTCGGAAGAAGTCCCACCATCAGCATCACGTGCCACGAGCGTTGGCCATGGAAAGTCTGGACGCGATCGCCAGGGCAAGCGAAAGCTGACCGATAGCATCGACGAGCGCGACAGTGTGGCTGCCGACAGCCCCGGAGGACCCAGCCCAAAGGTCATCATCAGCAGCCAGAAAGACCGACTAGTAGCCAAGTCTGGCGGTAGCAGGGCAGGATCGGTACCTGTTGCGAGAGAGGGTAGTGTAAAGATGGAGGACGACAAGGACGACTCGGGCAAGGGTAAGATGGTTCTTCCTCCTTCCAAACCCAAACCCACGATCAAGTACAAGACCAAGCGTTGAGATTATATGCTGCCTTTGCCTTTTCCGGCGTTTCAACCTTTAGACTGGCATGATACCCGCTTTTGGCATCTTTCATTATTATGGCTTGTTCGAGGTTTGTAGTCGGTTAGGCAAGCTCCATAATCTCACCTTTATTTTTCGTCCTTATCTCATAAGTTCTTTTTTCCTAATGTGCTCATGTCACTATGTATCTCCCTTGCCACGAATCCCCTCCTCCCTCCGAACCGAAGATGAACAAAAGAAATATACAGCTAACTCGAATCGCGTCCAGAAGTCCGACCCAGACTGTCCCCCCAAACAGAAGTCCTCTACCGCAACAACGCCAAAAATAGATCCTCGACATCCTCTATGCCCTTCGAGGGCGAAGGCATCCTCTGTCGCGTAACCTCTGTCATCGGTGAAGGAAAACAACGCCGCTACGAAATCATAGACGCTGATCCTGATCCACCATCGCCATCTGTCCCCTACCGCGCTTCCGTCAACCACCTGATCCCCATCCCGCCCCCAAGCGGCAACGCTACACTACCAGACCTTAACAAGGGTAAGAACGTGCTTGCTCTCTATCCCGGTACCACCACCTTCTACAAAGCAGAAGTCGTGGCTGTGTGGAGACAGAGCGATGGAAGGGTCAAGAAGGAAGATGGAGGCAAGGAGGGAGAGACGGTGGAGAACCTAGTCCGATTGAGGTTCGAAGGCGAGGACGAGGCGGATCGCGAGATGAGTGTTGAGAGGAGGTACGTTTTGCCTGATCGGTGAGCTTAGAACGCGCGGTGTGTGCGAGGGTGGAGCTTGTTGGTGATTAATTTTGGATTTGTTCGTTTTTGAAACGGATTGCATTCGCTTTGTTGAGATGGATAGGTACATTCGCTGGAGAAGGATCGGTGGTTTGGGTATTACCGCTTGCTGGGTGTGTTGCGTTTTCTCGCTCCCCTGTATTGTGATACCTTTGTAGCCCTTGGTCTATCTCGTGGGTCGTGGTTTAGAGACTACATCTAATTCTATTATTCTTTGAACTGTTTTCTCCCACGAGATTGTGCACGTACGAATATGCTATTAAGCTCTTTGCTTGACCCAACACTCCTGTCACCATTCCGATGTCTCGCCACATGCTTAATTAATTTTAATGACATCCAGCTCAATCATGCAAAAAGCTCATTCCTTCGGATCTAGTAATACATCATGATTACGTCTCTACCATCGATGTATAGAGCATTAATTATTTCTTAACAACTTCCTTACACACACACACACACACACACACACACACACACACACATATATATATATATATATATATATACATATATATACAGTCAGTACTAGGAATCTTCAACCAAGATTATTTGTTCAATAAATCAACTAGGCTGTACAGGACCACACCTACTATACTTCATCGCGACTCTTCTTCAATTTATGGTCTGCTAGCAGGTTCCCTAAGGTAGACATGGACGTCCGGGGGGTGCGCTACTCGGCTGGCGAGAACCTCCTTCAGACTACCATCAACGATATCTACAGCCATCGCGAAGACGCCGAGTATGCGACCCGTTTCATCGGCGCAAATCCAGAAACCAAGAAACATTACGTGGTCCGGTGTGAAACATTATCGGACATATCAAAAGAGCGAAATACCATGATTCGGTATATCGGGGAAGTGCTTCTATGTGCCTACGGAGCTGTGCCGCAGATTGATACTCCGTACGTCCTATTGAAAGCCCCCGCTGACGAGTAATATTGGGAGTGAGAGATGAGGGGTGGGAGGACGAGTTTGGAGTAACATTATCTTAATAAGTCTGTTAATAATTTCAGCGAAGGTGGTGCGCGTCACATTTGTATCACCTGCGTGCAAGATATCTCGTACAATTCTAGTACGATCAAGTTTTGTATCATAGTGCGTTTCCAACTAACACGTAGGTTATATTTAAACATTTGATGAGCAGTTCATATATAGAGTGCGATGAAGGTAGTTCTATATTGATGCAAAGGTTCTTTTCACATCCTAAGCACGCCAGTCACCCAGGGACTGTAAGTGTCAAAGGACTCACGTCGCTGTATCCCCTAAAGATGAATGCGGCACACCACAAGTCGTCACATGGAAGCTGAAGCGATACTACCCAATCCACAGCCAAGTTAGCACCCAAACCGTACAAGCGCATCTAGACCCTGCCCCGTCGCCAACATGAAGCCTCAAGGCTCGGCTGCAACGCTCAAGGAGAAGCCGCTTGATATCCCCTCTTACATTATACCACCATTACAATCACACACACAACTAATTACTCAACCCTCCAACCAAGAAAAGCAAAGGCGCCCTCTTCACCTTGTGCCCGGTACGACATCAAAAAAGATTAACGTTGTACAATAGCGGGGATTCGATAGTCATCATCCACCTAATTACTAATCTACTGGTACACTGCTTACATATCTAAGTGGACATGAAGGTTTATTTTCTCCCTCGCGACTGCTACAAACCCCCTTGATTTTCCTATCTACGGTGAGATCGCGCATTTGCTCGCTTGCCGCTAAAGTTGATCTTGAATCCTATTAACACAGACATTGGACGTAGCATGTGTGTGACCCGTCTTGGTTAACGCTCTGTTTCCTGTTAGATAAAGCTAATGGCTATAGGTCTTGAATCACACATACACAATTGCCGTTGCTGCATCCTTTCCGTCCAGCTCCACGCCAGCAGACGCCCCCACCAACAGCACAAAAACCCCAAGCATCGACGCATGTCTACAACTGTTAGGTATAATCTTCCTACGCCTCATCGGGAGATACGAACACCGGAGCATGTTTTACTCCAGTCGCAGCATGTTTTCTTTAAACCGCATTGAGGATCAGGGGGGGGGGCTTAGCCGCCGTTACGATACCCACTAGGAGCGTAGTAATAAAGACAACGAGAGCCTTCATCTTTATGGATTTCTTTTGGTCTCTTTGATGGACCAAGTTTTGAGGTTGAAATTAAAGAGTGATAGCAGTAGATTCTGCTCGACAGAGGATACGTTATATAGTTGGGGAGCGGTTTAGAGATACGAATCATACGATGTCAGCATATTTGTTGCCGTAGGGACGCCACGCTGGCATTCCGCGTCTGTTCGCTCTTCTTGATCTGGACAAAGCCTATCGTTGTACTGCGTGTAGTTATAACTTTATGAAAAATTAACGTATAGATAACCTACTATTCACTATAATATACGTCTGTTAACTGATGTTAGAGTTATTGTCGGATCGTGAGTATCGGTAGAGACGTCGGCTGCTGGACACTTCGGCCCGACTTCGGCCCACCTTGCGCAGAGCTTAGGTATACCTTCGTAGCAGCTATGTTCGTAGACAATCAATCACCATCACCGAACAGAATGCATTCCTAGTTATCGTTATTTCCTTTCAGCACTAGTGCTATAGACCTTCCAACAGTTATTTTAATTTTTCTTTCATCTTCTTAATAAAGCCACTTTCTAGTAACTACTCTTCGACAAAATAACTAGTACTTTGAAAAAAATTCAAACGTCTAAGAGTTTTATCGTAGTTAGTAGAGATTCTGTCGGATCATGAGTATCGGTAGGTAAGTCAGCTGCTCACCGCTGTAGCGGTGGGCAACAGCCGACTCGATCCCACTTCGGTCCGACTTGCGACGAGCTCAGGTATACCTTCGTAGCACCCACGTTCATAGCAATACCAATACCAGTCACCAGAAGAACCTCGTTGTTGTTATTCATCCGTACGATCGTACAAGGCCTACCAACAGATTCAGTCCTTTTTACATGGTTATTTGAAATTCGGCGCTAAGAGTTAAGTGTTTCCTAATTCAGCTTAGTTGTGCCAGGGCCTGGCCCAGGTGGTCAGATGACCTGTACGCACATTATACTCCATTACAACTCTACGTCAACCATCCACACTCCTTTACGACCCATTTGCGCCGATCTGACCGGACGCCCATCGCGCCACAATCATAGCCTCGGGGCCCAATCACACGCGCTCCCACCCCCCCAACGGCCTAGAAGCCCGCGCCGCACGCCAGCTTTCGCACCATTATCCGTTTCTGCTGCTATCTAGTTAGTCCGGTCCACCGCCAGGGCCAGAACATCCTACTACTAGTGCCTTATTCGTTCCCGACCGACGACCGCCGAGCCATGAAATACTACTGGTTCCTCGAATCGGTCCAGCAACAACAGCAGCAACAGCATAATCAGCAGCGGCCTCCCCCCTCGCCTTCACACTCACAGGTTGGTAGTATTGCGGCGTCGCAGAACGGCGGCGGCCAAAACGGTGTCCCAATGGTCAATGGATTGCCCAGCGGTGGGCAGCAGACGGATATGAATCATCTGTGGGCTGTGGTGCAGCAGTTGAGTCAGCTGCTTGAGGAGAATAAGGCACAGACGAGGGGGATTGTGGAGGGTGTTGCGGCGATTCAGGGGAGGGCTGCGCTGGAGGAGGGGGGTGAGGTTGGTGGGGCTGGTACAAGAGGGGGTGGTCCGGTCATGAGCCAGGTCAATGGGGAAATCAATGGTATGTTTTGTTGTTCTGGACATTGAAATTCGGGTATTGCATGAGCAGGAAGGCTAACACATCTACGCAGCGGCGACACAAGCACATCTTCAATCGCAACTCTCCGCCGCCCAAGCTACAGTCGCTTCCCTCACCTCTACCAATTCATCCCTCTCCGCCCTCCTAACAGACTACGAATCTGCCCTCACTCTGCTCCTCGATAAACTACGGCCATACGCTTATTCGCAAACAAACGCCATACTCGCTCTCCACAAACACTACCAGACCCTTCTCGACCAAGAGCGCTCCACGTCCATGTCGCTAAGGCTAGAGCATGCGGAGTGGCAGGCGGGCCTAAGCCGTGTAGCGGAGAATGCAAGAAACGCGCTGAGAATGCAGGGCGAGGTCGAAGCAGGTCTTCGAGGGACATGTAAGGAGTTGGCGGAGGAAAACAGGGTGCTCAGACGGATGGTGGGCTGGGAAGAGAGAGAGCAAAGCGACGACGAAGAAGAGATGGCGAAGATCGGTTGATGATAATCTCATGTTCAGGCAAATCGGTCATGTCTTTGTGCATAGCGTTGGCGTTTTTGGGGGGACATGATATCATGGAATGTCCACGGTTTTGGTATGATGCCATCGGCTTTTGGTTGGCTTGTAGGAAGGTTGCGTTACCATGATATAGCGGTCGAGACTGAATATATGATGCGGCTGGCTCGTAGCACAGCTCGTATATGCTTTCCAGAGTATGGCCCGTGTCGCTTTGCTTATTTCTGTGCGATTGATCTCCAACACCAAACTCATTGCTAATATCCCATCACCTCAGCAGCGAGCGAAAATACTAAATCAAAGTCAGCAACCTTAAGCCCAGTTCAAACACCATCCCTGCTACATACCTTCAACTTCTCAACCCCATGCTCCGCCACCTGCTCTTCCGATGACAGTAGCAACTCAGCTAACCTCCGCTTCCGCTCTTGCGTCTCGACAACACGCTGTTAAATGTCAGCCATAATCTCTCTCGATACAAGATTGGTGTCTGGAGAATTGGGAAAGCATACCTCTTCAAACGTGTTCTCCATGACGAAGCGGATGGTGGTTACTGGCTTCGTTTGGCCCATGCGGTGTACACGGGCTAGGGCTTGTTCTTCAACAGTGGGGTTCCACTGTGGTTCTAGGATGTAGGCTCGTGAGGCGGCCGTGATGTCAAGGCTTTTTTGGGCTGTTAGCATGCGCATACGGACAGGAAGATGTTTATTTTGGCAAATGCAACGGGTTGATTAAGTTGACGACATACCCGACCGCGGAGCAAGAGATGGTCATTAGAATGACCGAGATACTAGGGTCCTGTCGGAAGTCTTTGAGGGCGGTTGAACGGTTGGATTGGGAAGTGGTTCCGTCGAAGCGGGTGTATGTGATGAAAGATCCCGAAAGGCCTTTTTGTACTAGATCTAGAGTTGAGGTCCAGAAGGAGAAGACAATGCTTGATGGCGTTAGCAGACTCCGCAACAATCAATCGGATCGGCATGATTGATTCCTATCTAGGTTAAAGGCTGCCTAATGAAGTAATTCTTTAACCTATATAGGAATCAATCATGTCAATCGATTGATTGTTGCGGAGTCTGGGCGTTAGTGTTAGTGCCTTAAGTAGGAAAAGAGTTTGTTCTGAGTGATGCTAACAAGACGTTTTGACTTACCTCTTAGTACCCTTTGGCTGCTTTAGCAAGTCCGAGACCAAAGCCTTGATCTTTGTTGGTAGCGGCTCGTCATTGATTTCACATGCTGGTCCAGAAGGCGAGGAGGCACCTGAGTACGTGATGCCTGGGTTGTAGGGGACTCGGGCACTCGGGCATGAAGGTAAACAACCGCATCGTTCATTCCAGTACGGATCCAGACAGCTACTGCAGATTGCTTTCAAGCAAGAGAACAGGCAAACAGTGGAGTTGGGCGACGACAGTTCAGATCCCAAGCTGTAGTTGACCGTGGAAGTTGCGTCCAGGTCAAGGGTGCATCTGGTGCATACGACTTTTTCAGTTGTGGCGAGAGTGGTGAGTGCCTTTTGAGCTGTTCTCTTGTCCCAGATGGTCGAAGTCGGCAGTATACTGTTCCTGGCTCTTCGATGGGTACCCAAATTACACACTAATCGCAGCTCGTTGATCTGTTGAATGATACTGGTAAAAGTAGTCGCGACACTGGAGCCACTGATGGCCGCATCGATCTTTGATACAACGTTGCTCTGAACCATGTTGTAATGTTCTCGCTCGTGATGGTTGAATTTGAGTGTGTACCTTAAATCAGTGCGTGGAGGCAGATCAACAACACCCTGCGTGCGACGAAGGAGGATGCTGTTGACCAATCTTTTCATCCGACTGATCGCCTCATCCTCATCCCCTGATCTCCATGGATAAATGATGTCACTCTCGAAACATTCGCGATTGTCGTAGGGGTACACGCGTAGAAACTCGCACATTGTAGCCAAATCGCCAAGGCGATTTTGCAATGGAGTGCCGGTGACAGCCCAACGAGCGTGAGCTTCTAGTGCACAAATGGCTTTGAACGTGCTGCATGTTCTGTTGCTTACATAATGTGCTATTTGGTTAGCTTTAGTAGCGATGTGGATCAAAGCCATACCTTCATCTAGGACGATTCGTCGCCAACGAACGGAGAAGAGAACCGTTGGCTGCGATTGCGAGGTTCGCCGCCATTCCGATTCTACGGTTTGATATGTCGTGATAATAACTTGACACTGGCTGAGCTCTGCTAAGCTAATTACCCGCTTTAAGCCATGATATCTCCGTGATCTTAATGGCTGCAGAGGATTTAAATGCCTGAGGCTTTAGTAAATCGATCAGCAGTGTAGGGGAGATTGATGTACCTTAAAAACTGTTCTTCCCAGGTTTGAATGACTATCAAACGTTATTACATGGTGTATATCTAGTTCTTTTGGACTTACGGGAGGGAGGTACCACCAGGAGAGTAGCTGCAACTTCTGCGGAGCCACTATACGAGGGTTGGTTGAAGAGGTACGGCGTGTCATTCAGCATCAACGCAATCATGCTGAGTGATTTCCCCAGCCCCATTGAATCGGCCAAAATTCCACCTCGAAACTTGGTAGGCTGATCATATTGCCCTTGACCTGTGATGTTGTTTCGGTAACTGTAGACTTTAAGTACGTATTCCAGCGAAAGGATTCGCAGTGATCACTGACATGGTTCCATTGGTCACTGCTGAGCTCGTTCATACATCCCACTTATCATGGAAAGCCCATCCCAATTCTCTTTGCGTCATGAAGTACAGTGCCTGCATCTGGTGACTATCTTGGTTGTCAGAAAATGGAATACGAATAGTAAGGCGACATACGGTAATAATGAACTCCTCAATCTCGATGGCGTCTCGAGCCATGCCAACGGTCTGGATGAGACAAGCGCATCTGAGAGGCTTGATTATTGCAAATTAGTTACAACTGTTTGGTCAACGTCGCTTTGAAGTTCAAAGGTCAAGAGTGGCCTCTCTTTGTCTGTCGAAATCCGGTGAGGATTGCGGTACGGGACATTCAACTCGCAGCCAATGGGATCCTGCAAGTATAGTTTACATTCCTGACAGAAAGCCCCTATGTCTTCGAACATATCGTCTGGCCCGTATAAGATGACTGAGCATGGAAACCAGTCGCGCGTGTTGCGTACAGCAGCTACTCCCTGCTTGTAGGTAGGATTCCCTGGTAGCACTGTTGATAATTGGATTGAGATATCGTCTGCCGATAGGGCTTGGAGGATTTTAGCACTCTGTTCGTCTAGTTTTCCTGCCGTGGACCCTTGTAAAGCCAGCTCATTTGGCCATACAAACGAGACCTTCTGGTGAACCCCATACTGTTCCCGTGGCTGCCTATAAAACTCTGCTCGAAGCTCAGTAATCTAAGATAGTGTTAATAGATGGCTCAGTGCGGGCATGAAGTCACTTGCCATCCCAAAGCACACTTGTTCGGTTCCTGCTGTGACCGGGCGAGGCGTTCCAGAATCGGGCTCTCCCGCATCGGTCATGGATGGATATTGAGATATACTGACATCATCTTGGAGGCGAGTAACTGAGACTACAGGCGGCTGGTGGATAATCGATGTAGGATATTGCACAGACGTGGCCATCGAGAACACGCATGGGTTGGCTGCAAAGCAAGGCTGACATGACCCACTCCGAGTTTCATCCCAAGGCGAAGTACCAGACTTGGTGTTGTTGACCGACAGATCAAATACCGTAAATTGATGTCTGCCATAAAAGGTAGAGTTAGACATATTCTGAGCGTTGGTGGAGCTTGACCCCTCCACAGATCCCAAAGCGTATGGACCCGTAGCTCTATCATCCTGGGTTGGCCAGTGAGCCTCAGATGAAATTTCCACTCGACGTCTTTTGGAAGGGGAACGATCAAAATCGCGAGGACTCAAGCTTGTAGAAGCCTGGTCGCACAAAAGCGGGAATGCGGCATGATGGGCCATGCGCGGCACGCTCGTTCCTATGCCAGGGGGTCTAGTTGTATCAATAAGTCGAGCGCATTCGGGTGCTCGCCATGTTGGTTTAAAACACTTGGGAAGGTAAAGGCTTGTTTGCGGTTGGGTATCGAAATGGAAGGCTGTGTAGCGATGCGGCTGCGAGCAGCTGGCAGCCTGACGTGCACTTGCGGGTCTGCCTTGTACGCAGCTTCGCCACAATCGCGCGAAGTGCACAGGTGCACCCGGCTGGACCCAACCCTTTGCCTTCACTACATGAATATTGTTTCGCTGTGTCTTTTTACTCCTGAGTGCCGGCCATTTAGGTCGCAGACGACAGACCCCTGAGTGATGGCGACAGGAGCCCACGCGTCACGGCCAGCAGGCTTGGCGCCCCACTTGAGCCTCTCCACAGATTCACCTCCTGTCACTCTCACACCCCAAGCACGCAGGACTTTCCAAGAAAGCTTTGCCAAATTCGAGAAGACAGTTGTAAAACGCTCAAAAGATGATCAACGAGACTTTGCAGATACTACGCTGCGCGATGTCTGGGAAGCTGTGGGAGAAATCGAGCGACTGCTAGCTGCAAGGCAATGTCTTCGTAATATGAAGCGTCTCGAACCGTTTTTGAATGGTCTAGAAGCATATGCCAAGGTGGTGGAAGTTTTGTGCAATGGCACACCGTTCATGCCCTGGATATGGGTAAGCTTGTGTATCTGAACTCTGGTGAATGAGCTGACCTTCACTATAGGCACCTGTGAAATTGATGATGAAGGTCGAATTGACATTGAACATGTTGATGTACAACCACTGACCGCGATCAGTTAGCTAGCGATCATATCAGCGCCTTCGAAACCCTCATCTCAGCTTATGCACAGATTGCTGAGAATTTGCCACGGTTCGATAGACTCCGTAACGCGTTTCGTAACCACCCAGACTTCCAACAGCTTATCGCTGTGGTATACAGTGACATTCTGGAATTTCACCGACAAGCCTACAAATTCTTCCGGAAATCTGGTGAGTTCATCTGGGGAAAGATGTATGCGGGAGTACTAACAACAACTAAAGGATGGAAGACTTTCTTCAAATCATCATGGGGTCAGTTTGACTCCAGGTTTAGCAGTATTTTGGCTAGTATGCAGAGACATGCCAGTCTAGTAGACAAGGAGGCAAACGCTTATTCGATAGCTGAAGTTATGGTGTGGAGAAAAGAAGCTCGAGAGGCAGCTGTGAAAGTGGAAAAGGAGCGATCAGCTGCCAAGCTCGTGGCAACTCTTTCATGGCTTGGTAATCTCCTGACATGTAAATCTCTACTAGACATGAGCTGACTCACTGTTGCTAGGCATTGATCAGATTCCAGGGTGCGGTCAGTCGTACCAGGATAACACCTTGAACCGGCTCTCGGATGATTGTTGTCCCGGTACAACCGATTGGACTTCTAGACATCCCAGAACCAAGGCATGGCTTCAAGACAAACCAGGACCATCATTTCTGGGGTTGAAAGGCAAGCCTGGTTCGGCTAAGAATAACAATATAAGTTTACATTGTTGTGGCTAAGTTTTCACAAGGGAAGAGTACCGTTGTTGCCAGAATTGTTCAGTCGCTCAGGTCGTATACTACCCACCGTCGTCGTACACTTTTGTGTTGCTTTTATGGATACAGTATAAGCAGCGTGCACTCGGAGCCTGTCATGTTCATCCTGGCCACGTTGGTATCCCAAATTCTACGTCAAAATATCAAGCTTTCGACTTATGTATACGAAGAGTTCGTCGCCGCAGCCCGATCACCATCAACCCGAGAGCTGCAACAAATTTTGTCCAACTTAATCCCTCAGTTGGACTCGCCGAGGATACTGATAGATGGGATTGATGAGTGCATTCACTACGGCAGTGACGGCTTACCGCGTAATCTGGCTCCGGTGAAGGATGTGATTCACGCTATCTTACAACTTGAACACTATGGCAGCGAATCATCTTCGCCCAAGATCCTCCTTGCCAGTCGAGATATCTTCCAAATTACAGGTAGGCTGTCCAGAAAGCCAGTATTGTCGCTCGATGATGAGAGCGAGATCATGACGAACGCCATTCGGTGTTTCACCAAACAAGGGTTTCGTGAGATTGAAGAGAGATTCAAAAGCTTTCCAAATGCTCAAATCATACTCAACCAGGCCGAAACCCGTATTGTTTCAAAATCTCAAGGTTCGCAGAATTTCCCAATAGCATGTTCTCGGTATCCTCCATACCAACACACCAACACATGGTTTCTGAAAACCGTATACCACATCAATAGATTTGTCTTGAAAAGAATGACTGACCGAAACTAGGAATGTTTCTCTGGGTACGCCTCGTATTGTCCCATCTAGAACAAGAGGCTTACAGTATGGACGATCTGGAGGAGGCCGTCGCCAGTTTGCCTGTTACACTTAACGAGTTGTGAGTACCTTTCTCTTCACAACGTTATGCGAGCTAATTTAGATGAAGTTACAATCGAATCCTGGCTCGATTGGATTTGTTAAATATAACTGCCTGTAGCAGAGCTATCAGCGCAATCAACTGGATGTTATGTGCGAGACGACCGCTACGAGCAGTAGAGCTCCAGGACGCTATAACCTTTGCCATGGGCTCAGAGACGCTCACAGAGAATAACAAGTTATCAGTGACCGTCTTAGATCATTGCAAGCCACTGGTTCAGCTACATGCAGACGGCCATGTGTCCTTCGTGCATTTTACTGTGCAAGAGTATGAAACTCACACCACATTCATGGTCTCTACTAAAGCATTAATAGATTTCTCAATGCAAGCTCCGTTACAAATCCCTTCGACTCTGAACGATGTGTTGCTGCAAGTTGTTTGAGGTATTTGAACCACAGTCTCACACTCACTCCACAGAACAACATCGGCGGGTCCTCAGCAATCGAAATCGGGAAGTGTCTTCATATCCTCCAACCATATGTGCATGAGCATTGGCTTGATCACTTGCTTTCATTAGCTGCCATATGTAATGACCACAGTCCGCAACAATCAATTAAGTGGGTCCTAGAAGGTTCAGATTGGATTGATTGATTACCGCTTTAAGCCTAGTAGTTACCTATAGGAGTTTAAGCCCTACCTAGATAGGTAAGTGGGTCTAGGAGAGTGACCGGATTGAATTGATTGTTGCGGAGTCTAGTAATGACACCCACGACAGAGAACTTGAAGGAATGCTATATCGGTTGCTCGATACCATCGATCACTATCAGAAACAAAACAGCAAATTCATCTCTCAACTCCCAGTCCAGGATTATAAAGGCATTCTGAGCATGGAGCCTCGATTACAGTATATGCGGCGATACGGGGATATATTCAGAGCATGCGTGGACATTGTTCAGCACCGACACGTCCGAAAACTCCAGTTCCACGACGCATCCTCCACAGGTATGACTACGCTGATAAACATTTCGCACATAGCTAACGACGCAATCCAGATCGATTGCCTGATCCTACTCCCTTTAGCACAATCAAAGCCGAATATGAAGTCAACGTCAACACGCTACTCGCTACTTCAACTTTTCCTGGTCTTAGTTCTGTAGAGCTAGCAACATTTCACAGTCTCTACCAGCCATTCGCATTGGTATGTCGCTATCCTGGTTGTACAAATATCTCAGCCGGCTTTGCCACGCATATCGATCGCGGTCGTCACGAAATGTCTCACGCCCCACCTCTCTCATGCGTTTATTCGGGATGCAAATACACCTTACCATTCAACTCATTACAGAGTCTCAAGCGGCACATTCGAGAGTCTCAGGATGGTATATCGCGCTGCATACCAGAGAGTGTACGCTCTGCGCGAGGTCATAATGCGCCGAGTAGTAGTCGCTTCACCCAAAAACATGGCACAGTGGAGATACGGCCACAGAGTAGCATGACAGTTAATCACAGCCCAGGCGCCTTTATCATCGATTATCATACACCCAGTCCTGTTTCATCGGCAGATTGTGCTCCGAAAGAAGACGCGCGCTCTAGAGACACAAATCGAGCGTCAGATGACCCATCGAAAGCTCCAGATCATGTGTACCTAGCGCTCACTAAAATCATGGGTCAGCTCGTAAAGAGCCAAGATTCCTGGTCGTCGATCATGAAACAGATATCTGCACGATACATGGACCTGAATCCAATTAAAGAGAAACTGGCGAGTAGACTCTATCCTACTCCAGAAACTTTCCTATTCGATGTCTGCACGGCACTCCGATCGTTTCAGGTCTCGTACCTGAACTTCATGAACGAACTTAGCCGTCAAGAACCTTTGAAGGCCATGATTGAATTAGAAGATTCAATGTGGAACTTCATCAGACAGCTGAAGCCCGTGGGTGCATTCAATCCTCTTCCATTACACATGATGGAAAGCGCTTGGCGAGTATATACTGTCCGGGGCGAATCTCCTCCGCATACACGCGAAAATCTACCCAAACCGATCGTTATCACACAGTCATCTCCTCTCAATCTTAAAAAAACAGTCGTTTCCGAAAGAACAATCGATGTTGGGACGACTCACACCGAGAGCCCACTTCACCATCTTTCTGTAAAACCTTCTGAATCTCCACAACTTGCAACGGGTTCCCTTGGCCCATGTACATCTACAAAGAAGCCATACAAACGGCACTCGCTGATCATGGCTCTGAACTCGACGAATGACACCGAGTTAAACCCAATATTATCTGGTTTCATTCGTAGTTATCACGAGAGTGGCCACGGTTTGGGTATTGCTTTGGAATGGCACCAGCTTATCCACCTAGAAGAGCGCGGTCGGGTAGCTAACTACTGTTATACACATCTTCATCGCCGACAGGAGGTTGATATGTCAGCCATGTCTGAAGCCTTTGGAATTGAGGTGCATGCTTTCGCCGAAGCGCACTCGAAAGAAGAATATATCGATATAATTGAGCAGAAGTTTGCTATGGAAGAACGAGGGGATATGCAGCAGCCACTCGAAGATGAAACCCAAGCTGGGGATAGTAGGATCGCTGTTTTGGACCCCTATGGGACAGACCCCTCTGATCTCCAAACTAGGGAAAGTGGCATCCAAAATCTCGAATCCAACTCTCTAGCGACAAAGGCAGTACCAGCAGCATTGTCGGCATCTCCGGATTCATCTTCAGATTTGTTAGCCGAAGTACCTGGTACACCACGCTCATGGCCACCCTCACGTCCAAGTTTCCCAGGGAGACAGGCAGCACGCACCGCATCATAATCATCTCCATCTGGATTTCCCGATCTGTTTGAAGTTCTTGGTACACCACTTTCACAGCCACCCTCGACTCCAAGTCCAAGCCTGGGAGATGTGTAGGTAGTAAGAGTAGCAACAGTTCACGTAGCCATATCAAAATTACCGTCAAGCATTCCATATCTCAAAAGATGAACAAAGGGCAGATTGAAAAATTAAACATGTATTTCATGCCTAGCTATTTAAACCCTCAGACTTGCCACATTATTGCTTAAGAAGTCATAAGTATCTGATCTGAAGTCATCATCCAGATAACTGTTCGAGTTGGCCCCAAAATTGACCAATTTCTTGCCTTCACTCCACTTCGGCCAGTTCATCAGCCCACTGCCCACATTCGGATCCATGTTGTAGACGAACGAGAAATAATATCCTCTGATCGTCCTTGCGGCATTGTTCGGCAGAACACCAAAGAATACTTGCAATATATCCGAAGCATGGAAGGTGCCAAGGATAGGAGTGCCGTAGTTGTACGTAGCGAGATAGGACCATGAGGGGACATCAGGATGGGCCTGGGTTGCGACGTTGAGGAAGATACGACGAGTCAGGGTGAACGTGACGTCACCGAGAATGGCCGATATGCGCTTGAACTGTGGGTACCAGCTATTGAAGATACCAGTGCGGAAAGGCGAGCCGTCTTCGGTGACGGTCTGGTAGCTATTGACGAGTGTGCTCACTTGAGCCGGCGAGGCATTGTTGAAGAAGACTGTCGAGAGATATGAATTGACTTCGCTGGTAGTAGTGAGGTTTGCGGTGAAGAGACCGAAGAGGGTGCCTTCGTCTTCTTGGTTACCGACGATGAAGGGGACCTTGGCGAATTTTCCGGCCTTGGCTAGTGCGTCAGGTGATGCGGTGAGGATTTTGCCATCAGGACGCGGCAAGTAGGATAGATTGACTGTGAAGTAAGACAGAAGTCCCGGGACTGTGTTTGCAGCATTGAGGAATTTGGTGTAGGGGACAGTTCGGAGACAGACTAGAGTGTCAGAGGCACCGGAGCAGCCAGCTGCCTCAACAACCTGAGGTTATGTTAGTATATGTGGATGGCGATTAGCGGATAAGAACATACCCTATCGTAGATAGCTTGGCCCTTGGGGCAGTCCACAGGATCAGCTGGGACGACGCTACCCGAGTTCATGATTCCAGCTCGGAACAATGGCTTTCCTTTGTAGGTGTTGTCGCCATCGTACAACATCATCTGGTCCATGACAGAGATAGCACCGGCACTCTCACCCCAGATAGTGACTTTGGATGGATCGCCTCCAAATGCAGCAATGTTGTCTGCAACCCATTGCAAGCCCAGCCTTTGGTCAAGAAGTCCCAGATTGGCAGAACCGTCCGCCAGTACTTCCTTTCCGGGCATAAATCCGAACCCTCCGACGCGGTAGTTGACAGCTACGAAAATGATAGGCTTTCCTTGGGCGACTGATTCGGCAACTAGACTGGTTCCGTCGTACATGGCAGTTGAGCCGAGTTCAAAACCACCGCCAAAGATCCAGAAAAGAACCGGAAGCTTGGCATCGGCTTTGGTTCCAGCGGGACGTTGTACATTGATGGTAAGACAGTCTTCCCCAGCATTGGTGACTGTCTGGAAGAGAGGAAGGTTGAGTATAGTTCCAAGTACATTGGTCGGAATGTTGGCTTGGTCAATGCTGAAGAAGAACTGCGGACACGCTTTGGGAATTCCGGTACCGTCCACCTTTCCGAGTGGGGATGTTAGAGGTTGCGGTGGTTTGAGTCTCAGCTGGTTCACTGGGGGTTGGGCATACGGGATGCCCTTGAACGATTCGACATTCAAGAGGTTCGTTCCGGTGACAGTGGCCTGAGGTAGAGGAGCGACAACGACGGGGTTTGCGCGCTTCTCGTGAGATGCCGGGGCTGCAAAGACCAAGGGAAGAAATGCGAGAACTGTTGAGATCTTCATGATGAACGTGGCTCAGCTTGTGCGGCAAAGTGAGTGTCTGGATGTTGTGACTACACCATCAATCGTCCTGCAAGGTACGATACTTAAGTTCAAGGAGATATCGTGTGTCACAAGCCAGAAACGCTCTTCTCGACGACAAACCTCGGACAAAGAGCAAGTAGAGGAAGGCCAGGTGATACAAATTTCGGGCACAGTCGACTTTGAACGCCATGTTGCCTTGGTCGCAGATGTATCCATGCTGCAGCCGCATTCTCCCCAGTTCCCGGATTGCAGATCTGCCTCTTTGTGGACAACTAGGCTTGGAAAGCATCGTGATTAGAACGTGGTGTACGGAAAGGATGGCACAGACCTATCAAATCCTTCAAACCAGCCTGACAGTCAGGGGGGATAACCACATCAGGGCTGGGCTATAGTTAGATGGCTTCCGGCGCCTACTGCAATGCGTGCTAGGCAGTAAGCCTTGGGGCGTAGCGCATGTTACGGACGAATGGATGCTCATTGCCCCCCTACCTCGACGGTTATGCGGTATACTTTTTCAATGCAAAGTAGATTGCGAACTGTGAAATGGATTCTTGCCCTAAGCAACTCCAGGCAGCTGCGCGACAGTACATTTGGACGATGTATGGCCTGCCACCTGTCAAGACATCAAATTCCTATAAACCCCGAGACCACAAGATCACGTTGGTCCCGACGGATTTCTACGGGTAGTACTTCCCTGTTCTTGGTCGCATGGGAAATGAATCGCGGATCTCAAATGTGCCGATGATCAGCCAGAAGCCGTTGGTCAGAGTTCCTAACGTCGGCGATACTGCCACTCAGGGGTGACACTGTTAGACCCGCGTGGACAGGATTGCGGGGTACTGAACAAGGCGCTTCCCCAGGATATTAGCCCCACTCCCCATCGACTTGTTCCACGACTGAGGAGTCAGAGTACAGCCTCGGTACAAAATAGGCGCTGCGATCTAGCAATATTTGCATATCATGCGAATTTTCTTTTCACGATCCTGCGATCCGCATTGGGTTTTCCTACAGTTACCTGTGGGTGTGAGGGATATTGAAAGTTTCTCAATTCGAGAGCGGTATCCCTGTCTTCAGGAACCCTTATTTTTCTGTGGCTTTGATACGCCCTGCTACCTGATCAAACTTCTAGCAGGATCTCCAGGTCACCGAGGGCAGCATTTCCATTATACAAAACTATTCGTATGCTATTCTTCGGCGTATACACACTAACATGGAATATACATATGTTTCTACGGCATTAATTGTTCTGCACGCAACCATGAGAGGAATTGGTCTGGAAGTTCGCCTGGTTAGCAAAGGTAGTGAACAAAGTTAGGTAGATGATAACAGCAGAGATCGTCAGTAGACTTGTGATTACGAGGTTGAAACGTCGCCGTCATTGTTTATGATTGTTGAGAATAGTAGTTCTGGGTGGCTTGTGTGGTCGAGACAATGGAAGAGGTACACGATACTATCTTCTTTCTACTATTTCTCGCTTGATTACTACGGCTTCATTATGCTCTCTCTTCATCAACAGGATCCAATTGAATAAACCATCATTCAACAGTTGTGTGTGATCTGGTATTCTTGACAAACTTTCATGTCCAGGATAGGCGTATTCTGCTGTTACCGAAAGGCCCACTTCACTCCGTAAGGTTGAACCTTGTAGATACTCGTATTCTAAGCTTTTGGAATTGGTTACAATTCTACTGTTTTCTGCCGCTCTATCAGATCGGCAGCCTGTGGAGAAGCCTCGGCTTTGCGCGGATACTATGTCCTGGAAATTTTAATTTTCTGGTGATTATTTTCTAGTGACTAGCTGTCAGTTAGTGTCGGGTAGAGACTAACAGCCCTTTAGCGTCTCTTACGGGCTATGTTCTAGAACAATGCGCTTTTTGAATTTTTCTGTATTAGGGTTTGGCCATAGCTACCTTGAAGGTCTTCATTCCAGATAAACAGAATGTGCCCAGGCAGACCTGAAGTACATGATGATTTCGTTGGAGCAAGTCAGAGTACTTGGTATCCTCTGTAAAGGAAAAGCAGTGTACTAACTTCTTCTATGTGTCGGTGGAAATTATTTTGTCACTTTCGGACGATGGGGCCGCATACAAAGGCCGAGTGATCGGATGGTAGAAAATTAATGCCCGAGTACGAGCCGATCCATAATAACAACGTTAGAAAGGAAGCAAGCATCCGTCGCGGAGCATAAAGAGGCAGTCACCTGAGACTCTTCGCGACAAAGAATACTTGCTATAGTTGAGGGGAGTCACAAGACCGTTACAGGTGACATTGTATGTGCATGCGCGGAGTGCAGGGTTGCTGACATCGTGGGTGCGCGACAGAACACATATTCACAAACTTGGTTATCGATAAGCAAGGGACGAAGCTCGTTTTGGCCGCTAATGTGGCGCTAACCCAGACTTGGCTTAGACTGGCTGACGCAAAGGATCCGATCGACCTCGTATCGTCATCGCCAATCTTAATTTAACATGCCGGAGTCAGTCTAAATTCTCACCGTATCTTTTGCGATCCGTTCATGAATCAGATGTTGATTCCTCCCCAGAATGCAAGGCTACAGGCGTAGGATCGATCAATATGTCTGTCGCAGCGGCATGACTGAGGAGCGAGTAGGCCTGTGTTCCACCGGCCGAAGAAGGAAGGCCCCGGGCTAAGAGAACAGGAGACGTGGATCATTTTTGGACTGAAGAGACGACCCGCACAAAGATGAGCCTGTGCACGCAAGGAGATTATGTGGCGTCATCGGCATGCAAAACAGCGTCCGCTTTTGGTTTCGGTATGATCGGAGTTTGTGCATACGCCACGAAAGGAGAGTGAGTATATCAGAGCAAGTCTAGACAACCTTTCTTGTGTCTAAAGTATTTGTTCAAGTCCTTAATCCTCGAGCTCGCAAAATCCAATCGTTAGGACGAAGAGCATACCATCAGGCTTCTACCGCGCAGAGCTCTAGGTCATATCTCGCCCATTCAACTGTCTTGGCTTGTACAAAGAAGTAAGAAGCACATCTAGAAGTCTTCTAGTCTCTTCTTCCGTTCCACAATAAGCATCCGTTTTTTCTCACATGGTAGGATATACTTAGTACCACAACCCGCATCCGCGTATGTGAGCTCCACCAGCCTCGCGGCTTCGGTAATTTGTTCTCAGGCCCGCAATTGTCTCGTACATACAGTACGTCCGGTTGTCTACAGAATTTTCGCAGTGGCTCCTTCCTCGGGTTCAAGGTCAAACCTGTCGCCGCAGCAGGTACCGCTATCCACTTCATGGCGTATGCTGGGTTGTAAGAGGTATTGCGCTCAAGAAATGAGAAGCTCAACAACTCCATTCTTGCATCATCATATTGTCGTACGAAAGCTAGCAACACCCATCTTATTGACTGCTACCCGGAGTACTGTACATATTACGATCGGCCGTGGTTGCGAGCCGGTGTTGCACTCGAAAAAATCTATCGCTGCTGTCGCTGATCATTGCATCTGGGCGCGATACTAGAACAGGCAAGATCTGGCGACCCTCTGAACCTTAAGTGGGCGGGACGACGGAGAAGAGGTGGTGTTCACCGATGCTCCGTGCTGTTGGGGTTACTTTCGCTCCCTGTGGAAAAGATCCTCATTGAGATACATCTAGTCGCATTCGGATTGTAAATTCCCATAGGTGACCTTTTCGGTAAGGCGCTTCTTGATGCGTCAGTGGGCTTTTTAAGTCCGAATCATTCGAATTATGCTTGGCGACTCTGGGCTTTTGTGATCGTTGACTGCGGCTGGGCCTGCAAGGTCTTCACGCTTCAAGAGAAGTTATCAGAGCAGCCCCATAGCTTTACTGCCGTGTGATGTTGAGCGGAGCAAATCAGATTAAAACTACCGTCCAAGCCCTGGTGGGCAGGTGGCTTGACTGGAATATGTCTCAGAGCAAATGTTTCCCGTGATATGCGAGTTCACAACTACATTCGCGTGGTTCTAATCAACAGTTCTTAGCAAAAAGCTGTAGTCAAGGTTAAAATAAGAAGTTCATGAGCGTGCCGCATTGCCTGCAGAGTTTGGAGTTTGAAATGTTTTACCAATCAATTTCTCGAATGCTAACGAAGTTTCGCCACTTCATGCTTCACAAAGCAACCCCCCGAAACCCCAAGTGAAATCTTAACAGGTTCTTCTATTTCTACTAGCTGATACAGTCTAGAATTTAGGAAAGTCATAACTCATATCCGTCCCGGTTGCGCTGTCTCTGCGAGTATCAAAGTCATACCCGCTAGAGACAGATCGCTTCCTGCTATAACCGCCCGCAATACCTAGAACTTTGGTGAACCGCATCGCGAACTCCGAGGCGCCCTTGAAAAGCGGCACCTTAGGTTGTGTACTTTGCCTCGCTACCTGTCGTCCAACATGGCTAGCCTCTGGGATAACGTCGGGGGCAACTTCATCGTTTGGCTCCTCCACTTCTTTCGCGTCTTCTTCCTCCTTCATTTGTGGAGCTTCCTGTGGCGACTCTGTCGCTTCAGGCTGCGACACTTCCTTTGCCACCTCCGTCTCCATCGACTTTTCCGCTTCCTCAAGTAATCTGCAACACGCGTTAGCCAAATCCAATCAACACATGGTAGAATTGTACGAACCTCTTCGCCTTGATCCTATAGCACTCCCTCTCCTCCCCATGAAGATGATACCTGCAACTCCCTTCCCACCCTCTCACCCTCTCCCCCAACAACTCCCCACCCGCCAAGCACTCCTCCCCCAGAACCCTAAACACCTCCCTGATGAACCCGTCTCCCCGCTCCCCAAGCCCCACCTCGTACCCTTCAAACGCCTCTCGAATCACCCTCCGTATGCTCGACATGCTAAGCTCCATCTTCCAAATCAGCTCAACCACAACATCGATAAACGGATTCGCCTTGCTCGCAAACCCCGGAATACAATCGTACAGCGCCGTACCAGCGAGTATGAAGCCCTCCAGCGTACCCGGGTGATCCTCGGTGGAGAACTGGATAATCGCATCATGCACCGTGTCCAGGAAATCAGTATCGACGAGTAGGTGGCCCAGTGAGCACACCATGACTAGTGTTCTGATTTCGCAGCCCGCGCTGGGTTTCCGCGTGTGCAGTTTACCGGTGAGGAGCCATTGGTAGTAGATGTAGAATTCTGTGGCATGGATCTCGGAGAGGGTGATTGTGCGGTGGGTGGATTGGGTGGCGAGTTTGTTGAGGGCGCGGTTGAGGTAGAGGGAGGATTTTCGGAGCGTTTGTTCCGAGATGTGGATGTCAGTTTGGTGGGGGGCTTTGCCCAGTCGGATGGTTATGAGGTCGTTTTGGAAGCTGCGGTGGGTTAGTGGTGTGGAGTGAATGGGGACAGTGGGGGAAGACGGACCTTGGGATGTCGGAGTAGTTTGCTCGTTCCATTTTGTGGTGATGTGCTGGATTTTACTTTGGTATTTCTGGGGGGTTGGCTTTGCAAAGTTGCCAATTGGTGATGTGTTGAAGTATTCAAAAGAGTGTGGTGGTGTGGTGCTCTGGAGAAGATGGATGCCAAAATGATAGAGACCATCTCAAAGGTTTATACAACGTACAAGAACGGAACTTGCCGGGTAGCCTCAGTAGAAATGACACCTTACAACAGTATCCGCACTTCTGCGACACGTAACCTCTCACTGATACTCTGACCCAACACTCTGGCTCAGGCACAGCTCAATCACCATTGAATCAGAAGCAGAAGCAGAATTCTGCCCCGCTTAGTCTACCCTCAATGCACAGTCTCAACAGATTTGTTTGGTTACCTAGCGAAGTCAACCATCACATCCTAAATCTACGTCACCTCATTTCTGCGGATCGCCGATTTTGACCTTTCCAACTCATCATTATGTAGTTCCATAGATTCATGATGGTATACATCGATCCCAATCACACCACAATAACACTATTGTCTTCCCAAAAAGACACATTCACTCACGAAGATGCTCTCGAACAAACATGACTATCCCTAACTACCTCACCACCCACACACAACCTGTCCCAAAACCCTCTCAACCATACAATCCGAGTACAACCTTAGCATGCTACCTTGCCAACCACTAACCACTGACTTACCAACCTTACGCACCCAGCCGACCGCCAAGAACCCTCTCCCAATGCCCATCTTACACAGAACAAGCCTCCACTAACCACCACTCTCGCCAAGCCCCCATCGCAAATCCCATGACCGCCACCAGCACGCCCAAATCCAAATATCCATCTTGCCCACGACGCCACTAAGCACTCCCGAATGTTCCATACACCAAACCTCCAAGCATGTACCCACGACCACGCCCCTCAGACCCTGACACCAGCAGCTTCACCACACCAAGCGGCAACCAAAAACCCCAGCGGCCGGTCCCCCAGCGCGGTTCCAGCACCCTCTCTAGCGCGCTCTAGCACGCTCTAGCTCCGCGGAAAAAGGAATTTCATCACAGGGTTCAGCCTCACGGAACGTATCTTCCTGCTTCCCTTTCGCACGCCGATCACGTGTTTCACCATGCACTCTTCCATTACCATTTGACTAGTGTGTAGTCTTGTCCCATCCCAATGTAACCTAGTCAGGAACCGGAACCACAAGCACAGCCGCAACTAAAGCTTGTTTCCGCACTGCCGCTCCATTTTTGGAATTATATTCACCGACTTGGGCCGGAAATGTCGTGTAGCGGGTGCTGCAAAGTTTATTCCCGTGTGAGGGACGGAAGATGCCGTTGTGTGGAATGGGGGCAACGTGGAATAGTGGGTGAGACTGGGGATGTGGGAAAGGTACCAAAGGTGATAAATGCCTCATGCGAGCATCATGGTGGATGTGGAGAAGGTTGGCGGAGAAGGCGGAGAAGTTGGGTGTAGGCGTGGCAGCCTCGTTTTCCTGTTTGCGAGAAGACGGAAGATTGTATGCGATGTCGAGGACCCTGATTCTTGGGTTACGTTGTTGCCATGTCGCCATGACGTTGGCACATTGCATGTATACCTCATGGCAGCGACGAGGCAGAAAGCAGGTCTGTTGATTTGAAAAGTTTGGGTGGTGCGGCTAAGAGTGTCGGAATCGAATTGGCATCTCGGCGTGGGGGTCTGGTGTATAAAGACGGAAACACAGAGACGGTGGGCCGTCATTGTTCTTCCCCCATCTCTTTACTGCACATCCAGCCGTTATGCGGCATTACCACTTCATCTCATCTCATCTCACCTCACCTCACACGGCAAACATGCCCAGCATTCCCACAATCAAAAGACCAAAGACACAATAAAGCTCGAATACCATTAAACATGTCATTACCAAGACTCGCATCGTCCTGTGCCTGACTCTGCCGCTCACAACCCACATATTCAACTACCATCACCACGCAAAGGAACCCGGTGTGCAATACACCGAAAAAGTTAACGACAAGCTCGCTCGCTCAAAGAACAACAACAAAAGGGATTTTCGCTTATGCAGCGCAAGCGTAATCGAAACCAACCAGACCAAACCAAAGAGAAAACGCCGTAAAAAACGCCAGCGCTGGGTATCTTATCTTACAATCCATTCCTCGCCATGCCTAATCCCCTTCATAGCGCGCATTCGAAAAGAAGCAAAGAAAAGTATATCGAGGAAGAGAGAAGCGTACTTTACGCCTTCTTTTCTTTTATGCGATAATAATAATAGAACACGTCGAGGACATCAAACTTCGAACCAGACAGACAGACAGCCGAAGGTTGGGAAGCTCAAATGAAGCTCCTTGTCCTCTCATGCTCACTACCGCTGAAGAAATCACCATGATTAGCGAAACCCTCTTCTTTCGGCGTGGCCCATACATCAGGTGTGGCTGCATCGTCAAAGGCTTGTTGTCGCTGGCTGTCAGACTCTCCATCGTACAGACTGCCGCTATCACGGTGCTGGCTCCAATGCTTGGCATCATCACCTCTGTCGTAATGGGTTGGCGCACGGGGCGTAGAACAGCTCATGTGATGGTGGTCGACCTCGCTCGAGTTGACCAAGGTGTCTGGTGAAGGCGTCGGGTACGAAGGTGAAGTAGCAGTTGCACTAACAATGAGCTTGTTTACGAGCGCGTGTAAGTCGGAAACATCGTGTTGGAGTGTTCGGACTTGGGTTTCGAGAGCTTTACGCGCACTACGCTCGTGTTTGAGCGCTTCGCATACGTAGCGGAGGGTCTTTGCGCTGTCCTCGCCAACGGTAATTGGCATTGAAACGTGCGTTGGTGAGCCAGGGGCATAGTCCGTATCTACTGTCTCGACGCTGTGCCGCATGGGCTCTTGATGAATGCTGGGCGCGGATCGGGAATGAGACCGTGATCCAGTGGCAGATGCAGATACGCTCCTGTTTCGAGATCGCAGGTTCCTGGGTGCATTCTCTAGAATGATGGTTTCCCGATTGTTGCGCGAAGAGACACGCCGTGTCATGGATTCGAGGTTGGAGTACCTGGATTCCAGGTGGTTAACGCGATCCTCCAGTGAGATGCGGTTCTGGCTTCGAACTGGTGGGGCGGGTGGTGCTGAAATCTCCGTCGATTGGCGATGCTCTACAGTGGACTCTGCTGGTGCATCGAGTACCGCAGCTTTGAGATTTCCAAAGTTGAAAGCTATGACTGTGGGGAGGCCATCATCATGCTCATCATGTGCCCGCTCTTCTGCCACAGGTGTTGGCGTCTGAGGATCATCTGCTTGTACCAGCGTAGCACTCATCTCGTTGAAAGATTCCGTGTCTGGCTCCTGAATGGTAGGCTCATTCATCTGTACGCTGCGAATGGTCTCCATCGTCTTTGCTGTCTCCGGAGTGCTGTCTACTGTTCTGGCCGTGTCCGGTCTGCTGTAGATGCTACCTGACATGTAACTTTCCCTCCAGTACTTGATCTCTGCACTTCTGCCCCTATCGCTTGAAGCACGCTCCTTGAAAAGGTTATGCAGAGCGTCTGCACTTCTTGATCTACGTTTGTCGTGTTTGGGAGTTGGCTGGGTTGGGCTGGATAGTGCAATACCGATACCTGACGATGAAACGGCATCTTCCTCATGTCCCTCCTCCCAAGTTGCCATCTTGATTCGTGGCTCATCCAAACTGTGACGCTGAGTGGCAGCACTGGGTAAAGTAGCGAGTGTTGCTCTTCGGCGGCCAAAATCCGGTCTTGACGTGTCAAGAACAAGGTACTCCTTGGGTGGACTTGCTGGAGGCGCATTCACATTCATAGGATACGGAAGATGCTGGCCCAATGGGTGAAGCGGTTCCAGCTCCTTGACTGGCAGATCTGATATCCGAGGTCCAGTGGGGGTCCTCGGTGGTTCTCTTGGCGGCGAAGCTCGGCGCAACTCAGGTTCCTGCCTCAAGTTAGTATTGATATTCGCCTCACAAGTCTGAATAAGCTTACACTGCGATGATAACTGTGACCGCGTGTCATCGTATCTTCGGGACGATGTTCGGTATGATCCTCAGCCTTCTCGGGGGTCTTTCTGCCAAACATTTTCCGGAAAACGTTCCGGAGTCCACTCTTGCGTTTTTTCTTCTGGGCAGCCATGGCAGCGCTTTCTGGCGTTGACCGAAAAGGCGTCGGGGATGCAAGTGGGCTTGAAGTGATGACGCTTCCGCGCTGGACTTGATTCAATTGCCGCACCTTTGGCGGCGACCTTGAAACAGGGCGCTCATGCGTCTCCGTCTCTTGCTGTGGCTGCTCTACAACCGGGTTTGACCCCAGTGCCGTGGGATGCTCAGCATGCTCAGGAATGGTCGGCGGGGATTGAACTGGTCGTGATGGAGTTTCCTGCGGCGGATGCTGCTCTTCCTGGGATGCGTCCTGCGGCTGCAATGACCGGTCCAGCGCACCATTTTCTGCAAACTCCTTCTCTTCTTCCTCGTTCAGTGGCATATCTTCCGTAATTGGAATTGGGCCGCTAATCTTCAGATTCCCTCTTCTAATCGCCTCGGCCTTCCAGCTAGACCGCTGCAAGGGAGTGGGCGAAGCAGTCGGCGCACTCATACTGGCGACGACAAATCCTTCTTGCTGGAGCATGTGGATGCGTACTTGAGGTGTGTCGGCAGAGAGAGTTCGTTGTGCGGGCGATTTCTGGAGATTGCGTTCATGCGGCTCTTACAGGGATGTCCCAGTAGTGTGGAGGCAATCCACTACCATGACCACCTGTGCGATGGTCGGTTCATTCAAGAAGCAAAGCGACAAGCGCGCCAGAAGGCTTTTTTCCAAAAATAGATGCCGGAAGGGGAGGGAGAGAAGAAGAAAAGGCAATGGCTTCGCGGATTAACAACAACAATAAAGCAACAAGAAGTGAAGCGGACTCGAGCAGAGAAGGAGCGACTTTGTTAAACAGCAAACACGTAGCGCAGACGGCGCGACGGGAGGTGAGGAGCAGGTAGGGGAACGAGCGGGCGCGTCAAGGCTCTATGTATCGCACGGAGGTGCAGTGTCATGTACCAGTGGACAAGGGTTTAAAGTGGGAGGGTCTGCCCGAGATGGGGGGGGGGGAGGGGGGGCACGGCGGGAAGTTGGAGGCGATTATTAGAATGGTGCATTTGCGAATCAAGCAGTACTCCCGGTATGCACGCATGGCAGCGGGGGGTGGGTATGGCCGAACCAAGTAGGCTGTACTGTAAGCAAGACTACTCAAGGTCTGATGGGTGGTGCACAAGCGTTGCAGAAGCCAACAAATGGGCCTGGGGCGCCATTCAGAGTGCATGTTGTTGGTAATGGGGCCGTGGGTTTAGGACTGCGTCGCTGCTGCACGCGTTTGCGAAAGCGGTACAGCAATCGATATCCCGTGCATGCACGCGCTCTCGGCTGCCGTCTTGTTCAGTGCGTCTGAAACGTCGCGCTTAGACTTATTCGACCTCAATTCCATGATTACAACTATTGCCCTCAAACCTACCGTCGGCGTCAGGCCAGCTAGGCCAGCCAGGCCACTCAGCCCGCTATGCCGCGAGGCGAGACGAGACGAGAGCGAGGGTGTCAGGGTGCCAGGATGGGCCAAGTAATAACGCTAGATGCCGATGGACGACGGCAGCGCGTCGCCAGAAAGACGAGCAGCAGCAGCAGCGAGCCTCGAGCTTGAGCAACTTGGCCCAAGCCTAAACGCAAGACATGGACCCTCTCGGTCGACTAGTTGCCAACCCGGCCCCAGCATGCATTAACGTGTTTGAGACGCCAGGCCTACTAACCCAAAAGGCCGGCTGATTGGGGGGGGGAAGCCCCGACCCACACTACACACCGTCTATCGTGCATGTTTGGTACTCTACTGTACCAGCTGCTTGTGGGCGTATAGCTTCGACGCAATAAACACACCATAATGGTCATGCCCCGACTTGAAAACCCCGCTGGCCTGGTTGGAGGCCGTTAGGAGACGCTGCGTAGCGAAGCAATAGGCGCGCCCGTTTTCTGCATGTCTGGACTGTCCTTGATGATGATGATGACAGTTATTGGTTTCTGGCGCACGCACGACTCGCCAACATGTCACTCCCTTCCCTTACTATATCTCATACTCAGTACGACGCCATCACCTCATCCGGCCATTACTCGCTCACGTCAGTCTCCTCTCTTTGCTTCTGCGCATGGACTTGCTGACATTGCTGCTATACCCGTATACGCAGTAGGACTTCGCCTTATGCGCGCTTCTGCGTCTGCCATATTGGACTTTGGTGTTTTGGCGGCGCGGCCACACGTCTCGACTGGCGCTTGGACGCGGGACTACTGCAGCTAATGTCACGCCGCACATGCTGCAGCATCGCGCGAACCAAACCATAGCGAGTCGCGCTGAGACCATGGCGCTGACACTCGCTCCCCACAATACTCCAATTCGACATGCAGCGAATCGTCACTCCGACAGCGTTTGTTTGGGAGCCCGCTACAGCCACATTGCATGCTTTTGTTACAGCCTCGCTTGCTCATACTTGGATTCAGCTCTTTTCTTGGTCCACGTACACGTCTGCCAGATTGGGGTACCTCAGATCCGCATCGTCTTCGAGGTGCTGCATCCAATCTTTCAGAAACTTGGTCCCCCTGTACACACATGGCCGTCAGCACACTGGTCATCGCTTTGTTGTCTTTGTGTCACCATCGGACTTTGTAGCTTCCACAATCCCGAGAGTCCGGTGAACGACGGGGAAGGAGCTCTGGTGACGGACAGGGGAGCGTGTCACGGCAGTTTCGTGATACGCGACTTCTTTGCTTGTTCGCACCAGAGACCCTCCACCCACGTTCTCGGGTATTACCGAGATAAGCAAGGGCATCCAGTTCTGCGACAGACAAGGAACAAAAGGATTGTAGGGGGTATCGATTAGGAAGGCTATGTACGTACTTGCTGATGGTATCCGAGTCTCCGATCACACAGAGATGTCGCTTTGGGCGTGTCATCGCCACTGCATCCCGCTGTCAGCACATCTGCGCACACTTGCAACCGATATCATGCGAAGAGATTGCTAGGTTGTGAGTAGAGTAGACCGTGACGTACCATTGAGGCGTCTCTTCTCGCCCAAGAACCCAACCTCATGCTCCGAATTGCTTCGTACTGTGCTGACAATCACTGCCTCCTTCTCTCGCCCCTGGAATCCATCGACGGACCCCAGTTCAATTCCAGGGTATGCTTCTTTCAGCATGCCACCAAGCAATGCGAGCTAATCACGTCAACAACCAACCCCACAGTACACATGCTGCTTCGTTGCGCCATGTGTTTCTAATTCGGGCAGCGGGATTAGAATACGTACCTGTGCATTGTATGGCGTAACAACCGCAATGTCCTCCGCCTTCACCCCAGCACTGATCAAATTACTCACATGCATCTTCACCAAGGCCGCCTCCGCCTCGTTCGACTTGCTGTCACCGAGATTCATGCCTTTGCCACCCTTACCAATCACGCCTTCATCCTCAATCTTTTCGGGAAAGTCACCTCCCTGTGTGTCCCAGAAGACTAGCGGCTCTCGGGTATCTTCTGTATCCTCAACTTCGTATGGTAGGTCCTTCAGTAGCCGCTCCTTGACGAATTCGGCTGCAATCAGTTTCGAATCGTACAATTCATCAGATGGGAACCGCATGATTTTCTCGTGCATCCGGTATTGCGTAGTTAGCATGCGTTTGATCGACGGACCGTGCAAGGCCAGTAGTCTGTCGAAGAGTGTAGTTTCTAGTGTCGTATTAATAGCAGGCTTCTCTGCATCGCCTGTCTTGTCCGTGCTCTTCTTTGCATCTTTCTTTGCCGCTTTCGATTCCTTCGAGTTCAAAGACTTGATCGTCGGCGGGAGCTGAAGGTGATCTCCAGCCAGAACCAGTTTGCTCGCTTTGACCCACAGCAAGGGTACCCAGCACTGCGCTTCTAGGGCTTGACTGGCCTCGTCTATGATGACGACGTCGAACTCCTGCCCTTTGAGATGGAAGCCTCCCGCACCGTGCAAAGTAGCAAGGACAACCTTGCTCCCACTGACCAGGTTGTTCACGCATCCCTTTTCTCGCTCTCTGAACTCTTGCCTCAGCTCTTTTAGCTCGGTATAGATCTGACGTCGCTCCTTTGCATTGCGAGTCTTGCGAATGGAAGACTGTTTATCATCCATCTCTTTGCGAACATCTTGAACTAATGCAGCGGCCTCTGACGTTCGCGTCAGTACGTCAAGGGAGTGGTTCAGCACTGACGGTAGCAGCCTTGCAGGGTGCCCTAAGCGAACCATAGGGACCTTGTGCGAGGCCAGCCGCTCGACGATGTTATCAACTGATATGTTTGATGGGCCACATACTAGCAGACGAAGCTTTTGCTTCAGCAGCTGCAAGATGAGCTCTATGAGAGTGTGTGTCTTGCCTGTGCCTGGCGGGCCATGAATCAAAGCGACTTCCCTCGAAGCTAGTGCAAACCTGATAGCTTCTTGCTGGCTGTCATTGAGTGATGGATCGTTCCATTCAAGATTATGTAGAGGGTTAGAGGGATCATTGAGATCTAATGGCAGAGGCGTTGGCGATGTTTGTCCGAAAAGCACGCGCATAAAGGGAGTGTAATCCTGATCTCCGAGCTTCTGAAGTCTGCTCATCGTCTGGTTCATCCTATCACAAATGAGCACTGACATGCCTGGCTAGATCGAAATAGAGAAGAAATACCTTTTGTAAGTGACATCGTTGGCCAGTTTGACTCTAGTGCCGATATCAGTCTTCTGATATCGATGACCAGCTCACATGGTATGATTACTCACATCCACAACTTGCCGCCCGTCGGCACATCCGCATCTTCCTTGTCAAGTACAATCTCCACATTTTCCCGGCGCACCTTCAAGACCACACCCGAAGCGCCCTTCTTTTCCAATTCTTTCTTCTCCGTCTTCTTTGCGCTTCCGCTAGGCTGATCTTGTACCGCTACTATATCGCCCACGCGGATCCCGTGTTCAGGTATATCCGGTTTCTCGCCTTTAGCCACGACTGCCGAGTCTAATCCCAGCTCGACCACGGTCTTACCCCCGAGCCCCGTGCGTATAGAGGAGACATTAAGGTTCAGGATCGCGAGACCGGCACGCGCAAGGGAAGTAGGGGTGTGTGAGGAGAGGAGCACATTGGTCTCTGACAGTTCGGCTTGAAGTTCGGCGTCGAGTAGCGTGAGCTGCGATGCAGCGAACGATGGGATATCCGTGAATTTAGGCATACTTGTGCCGCTTATGCATGCAGCTCGTCTCAGCTTTGCAAGTCACTGGCGTGGAATTGGCCTGATCAGTCGGTCGGTTGAGGCTTTTGGTGGGATGGCGGGGTTGCTCGCTCAAACACTAATGTTTTTGCTAACGAATTCTGATGCACGCCTCTTCTCGGGCACATGAGTTGTGTGTCGTTTATAGGGCGTGTAATTGTTTGCTTATGTACCTGCAAACGACTCTGCATACGGGAAAGCCGCAGCTCAATCGCGTCATCGTCATCGCTCCTGCAGATGTACGTCGGGGGCTAGTCCAATTTGGGTCTAGTCTGTGAGTCTCCTGGCTCAAGGTTTCCACCGTACGCCCGCACATCACCTTATGCATCTTCACCCCCGTCTATACTTCAACTATGTGAAATCTAGCTCTTACACAAAAACTACTGATCATATGATACGCGCATTATGAGGAGGTAGTAATATCCAAGTAGATCTGCTAATCACATGTTACAAGACTAGGTAGAGATATTGAAGACAATTCACTAATCAGCGACTACATCATTACAGATTATGTTACGTTATTATTATTATTATTATTATTATTATTCCATTAGAGTCCTTTTTCAGTCAGAGACTATGTAGGACTTTGGCCGAAGGCCGTTCTATCTTGGTTTTTCTAATTTACATGGTTTTCTGGTATGGTTCGCTAATATGGTTTTTGGCTTTTCTACAAAAGATAGCTTGTATCTGTTTGTTGCCAGGTGCTAAAGAGCAGTTTGATAAGTAGAAAGAGATGTAGCAGCGGGCTCTTGTGGCAAAGGAGAGGGTTGTGGTTTTAGTTTTATACAGTGTCTCTCTGTAGGTCTTCTGGTGGCTGTCCTAGGTACCATTTTCTTGTTCCTATTCTGGTGCTAGTGATAAAAGCTAGGGTTGCTTCTATACCTATAATAGTGTGGAGTAGTAGTGGTAGTGTGACTGGGCGATGTTTGATTGTTTGTAGGAGCGTTTTTCGATGGTCTTTGTATAGATGGCAGTACAGTAGTAGGTGTTCTGGCGTTTGGATGTTTTGGCAGGTGCAGCGATTAGAGTCTCGTTTCTTAAATCTCTTTAGGTAGGAGTTGAAGTATCCGTGTCCTAGCTTAAGAGAGTAGAAGGCGCTAGAGGTTACTCTTTTCGTGTTCTGTGGCATTTGGATGGTTTTGCTGATTTTAAGAGGGTATTTGGCTGAGTAGGTAGCTTTGTTTAGAGCGGTTGCTCTTGCTTTGTATTTCTCATACTCTTGGCGTTGTTCCGTTTGTTGTATCCTTTTGATTGTCGTGCCTAGGTAGGCAATGCTCTTTGTTGTTGATCTGGGGTCCTCTTTGGTTGCTTCTTTTGCTAGGTAGTCTGCTCTTTCGTTTCCAACTATATCTGTGTGTCCAGGTGCCCAGAGTAGGTGGATGTTTGCTTGTTTTCGTCGGATCGTATTTGCCGCTTTTAGACATCGGAGATTATGTTACGTTATGTAGCTACTAAGTACGCATTACAAGTCCAAACTAGGCCAAGGAAAATTCCAGATATCTCACACATATTCCTACACTGGTCGCAAGGATTTCATCAACGGACCAGGGGATTAGTGCTCGGCCTGCCTCTGTAGCCTTCTCCCATACTGCTCTCGCTATACCTCTCCTCCTTCGCAGGCACCGGTACCTGCTCTTCTTTGCGTCCGAAGCTCCAGGCACCGAGAAGTACCAAGGCGAGGATGCCCAGGTCGCACAGTTCACCGAAGATGATGAACAAGAACGCGAGGGCTTGGTTGGTAGTGCGCGACCAAGCGTTTACATCACGGTAGACGATGATGAGCTGCGCAATGGAGAACCCGTTGCGGACCCAAACAAGCGGTGTAACAAGCATGACGAAGCGGGTCAAGGCAGACTTGAAGCGAGTCTAGAAGTATGTCAGTCAAGTAAGGTAGGACAAAGAGACGGGAGACTTACACCAGCGAACCCGTTCTTCTTAACTCCAATCCAGCACAATACCGCTTCGATGGTCACACTGGTCGATGCCGCAATGACCACAGACATATAAACCACATACAACGTCCGCACCATATAGTCCCCCTGGACCAACGTTCCGTACACTACCGCCGCACCGCCACTGCCCCTCTTAACCAACCCAAGTCCCCAACTCGCAAATCCCAGTCCGAGAATAGCAGCCATCCACCCGCCATTCAGCATCCAGCTAACCTTGCCTGGCTCCTTGATACCCGTTCCATTGTTCTGCAGGTAATTGGCAGTAATCCATATCGCGCCTACGATAGCGGTGTTTAAGAGTATGGTAGCGCATTGGTAGGTGAAGGAGAGGATGGAAAGAATCTTGGCGTAATGTATCGACGGGTTGAAGCCGTAGGGTGCGGTGTATTGTGGGTAGGCGTAAGCGGAAGTGATGGTGAAGGGGGAGGAAAGGCGGGATTGTAGGGCGACGATGCTGGATTGTGTGGCGTAGGCGAGGAAGAGGGTGGAGAGGCCGAGTAGGAGGAAGAGGTGCGTTGCTAGGGAGCTCGACGGGAGTTAGCTTGGTGCTGGGAAGGGTAGGCGAAGAGGATGGATTAGGTGTACCTGTGTTTAATATCCGTGGACCGTGTGAATTTCCGGAATGTACGCGGCTGACCAGGTCTGCCGGAAAGTTGACGCAAGAGCACGAAGATTGCGGCGAGCAGCAGCAGGAGGGCGCTACTGGCTGTCACGACGTGCAGGGAGAAGATGGCTTGGACGGTGCTGGTGGTGTTTGTGATTGCCATTTTGGATGGATGGGGAAGGGGTGTTAGACCCAAACTGCCTCAAGCTGGTATGTTTAAATTAACAATAATATCCTAAGAAATAGATTTAAACAGATAGATGAGACTATTCCCTCCCACCATCTCTTTTATCAACCCTTCAAATCAATACCGTCATACCACCACCAAACCTGACCACACCACACGCATGCCATCACCACCACAAGCCATGACGCTAGACATCTCCACCTGCCAAACTCTATCTCCGCCGTTCCAAGCTCTGCGCATGTCATCCTCCCAACCCACTGACCCCCCTCCAAGCATCGAAAACAACAAAAAACCACACCGGCGCTGCCACCGTCGCGCGTTGCGCAGAAGCTAATGGGATTGCATGACGTTTAGTTTTGCGGGAAGGGTGACGGGATGACGTCTTGGGCGGTTATAGCATCATCGTGGGTTGGTTAGCGTGATGGAGTGTTCCTAATTGCTTAAAGTTGGTTTCTTTTGAGATGGGCGATGGTGGGTTGTGGTCTGGAGGGGGAGGATCGGCTTGGGGGAATTTTTTTTTCTTTCCTTGGTGAGGGGATGGGATGGTGGAAGGGGGAGTGGTGGTCGTGATCGTGATCGGCGACAGGGTGATGGTGGCTGCGCTAGATATGTTGGTGCGCAGGGACTGAACGGGTGGTATTTCGCGATACCGAGGTAGAGGTGTTTTGTGCGGATGGTATGGTCTAGATGAATAGTAGTGGAGTAGATATTGGCCTTTAGACGATAGTGATAAGAATGAAGATGAGATTTTAATAAAAGAGACGACCGAAAAACCCATGCCACCAAGGTTCCACCAACTCAATCACTCTTCCCAACCCCCACCACCTTCCCACTCCCCCTCAACCCCAACTCCTCCGGACTCATAAACCTCCTCGCAGTCTCCACATCCCTACCCGCCCATGCCCCTTTCCCCCCACCCGTCTTCCTCTTCCTATACTGCGCCTTCTCGTAATCGTCATCATGCCACCCACACGCAAAGATACAAAACAAACACACCACCACAAACAGTGCAATAACTGCGACAACGAAGATAAACAGTGCCCACATACCCGACGACAGAAACTGCACAAAATACGAGGAGGCGGAGTTGACAGTATGTGTGGCTGTACCCTTTTTGCCATTGTCATCCCAATCAAGAAACCACATCGAAACTTTGCCTGAACCCTTTGACGTTTTCGCTCCGGACTCTGGAGACCGCGGGACTAACCCCGCGCGAACAATTTCGTAGCTATTCGCCGGATCCCCAGAAGATAGTAACGGACGCGGTAACAGCACCACTTCCAGCATCTTCTGGCCGGGCTGATCCAACACCACAGTCAGCGGCGGAGTAGTCAAATCCGTCCACAGTTGCATGACATTAAACTGAAAAACGCGCGCTTGAGAATCCTTCACCCGGTGCAACGAGTACTGGTACGAAGCGCCAAAGTACGCCCCACCCAGCTCATCAAGTTGATTCGAAACGATGATTTTGTTGATATCGTCTTTGGACACGTCTTGTAGGACTTGGTTGACGTAGATGCGGGGTAGGATCTTGGAAGGGGTTAGTAGCGGGGCCGTGTTTATACTGAGGTGCGTGGAATCGAAGGGGAGGGATAGGTTGAGCAGCTATGGGTGGGTGGTTAGCTCACGTGAGACTGATATCACCTAAAACTGATGGTCTTGATAAACTGAGGACAGGAGGGTAGTGGGAGTTTTTACCAAAGCGTTATCATCTTTCCGCTGCGACCACCCCACGTCGCGGCCTAGCGATGTGTCGTGGTATAGATACGGGCACCCGATGCATGGCAGCTTGGCGATGATGTTGTAGCCTTCAGCCACTGTTGTGATTTCCGGTGCTACTTCTGCGACGACTGGGGTTTGGAAGAATGCTAGCACTGAAGCTAGGAGCGCTATTCGTAGAATCATAGTTTTTTGGGGAAGAGAGTTTTATGGGTGGGTTGGATGTGTGGGATTTGGAGTTTCTGGACACGTTGATTCTGTGGTTCAGCATCAGCTGAGACGGTGGGGCGGAATACCCGCGTCATGTGAAGTCGCGAGTTAGCGTGTTTGAGGAACGAGCAGTCAGTCTTAGGCTGGATTTTGCATGATTTGGTCGTAAGCGACGTTTTTTTATTATGTTTTATTTTGCTGGGCTAGGAGCTATTGAGGCATGTTGTGGACATGTTCCAACAGCGACCGAGTGTCCTGACTCTTGCCATTGCATACCCATCCTTTGTTTTCCTACTTTTAGCCATCTCACCTATACCCATGTAAACTCAAATCGAAAACTCCAAGGCAATGCTTCCGTCTATGTACTCATGAAAACAAGTTTTTTTTTACCGCTCATTTCTCATCCCCAATGTCCTCGATGCTCTCCTCATCAACACCATTATGATTCATCAGCATTGTCATGATGTCGTTATCATCGAGCCCACTGTAAACATCATAGCCACTCTCCTCGAGAACCCTGCTAGGCGCCCCCATATCATCGTCCAACGTTTCTTCCTCCATATTCACCATATCCTCCTGCACCACAGTTTTCGCCAATGCCTGACGGATAAGCCTGCAGCTACGAAGTGCCTCCTCATCTGTTATCTCCTTCAAATGCTCTTCGATGTCGTCCAGACTCTTGAGTATCTTTGTGCGGGATGGTTGCGTCTCAAGTCTCGGGTCAAGCTTGGAAGGGTTGGTGACGACCATAGCACCGATTTCGATGATCTGACGACTTCGTGCGAGTTCTTCTGGGCGTGTCATTTGACGATAGGTTGGTCCTCCTGGATACACCGCATGACCAGGACCGCTCATGTCCTGAGTGCGGTAGTTGTGAACAGGTGAGCGGATCTGATATTCGACCTCGTTTATTGGCGTGCCCAGGGGCATAGACAGCATACCATCAACAAGAGGGGTGATTTGGTATGGCACACTCGTTGGCTTCCAGGGCCTACCTCGTGGAGCAGGGCTTTGACTTGTACTCCTTCCATGCTGAGAGTAGCGTCCACTCCTCCTGTTTTCTTCTGGTACGGTCGACGTCGCACGCGGCGCTGAGAGGCGGACGAAAGTCGGATTGGCAACGCTGTTCGCTGCAACGATACGGTCTGCTTCACCGTGACTCAGCGATCTCCGACGACCGTAGCCTTGTGGTAGATGCGCAGGATGATGATAGACATCGTTGGTATGTGGCCTGAAAGGTAGGGGTCGTGATGTGGAGGCTTGTTGGTAGGCACCTGCTTGATATGCTCGCTGGAGCTCGATTGGGTACGCGTGGGGTGTGTAGCTATCGGGCGTCGCATATTCCGGAGATTGCTGGCCGAAACTATAGTTTGAGAAATTTGGGGTCGATACTGTGGATGAGTTCGCTGAATCGACTGGGATGATAGAGAGATGATAGCTGTTCAAGTCAAACTCATCAAGAGCTTCGCTGTTGTTCAGTGAGAAGCTCGGCTGGTTTGAAGTACCTGAACCAAACAATTCTCCAAAGTCAGCCTGAGCGAGCTGCTGCTCATGGTCGGCCGACACAAGAAAAGGGCCCGCAGAGGCACCGCTGAATGGCGTGCTTGGCTGAGACATGTTGCTGTGCCGCGAATAATCCCAGTAGGTTTTCAATGATAATAGTAAATCGCGTGATCGATGTGACCGGAGTGTGACTTGGAGCCCTGTTCTACGGGAAGGATGTTACATAGGAGACGAATGTGTGTGATCAGTATCCAGATATAGTCGCTACTTGCTTTTTCTGTTGGTCTGGGCTGAGACACATGGACGCAGACAGTTTGGTGAGCGTAGGCGGTGGCGCTGAAGTTGACAAATGAACGGGTACCTGCGTTTGTGATGTGGCCATTGCAAACATTGTTTCTCTGCATGTCGGTCAGTGCCAAAGTGAGCCATCAAAACATCTATTGGTAACTGGTAAGAGGTAAACCACTTACTGTTTATGATATTTACGTCAACTGTGTCTAGTGAGAGACATTGGGTAATTTGAACAGTGCTTTGTGATGAGTTGAAACGTGAGCACACTACTCTAGAACATGAGTTTGCTATAAGGGCGTTGGTAAGTATTCTGGAAGACAAAGAATTAGAACATTGCTCGATGTGGATCAATCTGATTCCCGTCAGATTCAACTTTTGGAAATCGTGCACGTAGATGGCTCATCGCTTCGTAGAGAAAACCATCCCCGAACACCCTGCTCTTGGAGCAGCCAACTCCCAAGATCATAATGTACATGCTGTAGTATACAGAAAAGACAGACTATTATGGATCGGAGTGACATTTACTCCTTTTTCCCGTCGTCCTCTTTTCCCTTCTTCTTATTCCAATTCCACACATCCCAAATTTGTTCAATTATCAGCTCCCCGTAGCCCTTACCTTCCTCCAGTGCCTTCCTCTCCTCTTCCAGTCGCTTCTCCTTCCAACCCTCTTCCTCGTCTCCCATCCAGAGTTTACTCAGTATACCCTTCTCCTGCCCCTCGTTCCTTTCAAACATCTTCCGGCTCTTCTCGCGCTCTTCTCGTAGTATTCTTTGAACTTCCTTGGCACGCTCGGTAGGCAAATCTACTGCTCCCCAGGGGGACATGTTTTGGACGAGACCGCGGCCTGTACGAAGGGCAGTGAGGTGGTCGGCGGATAAGTAGAAGGCCACTCCCAGGGAGAAAGTGTACATGTCCAGTTTTCGAGGAGGAAGGAGCGCGATGATGGGACATACAACCAGACCACTGATAGCTAAGTTGCGTGTTATACGTTGGTAGCGCTCTTGTTGTTCGAGGGCTAAGCGTTGTTCTGGTGGCATGGGAGCGTTTTGTATGGGGTTCGGCGTCGCCATACTTCAAGTATGCGCATGCGCGTGGGTTTTGAGTACAACTAGTGTTGGCGCAAATTGGAAGCGAGGATACAACTGCAGTCAGGTTGTTGTAGTTGTGGGCTGAATTGGTTGCGAGGTCAAAAAGTTCGATGATGCAAAGATGGCGGCTAGCTTCCGCTCGGCTGCACCTTCGACTGCGGAGCGGAAGTGCTGCGGAGAAGCTGACGAGCGCACGTGAACCATTTCCTCACGTTGCACACATGTTGTAACGTTGCGTTATAGCTATGAACTGAAGCCGCGAAAATGTACATTGTAGAAGCATTTCTGCTCGACAATGGTCCTTAAAGCCAGACTGGCCCCATATAGTACATTGCATATACTGACCGTTCATCATCGTTGAAACCTTCGTCTTTTCACATCTGTCCTGTCTTCAAATCGATCACTGTGCCGTCTGACTTCGCTACTCTCCTTCCTCTTTCCCGCATGTTCGAATGTTCCACTACTTTTCAGACGTTTGGTAGGTGTCCTGTCGCGCTCACTACCGCTATGCGCACCTCCCAAGCCTTCGTCTGCTCCCGCGGCTCCCTCTGATCTTGGCTCCTCTTCATACGTATCGAACTTTCGCTTCTGGGCAGTACTAGGAGTCTCCATCAAGCGCCTTAGGCGGCTCATCTGTAACCGTCTGTTCACTTCCTCTGTGACGTCGACGTGTGGAACCACGTATGCGTTTTCGGGTGCCCCCTTTGCGCGTGGTGCAGGCGACTGGTCTACGGCAGGTGATATGGCTTGTAGGTTGGGTGTTGGATTCTGTGCTTTCGGTGTCGGCGCAGTAGCTTTTGCGCCCTCGATACTGAGTCGTTTATGCGACGTCTTGGTCTGTTACTTGTTAATCCTGGTATTGCGTGCGCAGATGACGTGCGCGTACCTTCTTCTCCGCCAGACCCTCGCTCTCAAGCTGATCCCTGAATCTCTTCATGTCGTCGTGCAATCGGCCAGACTTGTTGCGTAGCGATATGAGGTCGGTGGCGAGCCAGTCGGGTGCATTGTGGTCGGTCCCATCAAGAGTTTCATTGAGAAACGACAATTGCGCGCGCAGATTCTCGATGTGTTTATCAAAGTCCTGAGAAGAGAATGAGATATGTGGTGGACAGGGTAACTGTGTTAATTACCTCGAGCGATAGCTTTGCCATGTTGTAAGGTGAAGCTGGTGTTGAAGACAAAGCCATGCAGGAGGCTCAAGTCTTGGTTGCGGACTCCCGAGCGCGACCGCGGAAAGCACATCCCTGCTCTGACGTGCATACTAGCGTCGAGCCCTTGGCCGCAAGAAGAAGTGCATAGTCCTAAGCAAAATGTATCCATACGACTGTTCGGCGATGCATGGGTTTTTATTTTTGGGGGAATTAAATTTGTCAAGTTTGGGGTCTCACATGGGACCAATTCGCGACTATGACTTCCATGGCACTAACAAACAATCAACAGCGGTCTGCAATGTGAGGCCGTGGTTGTTGACAAACGCAGACATTGGCCTATCCGCCCACTATGATACCATTTGCCCCTCTGGCGTTCTTCCCCGGGCATCAGGCTGTAGCATCCGGTGATCCCGTGCCGGATCTTGCTGTATGAAGCATCCGTATACCGGTACCTATGCAATATCAACATCCTTGCCATATTGAGCAAGCTTGCATATCGGCCGAGCAGAGCAACCATGGTTTCGTGTATCCTTGCATCGCCTTAGGTCAAGTAGTGGTTGTGTAACAGACCAGAGTCTTCAGCCCTCATCTTCATCGCCAAAAGTGAGTTTGACAGCTTTAGCTTTCTTTTTCGGTTTCTTGACAGCTTTTGTGTTTGACTTGTCACTGTTCTTCTTTTCTCCTTCTTTGCTCCCGTCTTGGTCGTCACTAATGATCTTTGCAGCTTTGCGCTTTTTGATGTTACCGCCCACTTCAGCTATCTTTTCCTTTGGTTTCGTCGCAGTTGCTTGCGACTCCTTGTCCAGTTGTGTACCGGCGCCATCTTCACTGTCCTTGCCTGACACAAAGGCCTCATACTCCTCCTTGGTCAGTGATTGGTTCGTCTCTTCCATGACATATGCCGGTGCGTCGTCCTCATCGTCATCTTTCTTCATCCGCTTATTTCTGGCAATGGGTTGTTCATGACGGGCCGTGTCCCCAGTCGTCAGTTGCCCACGCAGCCGCTGCAAGAACGCTGGCTGCGAGCTATCTGTGCATGTCAGCTAAATTCTTGAAACTATCTCAAACTACGTACCGAAGTGGAGGTCTTTTGCCTTGAAGCTCATAGTGAATTTCGGTGCATGGATGAGTGGGACGGGATGAGCGAGACGGGGATATATGCGGAGATGTAGATTAGTCGCTCGATGGACGTGTCGATCGCTTAGTTAGCGGCAGACTCCCGTGCGGCTCCTTCGTACCAGTACGGTCCTTACGGGCTTGGTGGCTTGGCCGTGAACTTCTTCAACCCTCTACTTTGTGTTTTCGTCTGTGGTTTGGCTTTTGTAGAACCCAGTGGCACAGGCGCAAAGTGCCTTGGTTGGATGCGCCTGCTACCAACGTCCGTTCTAACTTAGGTTGCTTGGCGCGTTTCCGCCAGCATGCAACCCTGCCGGCTAGCACATCTCGAAACGCATACGCAATCGGCGGCCGCTAATAATTTACCATTCATCCAACCCCGGCCTCTCCTTTCACTCGTCTTCAAATTTTGACCTACATACAACCTGCGTTGCACAGCTTCATACGGTCTCAATTGCCGTACGCCCATCCGCGTTACCGTTCATACGTTCGTTCCTCGCCCAACCCACGTCCTACGTGTTGAACACGTCGCATTGGCCAACCTCAGAACCGCCACTCTTATCTATCGCCCTTTCAGACCCTGGATACCCAATTTCCCTGCACACGGTCTGCGGTTGACACTACGAGTGAAGAGCTGCTGTTGGACGAGACTTTGCGCGATACACGCCCCCCATTAGAGCACAACCATGGGCTTTCTACAAGATATCTCACGGAGGCTGCCAACCTCGAAAGCGAATTTGGACAAGTTTGACGACGATCTATCACATCGCACCGACAAAACATCGCCGCGGTTATCCTTCTTCCGCCGCCGGATACGACTGAAGGGGAGCTCTTCTGTGTCGATACCCCTAGGCCTGGTGCTTCTGTTCCCATGTCTTGTTATAATCATAATCATAATTCTCTTCGTGAGGTCGCCAGACTCACAGGGCATCATGAATATGCCTGCGGGCACTCCTCCGTCGATAAGGTGCGACAAGGCTTGTCTTGGCAGTGCGCAGTGGATGGCTAACTATACGCAGAAAGATTAGCGAAAAGTACGATAAGCCATTCGCAGTAGGCTGTCTCGAGCCACAGGTCAACGGACCCCGAGCGAACGCCGCATTCGTTGTGCTGGCGAGAAATAAGGAGCTAGAGGGCGTCATACAGTCGATTAAGTCAATTGAGAGGCATTTCAACCACTGGTTCCACTATCCCTACGTCTTTCTCAACGACGGAGACTTCAACGAGACGTTCAGGGAAACAGTTTTGAAGCATGTCAGCGCTCCGGTCGAATGGGGCAAGATACCACCCGAGCACTGGGGGTTTCCGGACTGGGTCGATCCCGCGGTTGCAAAGGAGGGAATCGCAAAACAGGGCGATCGCGCCATCATGTACGGCGGCATGGAGAGCTACCATCACATGTGCCGCTTCTACTCGGGGTAGGTTTGCAACCCTGACTTTTCTAACTTGTGCTAACTTTCGGCAGCAAATTCTATCAACACGAGCTACTGGCCAAGTACGAGTGGTACTGGCGCCTGGAGCCGGAGATCAAGTACTTCTGCGACATTACGTACGACCCTTTTATTCACATGATACGGAACAAGAAGACGTATGGCTTCACCATTGCCGTCAAGGAACTAAGGGAAACGGTCCCCAACATCTGGCGATATGCATCTGCGTATAAGCGAAACAACAACTTGACATCGAAGGGTATGTGGGAGATGTTTGTAGAGAAGCCAAAAGAGGAGGAAGAGAAAGATAAGAACAAAGACGCAAAGTCGAAAAAGCCATTCTTTCCACAGGATATCATGGATGCGGAATTCGGCTCAGAGGCTCTTCCCGAGATCCACCCTGAGAACATGGAAGGCGAATCGTACAACATGTGCCATTTCTGGAGCAATTTCGAAATCGCCAACCTCAACTGGTTCCGGAGCAAGGAGTACAACGACTTCTTTGAAATGATGGATCGCAGTGGTGGCTTCTGGATGGAGAGATGGGGAGACGCGCCCATTCACTCGCTAGCTGCTGGAGCACTACTGGGTCCTGAAGACATTCACTACTTCCGCGATTTCGGTTACCGACACACTACAATTCAGCATTGTCCCGCCAATGCCCCCGCGAGGCAGCTCGTCAGAGAGCCATACTTTGACAAGATGACAACAGATGAGAAAGAACGAGCGGAAGAGGCCAAGTACTGGGCTACGCCGGACCCGGTCAAGGAGAATGGTGTCGGATGCCGATGCAAATGCGATACCGATATTGTCGATGTAGAAGGCAAGGAAGGATCCTGCCTAACAGAGTGGGTGGAGGTTGCTGGTGGCTGGGCATCTCCCGGCCCACAATGATTACGATCACTTCGTCTTGCACGGTTCCCTACCAGCTTCGGGCTAGCATTCTGTCGGAGCATAGCATTTAATCCTGTTTCCAGTAAGGCGTCAGGTGTTGGCATTGCATGTGAGTTGGGTCGTTTTCTAGTAGATCTCGGGAGGATAGGATCACGAGGGGCACCAGGGCGTTGGGGATGCATCTCACCTACTGCATCTTGGGGGATACCTCATACATCTACGAATACGAATGCACAATTTCCAAGCGTCATAGACTGTACAATCACCTTAAGTCAAGTGAGGGCTGTTTTGTGATTTATGTTTCCAATACAGTGTTGGTGATCATCCGCAATCGGACATGTGAACCATGTATGGTATCTTATCGCTTACTGTACTATGTAAGTATGCGGGGCACCCGCGCTGGCATCCCACCTGAGCTCTACCTCATCAGCGCCTTGTCATAATCATACCTCGCAATTGTTCGAATTTCCCGGCTTTACTGATAGAATCACGGCAGTTCTCCATCTCTATACTGTGACTCATCTGGTATGTGCTCTCATTTGCTCCACATGATGCTCGCCCCCCCGCGCTTCAAACGCGCCTCGCCCGCACCTAGTTAGGCAGCGCCCACCTGGCTCCGACTACTTCCTCCCCCTTGCCGCTTTGTCTCTCTTCTCCCACCGCTCTCTACAAACCTCGCGTACTTTGCTACTTGGATGAACTCTAGCTGACATGTCTTCCAGCGAACCCAGTTCGCCACAAGATCTCAAATTCCCACCGGTGCAGGTGAATCACTCACTCACTAACGTGGTCGACCTTGAAACGCTCATGAAGAGATCAACCCAGCGCCGGGCGCCTGAGGAGGCAGCCAACTCCCTTGAAGAAAGCGGTTATGATCTACTCAGCGACAGTGTAATGGATATGTCGGACGACGAGGCACATACAGCGTCGATTGCTTCCACCGACGGCCCCACGCCCGATGAGTCGTCCGACGACTTCAGTGATGATGACGTCGAGTACGATGCCGACGAGAGAGAACTACAAGATAGCGTTTATTCTTCGCACGCCGATCGACCAGACGAACCAGTCAACCCACGTCCGGTCACGGCCTGGGAGGACTCCACGCTGACGGAGGTACCACCATACCTCACTGCAAGTGAGAGTTCATGGCAGATCACATTGGAGGAGCAGGCCACAGATAAGACTGATGCAATTGAAGGATGCAAGATCATCAAGAGCTCGGCGGATTACACAGATGAACTTCCACAGGTCTTCAGCCGCTATGGCTGCGGAGAGGTCAGGCTATCAGTCAAGGCTGCCTTGTCGCACCGCCCCCTCCCCACTCCAGACTCGTACCGCATCATGTATATCGGCATGCCTGAAAAATGGGCAGAAGACATCACTACTGTCCAGATTGGCACTGCACTCGGGGCATGCCCAAGCGTCTCCAAGTCGGTCATGGTACGCGGCCAGATCGAGCCGTACGCCCCTGTCCCGCAGGTTGACCACGGTGTCAAAATTGACATCGCTGGACCGCCGGAGAAGCCGACACATGTTCTCGTTACTTTAGAAGACGGTCAGAAAGTTAAGTTCGGGTCTGATGTCACCCACTCCCTGAATCGACCTGATCTGGTCGTTGTGTGCTATCGGTCGTTTCCTGACCCCGCTACTGACGGACAAGATATCGCATCTGCTAGAAAAGTGTTTGAAGCTGCCAACATTCCATGCATCGATCTCGCCCAAGTCATCCCTCATGGCACCGCCTCTCGCCCAGACGATTCAACGGCGTTGCGAGTGCGCGTAGAAGGGCGAGACGACCCTGACGCTGACTACGAGCTGAAAGCAGTACTGCCTCTTGACCATCGCAGCTTCAGTCGACTTGATCCATATCAACTGAACCGCCATCTTGCACTCATCAGTCCTCACCTTATGAAAGCACAAGATGCAGAAGATGATAAGAAATCAAGAACATCGTGGATGGGTGGAAAGGTCAAGACGTTGAAGAAGAAGGTCACCCCACAGGGTTACATGATGAGGACGCTAGTATCTGCATTGGTTCTTTGTGTCTTGGTGCCCGCTCTTTTTCACGGCGCAGTATTTGCTCCCGTGCTTTTCCAAAAGGGTCTTCAGAGCATATCGACAGTATCGGTCCTGCCCGAAGTTGTGAGCAACGCATCCACCAGCGCCCCGGTAGCAGCAACACCTTCTGTTGCGGTACCTCCACGTATCACTTCTTCCGTCCCAGCGGCACTTTTGGTGGTACCCAAGCAGCCCAAGCGAATTCTGAAATCCAAGGACAAGAACGTTGCAGGTTTTGAGATTGAGACTACTGCGGAGCATCAGTTCGTACTGCGTCCCTCAAAGGCTTTCACATCGAGCCGTAAGAGGCCGCAACTTCAGATTCAAGTTTCGCGTCAATCCCAGGTGGTCCCAGTTCGTTACAATCGGACCGTCAGTGGCGAATATATCGTCGATCTCGAACAACAGTATGCATTCGACACGTTCAATGTCAGTATTGCAACTCACTCGAAGCCACTCCTCCGACAGTCATTCGAGGTCATGTTGGGATACAACATGTCGACACTAGAGCAATTTCTCGTCACTGTCAAATCTGGTATATCCAACACCCAACACACCCTGTGGGACGTTTCAGGCAGTACAGCACATCATATGCGGGCATACATGGATGCCAATGTCATGGCCGCTTCAGAGCAGCTCCGTAACATGCAGCAAACTATCCAGCGCCGTCTGGAACTGGATGCTCATTTGGCGAAGAAGGTGCCCAAAGCAGCATGGGTGGGCTTGAGAGAGGTAACAGCACCGGTACGAACGTCATCGGCGATGAAGAGGGCCAGGATGAATGCGCTTCGGGTCAGGTGCAAGATAGAGATGGCTGCCGGACTATCTGCCAAGGATGGCGAAGGGAAGCAGAGTTGGGCTTGTTCGAAGGTGCAAGAGGAAGTATAAGAGCGGGGTATCAAGTCTATCACATGGGAGGACGACTGTGAAGGGCTTGATGTCACTTTCTGTTTATTTTTTTCATGGGCGGCGTACGCGACTGTCAGGGCAGGTTTATGAACGGGCATCAGGGTGCGGAGTTTACTCATGATACCCGTTGGGCACATTGGAATGCCTGAGGTAGGTTGGGATATGGAGTTCCTCAGGATTGTCAGATTCTCGGTATATTAAGATGGGCCTGCAGTCGCAGTGTGTATCCCGCAGCAATGCTATTCTCCACTATAGTAGTGACTGGACTGTACTAGAAGAAAACAAGTGAAAGTCAGATGTACTGAGAGAGCTGTGTTAGGTGCAAGGACATGTTGTTATGCGTCATGGTGTCACGCAGGTTCCTGAAACCAAAGAGGGATAGCGCAGTGGAGCCCGTGCGTAGTGCTGGAGGGGCATCCCACTTCCTCAATTTACGGGCTGTTGACACGGAACAAACTTGCATACACATCCAACTGCGAAATCAGCCTTTTTATTACCCCACACGCACATCTTACTCATCGATACAACAACAACATGTCTGAAGCAGCCAAACCAGACCCCGCCGCTGACCAGGTGGCTAACCCTGGAGCGACTTTGGTGAAAGACGAGACCGCAAAGGTGACGACAGACAAGGCCTCAGACAAGGCCGCAACGGAAAGCAAAGATGACAAGCCTATCACGGAGAAAGCGACAGAGGCTGCAGCCGCAGTGAAGGACAACGTCTTTTCCATGTTTGGTGGTGGCCCCGCAAAGGTCAAGAAGGAGGAAGTTGATGATGTTGACGAGCCATCAGGCGCCTCCAAGCCCAAGGGCGAGGTACATGGCCTTATCGAGACTCTAGGAAGCACGACTGACATGTTGGCAGGAGGAGGACCCCGAGAACGAAGAGCCCGACGTCGAGTTCCAGCCCGTTGTTCACCTCACGGAGAAGGTCGACACCAAGACCAACGAAGAACTCGAGGAGCAAGTGTTCAAGATGCGCGCCAAGTTGTTCAAGTTTGACCGTGAATCGCGGGAATGGAAAGAGCGTGGCACTGGCGATGTCCGGTTATTGAAGCACAAGGAGAACGGCAAGACCCGCCTGGTGATGCGACGAGACAAGACACTCAAGGTTTGCGCTAACCACTACGGTATGATTGATGGTACATGGATACAGAAGCGGACAAGATTGACTGACACATGCTAGTTGTCCCCGACATGAAGCTGTCGCCCAACGTAGGCAGTGACCGCAGTTGGGTCTGGAACGCCGCAGCCGACGTCAGCGAGGGCGAGCCAGAGGCTCAGACGCTTGCTATCCGGTTCGCCAACAGCGAGAGTGAGTTATTGTATGATTTCGTACTTGTGGTCCAGAGACTAATTGTCGCCATCAGACGCCAACCAGTTCAAGGAAGCATTCATCAAGGCCCAACAAGAGAACGAGGCGCTCTTTGGCAAGTCAGAGTAGGAGGGGGTTGCAAAAGCGAAGGGCTGGCCGATAGCACGGATCAGGAAAATGAGGAAGCATTACGCGAACAGCGATGAGGAATTGGAATGGTATCATTCACGGCGGTAGAAGACATTTCCCACAACTGCACATAACTAGATAGTATTTGAAAAGCCTGGCTATTGTAGTCAACGGCTGTCCCCAAAGTCGCGTTTCCAACCATTGGCGTGTATAGTGAGGTGGATTGTTTGTCCTAATAGCAATTGCAAGCTTGGAGCTCTCTCACTCGCAAACCGTTATACTGGCGTCATGATGCTCTCACTCTCACTACCCAGGCACCAAGGCAGGACTAGTCCCTTGTTCGGCAGGCATCCACCCGTGCCATGTCCCATGTTCCATGTCCCAGCTTGTTCGTTTGTGCCAAGGCCAAGGTCCGGTAAATAATTGATCTACCGCCCCGCGACGTGCGCGCATCTCTATCCTGCGACCTGCGCCAAATCACAGCCCGCGCGACGAGACCAGCCACCGCGCGCGCCTGCACTCTGCACTCTACCCATTACCCATCACGCCCAGACTTGCTTGTCAGAAGTAGAAGTCCATATCCACGGTCGCGCATATTTCACCGACATTAGATTACTTCTACCATCTTTGCTTCCGCCCGTCTAAGCTTACCCAGCGAATCCTCGCGGCGCAAATCCGACAACATGCCCGACGTAAGTTGCGCCCATTTCTACGTCCCGAACATTGCAGCAAGGCTAACATTTGCCCAGGTTAAGAGATGGGTCAAGCTCATCACCCACCAGAAGCCCATGTACGTTCTAGTCGCGCGCAATCGCATGCGCTTGTCCCGGTTACGCGTCTACATTCGACCAGTCGCTAATACAGCAGCAGCGCAGAGCCTTCGCCCGTTGAGGGTTTCCCTATGCGAGCATGGAGCATCGAGGTCTGGCTACTGGATGACCAGGGCAATGAGGTCATGCCAAACGTGTTCGAAAAGGCCGTCTACAACCTACATCCGTCATTCGAGAAGAACAAGCATGGTGAGTGCCAGGAGACGCGTTGCATCCGGGCAAACGGGCTGATATAGAAACAGTTATCAAGAAGCCACCGTTCCGCATCGACGAGAAGGGTTGGGGCGAGTTCGACATGACTATTGTCCTGACTGCCGTCGGCAAGGGCGGCGACCACACGCTCGAGCACGATCTCAACTTCCAGTCTGAGCGCTATGAGGCCAAGCATCAGGTGGTGAGTGACACACATGAGGCGATTGCTACCTTGAACATGACTGACCCAACTACCGCAGACCTTCCGGAACCCCAAACCAGAGCTCCTCACTCTCCTCGCAGAGTCCGGCGCCGCCGAGGCAAACGGCATGCGCAACAAGGACGCGGCCAAGAAGAAGAGCCGAAGGGACAAGAACGTCGACATGGAAAAGTTGGCCGACGGTCTGCAGAAACTCAGCGAGGACGACCTTCTGCATGTGGTTACCATGGTTCACGATAACAAGACCAGCGAGACGTACACTAAGAACGACGTTGAGAGTCAGTCGCCTGCCGCTATCACATCATGAGAATATACTGACATAGTGCCAGATGGCGAATTTCACGTCGACTTGTACACCCTGCCTGACTCGCTTGTCAAGATGCTCTGGGACTTTACCGCCTCAAAGACCGACTTATAGATGGTGCGCGAAAGCAACGTCTGCGTAGCATCATCTTCCGTCGTCGCGACTCGACCAGCTCGATACCCATACACTCGATACCATCCGACCAGCAAAACTGCAACCCAGGTCCAGCAGCTTACCACCACCGCGACACGCTGTAACCCATAACCTCCCCCATGCGCATACGTCGGATCCCCTTCTTCATCTGAACATGGTTATATCTCAAATTCTCTGTTCTCCCCTCTTCTTCCTGTTTTCATATGTCCATTCGCCCAGAAGCCTTCGCCACACAAGGGCAAGCAAAAGCTGGGACTGTGGTGGTGCGGTGTGGCTGGGCTGGCTTGCTGTATGCATTTCAAACAGCTAGTCAAGGCAAAGTTTGAAGATTTTTTTGGTCGGCGCTGGGTTCTTTCAAGGAGGGGATGACTAAAGGGGAGCTTTTTTGGATGTATGCATGGGAATCTCTGGAAGGGATGGGGAGCATCACAAATATAATTGAATCTTAGTTTCAAGTCACGTGTTTTGTGATGATTGTGAGATTTCAAGTCCAGCATGGAAGTATGCGTGTTTTACTTTGATGTGGAATCAAGGTGGGTAGGTCTGTGCGGAGACATGTGGTCATCTTCTAATATCTTAATTTCTGAAAGAAAGGAAGAGAGAGGAAAAGACATCACTGCATTGCACACGAGTTTTAGATGGCACCGAAAACAAAACCACCGCCGCAGAACAGACCTTCCCATAGTTCTTTTTTCCGTTATATTTTTGTATTTTTGCAAAGCGCAACTCAGACACCACAGGACATATCCTGATACTACGTATCTTTTAGAAAAAGGGAAACCAACAGTGTAGTAAGATAGTAAAGGAGGAAGGGAGGCATACACCTTGGGGAGTTTTTATACCCAGCAAAAAGCCATGAAATGGTACTCTGATGTTTTAGATTTCCGCCCAGCGGCCTCACTCACACCCACATCGTTTATATGGTGGAGTGTTTTACTTAAGAGCTTTTGGAAAGGGTGGGAAGACATCTATATTTAAATAAATGCATAGTCACATGGGGTTTTTCTATATACGAGTAATGTCGGCATACACACGGTGTGTCGCCTAATAAGGCCCAATGTACCGCCTCGATCCTACTTCGGCCCAACTCGGACCCAACGCTATGTATACCTTCGTAGCCCCCACATTCGTAGAATCATCATACACCAGAATACCAATACACAAGATTACCTTAGCTACTGTTATTCACCGTACGATCGTACAAGGCCTTCCAACACTGATCAGTGATTGCACGGCAGTCACAGACAGTTAGGTTAAGAAGAGATAGATTCTTTACCCCGCGCGTTCCCTAGATTGCCTATATCAGCAAGGCGGAGTTATCTATGCTAAGCTCACTGTTAGCTATATCAGGCGTCGTTCGTGGCTAGCGACCGACCGTTACAGCCGTATCAGAAGCGTTCCAAGACGCCGTCTATACACGCGCCAACCGACCGGTTGAGATTTGACCCGTGTACAACCCACGACCACCGACGCATCTCTAGCGAACGCAGCTAGCGCAACAAGCGTCAACAAGAACACAATAGCAGGAGAGAGAACATCATCGGAAAGAGCACCGGTAGCCAGGACACCGGCAGTAGGAATGGCGAGCAGTAGTAGAAGAGTGGTACCCACACTAGAGGCGCTACTAGGGACCACAAACATAAAACCAAGAGAATGGCATCACATCGATCCAGAGATTTGGGAGGACAACGTTGAAGCTCCAGACGATGAGGTAGGGATTACTACAGCAACAACGTACATTGCGCGTGCGATTGCGGACTATACAGATCGACCAACAGCAGATGAAGAACTCTTTTGGGAGTTCCGTCAGGACTTTGAAGGATGGACAGAGGCAATGTTCCTACGTGCCCAGCCAATATACACAAAGGAACTAAAGCGGATCCTCCGCTTTAAGGGAGTGTATACTGGCCGTATTAATATGGCACCTAGTGAGTCTCTAGCTAGGTTATTACGCATGGAGGAGTACCTAGAATGGCCTCAGGACGTATTCCAGTCGGCTGTGTTTGACACACGATCAGCTGCGCACATGTTGCAAGAGCGGGCACTACGGCAACAACGCAGTGAAGGATCAGTACAGTCCACAGATAGGAGATTATCAAGCCAGGCCCAGAGCCGAACCCAAACGCCTGTAAGGACAAGAGGCCGAGACGTAGACAGTCGGCAAACCCGCGATCAAGACCAGACCCACGCCCGTGTGCAAGGACGACAGGAGACCGTTGAGGAAGAACAACAGATTCAGGACCAGCTGGCAAAAACGATTGAGAAAGCCCAAAACCAACCAATCCGAAGCCAGCCTATAGAGACAACTGAATCCGCACCGCAGCCAGCCTATCAGCGCGTCCAAAGTCAGCAACCTCCCCTCACCTACAACAACTTCGACCGATTCCGCGAGTATACACCAGCATACCCCCGGATATCCATGGATTCACCACCATCTCCCTCGATAACCCATCGCGCGGAGGCAATCCAGAAAGCGATGAGGGCGCTGCGGAAGGCTGCAGCGGAACATGCGGTGAGCAACGCACTTGGTACCAGGAATGGGCCTACTACAGACGGGGTACTGTCACTGCCTCTTCAGAGTGAGGTGATGGTATGGCGCGAGAAGAATGGATGGCAAGGGCCGTATAGAGTCATCGATATGAAGGACCACGATGTTACTGTAGACATGATCAACGGCCCAACGACGTTCCGATCCACTGTCGTAAAACCGTACTATCGCGATCTGACTACAGCGATAGACGGCGCAGATCAAGGCACAGGTGGATCTCCGACCACAGACGAAGCGATTGCTGATGAACCGCCACTACCGGTACCACCGGCGGAAGCCACCCAAGCGGCTCAGCCGCGCAAGCGGGGCCGCCCACCTGGATCAAAGAACAAGCCCAAGGTGCAGTACCTGTCGGAGAAGGAGGAGGACGATTACGCCCTGGCCGTCAAGCTACGCAATGACGGCGTGATTAACGTCCCGGGCGCTCCATTCGAAGCATCCGATCAGAAGGAGATCGACGACCTCGTCGGCCGTGGAGTATTCAGTTTTGAGCTGTTTGATCCAACTCTACACGGCGGGTATCGTATCTTCAAATCGCGCATGGTCCGCGAAGTCAAAGGCAAGACCATGGTCCCGTACGAGAAATCACGCCTCGTTGTTCAAGGTTACAATGACGAGGGCAAACACGAGATCCTGACGCAGTCGCCAACCATCCAACGAGCCAGCCAGCGCCTGATTCTAGCCCTAGCGCCTGCATTACTCGATGAGGGCATGGTTGTGGAACTACGAGATATCACGCAAGCGTACCCACAGGCACAAACAGAGCTATTCCGCACGGTTTTAGCGCACCTCCCAAAGGAGCTTATAACAAAGTATCCCAAGGGAACAATTATTCGCGTAATCAAGCCACTCTATGGAATCGCGGAAGCAGGAGTCCACTGGTTTGCTACGTACCAAGGACACCACTGCAAGGAGCTCGACATGGCTACATCAACGTATGACCCGTGCCTCCTGATCACGAACGGGAGACGGGAAGCGTTTGGAATAGTGGGCCTGCAGACAGACGATACTCTCGCGATTGGGACGCCTGCATTCTCTGGTGCAGAAGACGCTGCGCTCCAGAAAGCCAATTTTCGAGCTAAGCCCAAGGAGAGACTGTCCAAAGAAGTATCACTCGAGTTCAACGGATGTACTCTAACGTTGCGCGGAGACACGATTCTACTTACGCAGAAGGGACAAGGTGCCAAGATCGAAATCATTGATCCGAAGGCAGCAAACCGAGCACAGAAGTACATGGAGCAGCGCGCGCGTGGCGCGTACATTGCGTCGATATGCCAACCTGAAGCATCGTTCGATCTTTCCGCGGCTGCGCAAATACAACAACCTAAGGACACAGAATACGTGAAGCTTAACCGCCGGCTGCAGTGGCAATCTGAGAGCATACAACGAGGCCTGCGATACGTCCCTCTCGACCTCGCTACAGCAAAGCTGGTAGTGTTCACAGACGGATCCTTCGCGAACAACCAAGACCTTAGCTCACAGCTAGGGTACCTACTTATCCTTGCGAATGAGTCGAGTCGACAAGACAGCACGTTTGATATTCGTGGTAACGTAATCCATTGGAGTTCGACCAAATGCAAACGCGTTACCCGGAGCGTTCTTGCCTCAGAAACGTACGGCATGGTTAGCGGTGTCGACATCGCTATCGCTATCCTAACAACCCTCAAGATAATTACAGGACGCCTAGGTCTACCACCGATCCCACTTATTGTGTGTACGGATTCATACTCCTTGTATGAATGCCTCGTCAAACTCGGAACAACTGCTGAGAAGCGACTGATGATCGACATCATGGCGCTTCGGCAGTCATACGAGCGTCGCGAGATCACTGAGATCCGCTGGATCAACGGAGAGGACAACCCCGCGGACGCATTCACGAAAGCAACACCAAATCGCGCGTTAGAACGTTTCATCGAAAGCAACAAGCTGTCAATCCGAGTAGAGGGATCTGTGCAGCGACCTACGGAGTAGGCACATATGCCTATTTGGAATCCCTCTCATTGTGCCCTTTTTAGAAGACCCGTTTTTCCTTACATCAGTCGTTACAATAAGAAAAGATTGCCAGTGTCGGCATACACACGGTGTGTCGCCTAATAAGGCCCAATGTACCGCCTCGATCCTACTTCGGCCCAACTCGGACCCAACGCTATGTATACCTTCGTAGCCCCCACATTCGTAGAATCATCATACACCAGAATACCAATACACAAGATTACCTTAGCTACTGTTATTCACCGTACGATCGTACAAGGCCTTCCAACAGATATTGTTATTAATAAAAGGGATATTATTCTAAGAAAAAGTAGAGGAGAGTAGGAAGAAAAGATAGAGGTTCATAGAGAAAGGTGAAGATATAGTGCACAGCTAGCAAATAGGTTAGATAGAGGCATCGCTAGGCTCATGAGTGCTTTTCGACGAAGATAGAAGCGCCCTCACTTCATTTCAGAGGTTGTAGACCAGTTTTTGAATCACAAGGAAAGAGTTGGAGAGTAAGGAGTAAAAAGAGTGAGAGGAGTAGAGGAAAGGGGTTATATAGAATCGTAGCTGCTGTGTGGATATAGTAGACAGGCAGGGTGAGCAAAGACATTAGGTATTTCGAAAGCTTTTTTAGGACACTGGAAGAGCCACTCCATTGTTAATACCTACCAACGGTTTCTGAATTGGAGAGAGAGGGTTGGAGTGTAAAGTGTCGGGAAGGTGAGAGTAGTAAAGGATGAGATATTTATATGAAGTCCGTAGATGTCGTGCTCGGTACGCAGATGTGACAAAGACATCGGGGTATTGATGAACCATTTTTAGAACGCTGGAAGAGTCCCAGTCACTCCATCATCTCTGAATGTTGAAATTTTTGAAAAATAAGGAAGTATATAGAGTAATTTACAAGGAAAAACTAGAGCGGTAGAGAAGTTGTATATATCTGTTGTGACTGGAAGGAAGAGCAGGAAGAAAGCCATGTATGTCATGCAGTTTCATTTTATCTACTCGATATCATCTTTAGTCGTTCTTTTCGAGAGAGGATAAGAAATCTTGGAAATGAGATGAGGTAGAGTAAAGGTAGAAACAAAATCCGGTGGACTTTTTAGGTACAGCTTTACTGTAGGGAGACTGGGCGCGCAAAGTCATGGGGGAGGGTTCGAAGCGTTTTCAGAACGCTGGAACTTGTCCTCACTCCATGAAGTTGTATTTGCCTTTTTTAGACCTAGGGAGGCTGATTTGAAAGTATAAGGGGAAACGAAAGAGCCATGGTAAGATATTTTATATAGATATGTGGTAATGATGGCTCGTGTATGATGGTATGAGAAGCCAGAATTTGTTTAGACGAAGCTTTTGGTACCGCAAGAATTCTCACTCTATCCAATTTGATCTTGAAGATTTTAAATAGAATAAAGGAAGTGATGGAAGAAGGTGTAAAGAGGAAGAGAGAGCTGGAGCAGTAGAGTGGGGTTTTATAGGTCGCTCTCTATAGTATAGGAAGGCATAACTTACATGGCTTTTAGATTTTGGTATTACTGGAATAGTCTGCTCTAAATGCGACGGAAAATTTTCAAATGATAAGACATGCGGAGTATTGTGATTTAGTAAGCAAGATCAGACAATAATGAAGGCTGATAAGGAAAGTCATGGTTTGGACTCGAGGAATGGCTGCATCTTCCACTTCTTATATTTATGGATGTCACCTCTCTTACTGTATGTCTCCAAACGAGATCTCGGAAACAGTTGATTACTTTGCTGCCCATGCCGCATTCTCCAAGGAAAGCTCTCTTGCTATCGTATCTGTTCCCATATACTGCAACAAACTCCACAGATTTCGTGCTTACTTCAAAGAGGACTCATGATTCGGTTACTAGGTAATTTACGTTTCTTCGGTTTGGTAAGCAAAGGATAAGACACCCGCAAGCTTATTTACAGCATCTATACATATTTTCGGAAAACATTCTACTCATTCCAATGTCAGAAATAGGCTAATAGATCCCCCCCTCCGGAGCACTCATTATAAGAAAGGTAGGACGAAGATAGCCATGGCTTGTTCGTTTCTCCTTTTTGGTTGAACATGACTATGATTGAGAAGGATTTCAGCGTTTCAGGAATATTGTGGCAAATATGGTGCAAGTATTAAAAGTAGCATAAGGTTTATATACCCTTGAAAAGAGGAAAAGACAGAAGCAATTGATGGCTTTTCAGTCGATTTTGTCGATCGCCCCCCGTTTTTCTATTCTGGGCGGACTTTTAGGAAAGTTTTACTAATTGCATCGCATGTTTGCACAACTGTAACTTTTTGAAACTTTCTAGTCTAACATAAATCATGTGACTGTTGACCAGAACTTCTCACATAACCCTTTCGGTTCTATGGTTTAGATTTCGGTGATCAGCAGAAGCAATCATGTAAAATGCAGGGCAGTTAAGGGAGGAAATAGTACCAATTGTATGCTCTTTGTAGTTAAAATCATTGCAATCGTATTGGAAGGAGTGAACTAGTAGAGTACCTAGCAAAATAGTTATATGCGAACTACACTGCCGATGACGAGTAGCAGGAGGGCCGCACGTCATAGCGAAATCGAAGGCCTAAATTAGAAACGGTCGTCTGGCACCAAACATAACTCGAGCACCCCATAATTTCGGAGAGTGGTAATTTAGTCAAATAGACTAAAACAACCCCAGAAGGTCAAAACATTTTTCAGAAAATCGCCACTGTTGGTTGCTCTTAGTTTCGAGCCACCGTACGTACGTGGCGAGCACGTGACTACGTGCGTGGCCCGTGCCGTGGGGTGGGATTCAGTTCGTACGCGAGCTGCAGTCCACCTTGTCTAATCAATAATAATCATCTACCTCAACTCGTTGCAACGACCGTTACTTGATTCAACCTCACCTTTGCCGTATCAACATCCACACACAGCCATGCGTACATAACTCTAAAGTTTTGGAAGCCAGCGGAATTCCTCATATCAGCTCTAATATGTGTAGGATATCTTATCGATTTCGAAACAGCTTTTTTTCGCGGCCAACAAATTCCTAACAAGTATAGAGTTTATGTTTCCACGTAGTGTGTGGGTATGTCTTTTGAAACATTCCCAAATCTTCCAGTACATTAGAAAATAGAGCAGAGAAAAGTGAAAAAGAGAAAAGTGTTGGAAGGCCTTGTACGATCGTACGGTGAATAACAGTAGCTAAGGTAATCTTGTGTATTGGTATTCTGGTGTATGATGATTCTACGAATGTGGGGGCTACGAAGGTATACATAGCGTTGGGTCCGAGTTGGGCCGAAGTAGGATCGAGGCGGTACATTGGGCCTTATTAGGCGACACACCGTGTGTATGCCGACAAAAAGTGTATTTTCTACACCTTAAATCAGAATCTAGCGCCAGTATCGCAGGCCAGCGCAGGCTAGGCGCAGGCAAAGGTCCATAGAAGGTCATTCAGACAATTTTGGAACATGATCTGGTGGATGTGTCTTTTTTCAATTATTCGAGGAAGAGAAATAGTAGGAAAAAAAGAGTGCATGTGTATTTTAAATGCAATTAGGCTGTGTCCGGTACCGCACGCCAGGGCAGGCAGGCCTCCATGACTTCGTCTTAGAGGATTTTCAAAACATCCCTTCATCTGCCAGCCATTTTCTGTAATCATTAATTTTAGCAGCAAACTTTAGGAAAGAAGGAAGAAGGAGTAGATGTATGATTTAAAACGAGGTAGGCGACCTCACCCTATGTCCTTCCATCGGCATGTTTTCAAGCAACACCGGGAAAAACGTAGCTCGATGTCATGTTAATTTTAGGTACAAAACCAGAAGCGACTACTAGGATTTTAGAGTGCAGATGTGATAGAGACAAGAGAAGAAGGAGAGGAAGAAGAGAAGGGGAGGTTTTATACACATGTTCAGCGTTGGTGCGCCAACCGGTAGTAAACCCCAGAAAGTCCACAAAGAAGAAATCATGCAATGGGTCGTATACAGATTTCAACAATCCGATATCGTAATGTCAAATTCAGCTCAGGAGAGCGTAGAGGCACAATGCATAGTGTTGTAAGTTTCAAGGGCTAAGAAACTGGCCCCCATTTTCAGTGCACGCGGTAGTTTCAAAAACATCACCAACTCCTAGAGGGGTTTTTTGGGAAAAATTGTGGAAGTCGAATATAGTTTTGGAAAGAACAGAAAGCATCATAGGCTCCGTTGGATCATTTTTAAACAGTAAGGGCGACAAGAAAACATAACACACCGTTGTCGTGGGTTTTAGAAGCTCTCAACTCGGTTTTAGTAGAGAGCTTTTGCTCACGCCCCCCCATGGTCCGCTTTTTATCTAGTTTTATTTCCAGCTCCCAGAGAGTCAGAGGAACATTACATCTTTGCATGAATATTAAGATTCCATGAAGATTTCATAAAGCCATTTTAGGAAAGTAAGAAAAACAGCGGAAGTATAAGAAAGGAAGGGGTAAAGTAGAAGAAGTGGTGTTTATACACCACGAGCTGGTGCCCAGCCATCCCTTGACTATGAGCTTATTTTTTTAGAAAAAGTAGAACGGGAAAATACTGGAGTCATTATGTATCGCATCCAGTTTGTCTTTTTTGAGACTTCCCAACTCCAGTCCAAGACATGCCCCGTACAGGCATTTATTTTTGAATTTTCAAAACGAGGGGAACATTTAATGTGTCCGAAAATTTATAACCAAGTGTTTCCAAATTTCAAACACTGAATCCATGTAAAATGGTGGAAAGGGTAGAAAACTCCGAGGACTCAGAAACATGAGCTGTAAGTGTTGTCTTTTTTTAGAACTCGAAAACTGCAGAATTTTAATTCTTTCTTCCCACACCCCCGAGCAACATCTCTCAGTAACACCCAGTTTTTTAATATTTCAACCACAAGTAGGAAAAGAAAAAAGCAGAAGTATGATTTTAGAAAAAACGTGTATAACAATGGCGTTTTTAGTTTCTTCCGGCCAGCGACCATCAAACTGGATTCCTGTGGTTTGAATCATTGACTTGAAGTTGGCAAGTTTTCTGAAAAGAAATTAGAATCTTCGGAGTGTAGGAGGGAAGGTGTAAGCAGGCGAAAAGGCGGGTATTTATGCGTTTCCGCCGGCGCCAAGAAAGTAAGATCAGAGAAGCTGAGATGAGATGAGATGAACATCTCTGGTTTTACGCATGAAAACCTAGCCAAGGTTCATATACATGCGACTCCAGGAGTGAAGATGGCCAGAAAGAACATATGTACAAGTATCTGCAAACACGATATTCACACATCTCCTATCATGTACACGTCTCACCGTCTTCGCCTTTGTCTACCGCCTCCTGCTTTCGACCCTTTTTCTTCTATCTTCTCAGCCGTCGTTATCAACAGAGACATACCATTCTTTGACACGTTCTCTTGCCCAGACGCCGCGCTTTGCGTGTCGCTCACCTTGTCAGCGGCTTCTTCCTGTTGCTTCTGCAATCCCGCACCGAAAACCCTCTTCGGCTTCTCCACAGTCGCAGCCGTCGCTGAGGATTTCTTCTCGTCAGAACCTCTACCAAGCCAGGCCCCCACCGTAGAGGTAAATTCGCGCTTCTTCCTCGATCTCTCCGCTCTCCGCGCTCTCTCCGCCACCTGCTCGCTATCGCTGGCCCTAGGGTACCGTTGCTTTTGCACAGGAACCTTTCGTAGCAGACTATCCCTTACTGGATCACCCCGATACCTCCTGATACGCAAGACTGGAGGACCACCCCGTGGTTTAGCAACGCGGGTTCTGGATCCCTTTGTCGTGTATGTCCGGATGCGCAGTTTACCGCGGAATTTCCGAATGCCAATAGTGTTGTTTCTGGTCCTAGGTTTCCTCGTTGGCTTGGGCTTTGCAGGTCCGGGTTTGGCAAAGTATTTATTGACTGGGACAGCGGCGTCACCATGGAGTGCCTGTTTGCGTCGTCGAATCAGGTATCTGAGGAAGATTACATCATTGTACAAGCGAGTGTGCTCGGCGGACCAGCGACGGAGTTGTGTACGTGCTGCCTCTTGGTAACCGTCACGCCACTTCTGGAGGGGGGATGTGCTTGGTTTGGACGATACTACACGTCGGAAGGCGGAATTGGGTACACGCTTCCTTATGGCGTATGTAATGTTCATGGCGCTCGCTCTGAGGATGATGAATTGGGAGGTATGGTATTGGTAGTATGTCTCAACAGCAGAGCAGAAGGGTACGTGGTTGGGTGTCATCTTGCGAACAACCGGTTTCACCACATCCTTGACAGTGACGTTGCGCGCTTTCGCAGCTGATTTAGGCTTCACTGGGTACTTACGAATCCCTCGGCGACGCTTGCGTAAGACAGCTTCGATAGTGTCAACTTCCTTGGCAAGAATTCCCAGTGTGGACTTGATATTAACGTACGAGCTCACCAGTCGTTTCACTCTGGGTTGGAGATATATCCCGGACTTGCCAGGTTTCTTCAGCGCCTGGAACTTGATCTTTCTCTTGAGTTCCTCATCCATATGTTTTCTGTGCTGTTGGATCTTGTGCACTTCAAGCTTTTTCTTGAATTCGATTCGGGCGTCAATTGCCGGCATAATCGCTTCATACCGCTTAGCCAATTCAAGATACCTCCTCTCGAGCTCGCGAGATATAGCCTTCGCTGTGCGGACACCAAGCCGCGATCCGGTTCTGAATGTATTATTTTCCAACTTCAGTGCTTGGCCTAACTGTTCTATTGTCAACGGTCGAGGCAACGTCGATATCCATTCATCAAGATTCTTGTTGAAGAGCTTCGCAACCTGTCGTAGAGATGTACTTGAGAAATGGAGCGGCATTCCAAAACAAGTGCTAGTCGCAAGAGGTGTCTTCTGTAGAGGCGAGGGTTGGAAACAAGTGTAGAGACTTGTCCTGCATGAAATACCATGATTGACAGAGTATGGTCTAATTGAATTTCGAATTGCCTACTTGCGCAATTAGATTACGTAAAAATGCAGTCTACTCTATTTGAGGCCCACCTTCACCCTCTTCGACATGATCTTTGGCAGATTGACTGCCCAAAAGCGGGAAAATGGAACATCGACCATGGTAGTGTTGACAGCGAGAGAATTGTCTTCGTTTGGTCTCACAGAGTGCTGCGTCAGTGTCAAACCCCCCTCGGTTAAGGCACCGAAGCCACCTCTGAACATGACGGATTTATCGTCCTTTTGGAATGGACGATGCTGCCATGAAGCTCCAGGTATCGAGTCCATTGTACTTGGAATTGTTCCTATTTCCCAGCCCCAAGTATGGTCATCTATCGTCTGAGGAATCAAACGAAGCTTCTCGAGGCTATCCGACTGGCTGGCTTCCTGAGACAGGTCTGACTTTGGTGAGATAAAGAACTGTATGGATTCTCCGGCTCGCACGACTGGTGTAAGGGTCGATTCGAAATCTTTCGGATCATCAACCATTTCTAGCAGTGCATCGCCCGATGAGATGGTAGACTGATTGGCTGGTACAGGATCTAACGATAATAAGCCTGCTTTCTTGCCCCAACCTCCCCCTCCACTCAAGACACGATGAAGACGCGCGCCGTTTGCAATCGCTTCTGCTACAAGGTTGTTCCATACAGGCGGATCGCTACACCATAGACGCTCCCAAAGCTCTTCTTGCTTGGTATAGCCTGCCTCGCCATCGGTCGGGCCAATCGCAAGAAGATGGCGTGTTTTATGATAAGCGGTTGCTCTCAGGTGTTCAGGAAGTACTAGTGCCCATGCGACAGTTGCCTGCGCTGGCTGTCCTCTGGATCTAAAGAATCTGGGGACGACGCTTTCGAGCTCAGAGGATGCCTGAACTGTTTGACCATCGGGATCGACAACCTCACGGATGATGTTGCCCATGCATCCTTTGACCACACGAGGTGTCGTCAGTGGGATAAGTGGTATGCTGAAGGCGGTAGCTAGTGCGCTAGGGTTAATTCGTCCGGACAAACGTATGCCGTGATGGGAAACATTGGTCTTGGATATTAGTTCGATCTCGTGGTCGCAACCTAAGGTCCGCCATTGGGAAAGAAACATGGTAGTCGGTGCGCCTGTTTGGAAGACAGTATTAGCGAGTGGCAGCCGCAGCGTGTCGCGGTGGGTGCTGTCTCCAAGATTGTGCTGGGCTGTTATGAAGTCGATGACACCATTGTCCGATGGGCTAAGCTCTTCGGACGACACCGAACTATGGGGTGTGAGGAGAACATAAGCCATTCCCTCGAAACCCGTGCCTGCCACAGGTGGCTTGATACCATACTGCGATGCCTCATCGCCAGAGAGGACGCCCTTGTTCCCCAAGGCCCTGCTGACGGGAAGTTTGTCCACGACGGCACACAGAGCCTCTATAACGACACCTTTTCTGTCGAGAAGGCAACGGTAAGCCCGACGGATAGCGGCGCTGAGGAAACTGTTTTCATCGAGTAGTTGCGATGCATATGCCGGGGTTACGAAGAAGACGCAAAAGGTGTGGTTTAAAGCGTCCCGCTTCTTCACCATGTCAATATAAGTAACAAGAGAAGGCAACTGCGGAAAGAGTCAGCATTTTGCAATTCGTTGATGAGACTAATTTTTACAGTTCTTTCAACAGAAGCCGGTATGATTATCTTGCTAAAGAGCGGCTTGGGCCTCAAATCAACATCACTTGGTACTGGCATGCGCGCACGAAAGTGCATTGAACGGCATGGCGACCTGACGGCAATAGGGGCGCGCCTTACGGCTTGCCATTGTCGCGCCAACAGTAGAGGCATCTGTCGAGGCTCAATTGACCATGGCGGGGTGAGGGCGTAGGTTTGAAGAGGCTGTAACTTTAACTTTGGCTGGGATGCGTAAGTCAAGTTACGTAAGCAGAGCCGCAACAATTGCAATGAGAGCGATCGACCATGGCCGGGCGAACTCCTGTCACTCGCCAGCCCAAGCATTGTACCTGTCAATCAGCCCGCCGTACCCTCGCCTTGTTCGAGCAGCCAAAAGGGCGCCTCTGCCCCGTATTCCCAACAAAGTTCGCCCTCGATCTGTTTCGGTGCGCCGGCCAGGCCACGTCTCGCACACCTCCTTGCGCCGAACCACGCCCGCGACCTCACCACCACCCGTCCCCTCTGCTTCTGATGCGCCATCCATAGGCCCCTTTTATTCTGGCAGCCGCGGTTCGCCCTGTTTCCTGACCCTTCCGCCACCATGTCACGTTCATTTCGGCGCTCGAATCCCATCACCTTAATTCTGGCCGGCATCCTCTGCATAGGCTTCTTTGTATTCTTCTTTTCTGGCTCCGATGTCCCCTCGATTGCCAGAAAGGGCAATGGAGACGTCGCATCCAACCCATTGTCTCCGCCATCACTACCATTCCGCAAGTCAAAAGCAAATGCTCCGCTCGTCGCCCCGCCCGTCGTGCACTACTACATGAACAATGTGACCAACACGCGCACACCGGCCGAAAACGAAGAGACTGTTCTTATCCTCACGCCCCTGGCAAGGTTCTACCAAGAGTACTGGGACAACATCCTAAAACTCACCTACCCGCATCATCTAATCTCTCTCGGCTTCATAATACCAAAGACAAAGGAGGGCAATGCTGCCTATGCCGCGCTGCAGGCACAGGTGACCAAGACGCAGACGGGGCCCAAGAGCAAGCGCTTCGCTGCCATTACCATCCTCCGCCAGGACACCGAGTCCCCGCTCCAGTCGCAAGACGAGGCCGAGCGTCACAAGATGGAGAACCAGAAGGCCCGGAGGGCAGCCATGGCCAAGGCGCGCAACTCGCTCTTGTTCACCACCCTAGGCCCCACCACTTCCTGGGTCCTCTGGATAGACGGAGATATTGTGGAGACCCCACCTACTTTAATTCAGGATCTGGCCGACTACGATGTGCCCATCATTGTCCCCAACTGCTTCCAAAAGTACTACAATGAGGAGAAGAAGGCCATGGACATTCGTGAATACGACTTCAACAACTGGATCGATAGCCCTACAGCGCAAGCCTTGGGCGCCAAGATGGGCAAGGATGACATTTTGCTCGAGGGCTACGCTGAGATGCCCACCTACCGTAGTCTGATGGCCAAGATGTACGACAGCTCAGCAGATCCCCGTGCGAAGATCAAGCTCGACGGTGTAGGAGGCGCAACACTGCTGGTCAAGGCTGAAGTACACCGAGACGGAGCCATGTTTCCACCTTTTGCCTTTTACCACCTCATCGAGACGGAAGGTTTCGCCAAGATGGCAAACCGATTAAATTGGGAAAGCTTCGGACTGCCGAACTATCTCGTAAGTCGACCATGATTGATGTCTCAGAACATATGCTAATTCAAATCAGGTATACCACTACAATGAGAAGTGATTTTCAGGCGACGATTGCTATTTGTTTCCAGACTGCTCTGTTCTGGCGGTCATTGGGCGGCGTTTGGAGGGGAGATATAACTGCCGCATTGTTGTTTATTGTGAGCGTTAGTTCAACGCTCTCTGCATGTAGGATAGAGTAGACTTTATAGGTATCGCACAGCTTGCTGGCAAAGAAGGATGATACCAGCGAACATGTCAGAGTTAAAATATAACCATCCCACCATATCCTATATTCTTATGCAATCGTATCACCCAAGTCAAGTTGAACTTCCTTCCCGCCTCAGAAACTATACAAACTTCGACCACCAACACCGTCGCCGCCATGCCCGGAATACGCACGCCTCCCATAGGCCAGTCTACGCGGCGTTGTCCGCATCTTGCGTCAATCCAGCACGCAATCACGCACTTTTTCCCGCGGCTTTTTTTCTGTCCCTCTCCCGCTCTCAAACACCAAGCAAATAGCTCCGTGTCATGATCGATAAGACGAAATCACCAAACAAGCGGTCAGTCAGGATGCATACCTCCTGCGGGGAAACCTTTTTGTCGTCGCGTGCCCACCCCCCATCTCATGGGACCCCCGGTATATGATCTCCCCGACTTACGCTTCTCCACCTCGGTCCACAATGACGTTCACACTACTCCCACGGTTTGTGCATTCGCGACGACGCACCCTGCACCGCGGAACGTGAGATAGAGATTACCTTGCAGGAAGCAGACGTATCGCAAAACCTGGGTTCATGGGACTGGGGTATTCCTCGGAAGGTCTAAAGAGTCGGGGAGGGTGATTGTATATTGTTTTTGGTGGAGACTTACGGTACTTGTACTGCATCGTACACCGACGCTTCCTCGATCACGGTCGCGATACTACGACATCGCGACATCGCTACTATGCCTACTGCCGCCGCGGGCTCGCCCAACGGCACTAACACTCGTAAACGCAATACAGCTTTAACGCCGGACGAAAGATCACCCATTTGTCGTCAAGAATCTGACACAGCAGCAAAAGACTACAACACCATATCATCAGAACAGAACACGACTACGACGTCTGCCCCAGCAGCAGCAGGAACAGAAGAACAACCCGCTATCCCACTCGACCGAACAGCCAGCGCACAACGCGTCGCCGCCGCTGTAGAACGTGAGGAGAAAAGCGCATGGAGCGGGTTCTGGGAGAAGTACGGGAGTGTAGAGCTGGATAATAAGGGTAGTGTTGCTAGGGATCATTTGGCTTTGGGTATATCTTGTTCTCTCTTCACCCCTGACCCATCTCACTAACAACCCCCAGAACGTACCTTCCTAGCTTGGCTTCGCACCTCCCTCTCCTTCGCCTCCATCGGCATAGCAATAACCCAACTCTTCCGCTTAAACACCTCCCTCGCAAACAGCCCCTCATCCGACAACTCATCCGCCTCCTCCGCGCAGGCAAAACTGCGACATCTGGGGAAACCGCTCGGTGCCACATTCATCGGGATAAGCATAGTGATGCTTTTGATAGGATTTCACCGCTACTTCGAGGCGCAACATTACGTTATACGGGGTAAATTCCCCGCGTCGAGGGGAAGTATAATACTGGTTAGTGGGATAGCGGGGGCGCTGATAGGGAGTAGTCTGGTTGTGATTTTAGTCACTGCCCCGGGGGCATTTGAGACGTGAGAAAAATACAGGTGATAATGTTTGAGACCATTTGGTGGGAGTGGGAATTTGATTCGGGTATCTTTGTTCATTTCCGTAGTATGCATAGGCCTTCCGTCCTTTCCTTCATGTCGAGGGAAAACGGCTGCGTTTTTCTTCCTCTCCTCCACATGATCCTAATCTCCCATCATGATTCGTGAACTACCTGCCATTGACCGCGTCGCACTTACGGGATAGTCTTCCTAATATACTAGACAATCTTCTGCCCAACGAAGCGGTACCGATACTGTCAAATCGCTCTACGATCCTTTCGTAATCATCTCCGTCATTTCCTCGGTACTCTTGCCGGCTCGTGATGACTTGATGATTTTCTGGATCATGTCCTCAACAGCGTCCCAATCTGAAGTGTCGATTGGATACAGTTCAGTCTTGTAGTAGGACGCGATGTTATGCAGTTGCTGCCAGCTGTTCTTGTCATGGATGAAGGTGAGGGCGACACCGACACGTCCAAAGCGACCGGTACGACCAATGCGGTGAAGGTAGGTTTCCGGGTCTGCGTCGATTCCATTTGCCATAGTGGGTACATCCTGCATTTGTCAGTACGATCATCGAGTGCATTTATCATTAGACGGTGACTTACGTAGTTGATGACCATGGTAACAGACTCGACGTCGATACCACGAGCGAGCACGTTGGTAGTGATGAGCACCTTGGCTTCTCCAGAGCGGAACTGGTCGATGATGCGATCACGCTCAGGACCTTCGAGAGCACCACTGAGTTGTGCAACCTTGTGGCCTTCTGCAACCATGCGCTTCTCGAGCTCTTCAGCGGTCCTTCGGGTTCGGACGAAGATGATTGATGAGGCTTGTGTCATCAGACCGTAGAACTTGAGTAGAGTCGAGTACTTGTCGTTGTCCTTGTCGATATCGATGTATAGCTGCTTGATGCCCTCGATAGTCAGCTCGTCGTGCGCCAGGGTGATCAAGTTGGCGTTGGGTGCGAAGCGCTTGGCGTATGCGATAACGTTGGGTGGGAAAGTAGCGGAGAAGAGGACAGTTTGGATATCCTTGTTAAGGAGCGCCTTGACACGAGTGCACTGCTCACCCATGCCCTGCTGATCCAGCATGTTGTCAGCCTCGTCCAGAACCAGAATCTTGATGGACTTGTTGTTGATCAGACGGCGCCTCAGCATATCCTGGACTGTCCCTGGTGTGCCGACAAGAACCTGGGCATTGTATGCTTGCCCCTTCCTTGACGGATCAGGAACTGCGGCCATAGTTGTGAGACCGTCCATGAACTGACCCATGTGTGTGATGACGCCTAGAATTTGACGGGCGAGCTCTCGGCTGGGTGCGAGCGCGAGTGCTTGCGGATTGGGGTTCGAAAGGTCGATGCGAGAGAGAATGTTCAGTGAAAAGGCAGCTGTCTTGCCAGTTCCTGATTGGGATTGCGCAATCATGTTTTGAGGCGGGTCCATCAGAAGCAGCGGCAGGGCCTTTTCTTGGACCTTTGAGGGTTTTCGGAAGTTCATGTTGCGAACGCCCTTCAGCAGCGCCTCGGATCTGCTGTTGTTAGCATGGTCTAGTCACGATGCGGAGAAACCTACAGTTTAAGCTCTTCAAACGACGTGGCCGAGAACAGAGGGTTGTTGGGGTCTGCCTGCAAGTCGGCAAGCTTGACCTCTACCTTGTATGGGGTGTCGACCAAATCAGCACCCTTTGCCGGTGCGCCAGCGCCATCGACTTGATCAGTCTCGAGCGAGCTTTCAGGCTCTTGCGCGGGTGTCTCTTCTACGGGAGCCTCTGCCGCCGGGGCCTCAGCCTCTTGCTTGATGGGTGTCTCCTCAGTGGATGCCATGGTGCGCGATTATTGGTGTTTCCGCTTTGTGTGAAGCTGAGGAAGGCGCGTGCAGTCGATCCGAGGAAGCGACGAGCGGTGTAGTTAAGAAGCGGCGGCCTGGTATGGTGTCGACAACCTTGGTGGGGTGCTCGTAGATGTTATTATGCTGTAATGTGGCAATGGAAAGAGTAAAGTAGCTCGGTGTGAGCTTATATGCCGCTACAAGGAGTTTGTCGTGTTTGCTGTAGCAGGAGTGGGGAGTGCTTGTTGCTTGTCGAACCAAGAACGCGTTGGAAATTGTGAGCTCATGTCGACAATAGTTGGCGGGGCTGCGGCGCTAGCCGGCTTTAGCGCACGAGCCGCATGAACAGGGCCCCGAGCACATGTGTAGTCGCGACCGACAGTGAAGCCAGCTCCATGCTTTTTCATGCATATTGTATTTAACTGCAGAGCCGCTATTCACGGCATAACACAATAGAAGGACACTAGAACTATAGCAATTCATAACGTCACCGGAACTGTTCCCGGTTTTCCCTTCTCGGCACGCTCCGCCTCTCTGCCATTCCTCCAGCCCCACTTGTTGGGCAGCGGGTAACTTAACCAAGACACCTGGTGTAGTCCGCGTAACCCTTCCCGTCCTCGCCCCAGAAGTCCTTCACCCTCTATGTCTGGGGTACCGGTCCCCGTTGTCTTAGTGTTCGATTCATACATATTCCTGGAATCATGGAGGTTGACATTGCGCCCCAGTTCGGCGCTGAACTGAAGGTATGCGGACTTCAGACGGCACTGCCGAGTATGGCCTGACAGCTGACAATCACAGGATGGCTTCAAGTCAGTCAACGCCTGGGTACGTTACCATGCCTCCTACATTCCCGATATATCCACGCGCATGCGACGCGAGCTGTGCGACTTGCGCTCCTGGTTGCTAACATCCGTGGTTGTAGGTTTCTGGCGGCATCTCCTGGCTCGACGACATCCAACAGTTCTACCGAGAACGAAGCGCTATAGAAAAGGAGTATGCGGCAAAGCTCAGCGCGCTAGCCAAGAAGTACTATGAGAAGAAGGCGAAGAAACAGACCAGCCTGAGTGTGGGCGACACCCCTACTGTCACCCCAGGCTCCCTCGAATGGTATGACGATCGCGGCTCTGCAGTCGACGTAGCTGATCTTGCTGCAGTGCTTCTTTGACCACATGGGGAGTCCAATTAAACACCCTAGAGTCGCGCGCCACAGAACACGATCAATTCGCCGGCGCCCTCATCACCCAGCTCGCAGACCCCCTGAAAGTCCTCGGCACCCGCACTGAAGAATTGCGCAAACTTCACGGCGACTATGCTGCCAAGCTAGAGAAGGAACGCGACCACCAGTATAGCGAGCTGCGCAAACAAAAGGGAAAATACGACAGTGTCTGTCAAGAGGTAGAGAGTCGGCGCAAGAAGGTCGATGGCGCATTCGACCACGGCAAAGGCAAGGCGCGGAATGCCTTTGAGCAGCAGCAGGTTGAGATGCGCAATGTCAAGGTATGTTATATGCCAACTTGTACGCTTCGCTGCTGACCGTGGTAGAACACATACCTCATCAGTATCAATGTGACCAACAAGCAAAAGCAGATGTACTATCATGAGTACGTCCCAGAGCTACTAGACGTAAGTATGTCCACCAGATCCTTAGCACACTGTTGACGGTCGCAGAGCCTACAAGATCTTTCGGAAACACGGGTCAACAAGCTGAACTCGATATGGTCCCTTGCCGCACAAATTGAGACGCAAACTCTCATGCGAAGCACCGACTATTTGAAGCACCTCTCCGGCGAAATACCGCGTAACAACCCCCTTCTCGACTCCATGATGTTCGTACGACACAACGCCGGTGCATGGCAGGAACCGGGCGACTTCCAATTCGAGCCCAGCCCGGTCTGGCTAGACGACAATGCTATCGCCGTTGACGATTCGGCGACAGTTTTCTTACGCAACGTGCTCACAAAGTCAAAGGCTGCATTGGCAGAGCATCGGCGTGAGCTCGAAAAGAAGCGCAAAGAAGTGGAAACAGCCAAAACTATACGGCAGAACATCAGAGAAGGAAAGGACAAGAGGGACGAAGTAGACATTGTTCGCTCTACCTTTGCCATACAAGAGGCGATGCACGAAGTCGAACGCCAGAAAGTGAGTGCCGAAGTCGAAGTCTCGACCATTACTGCCGTTGTAGGTGATCTCAGCATCGGTGCAAGAAACCACAATTTCAAGTCGCAGACGTTTAAGATACCCACAAACTGTGATCTGTGCGGAGACAGAATATGGGGATTGTCTGCAAAAGGATTCGACTGCCAGGACTGTGGTTATACCTGCCACAGCAAGTGCGAAATGAAAGTACCAGCGGACTGTCCAGGTGAACAATCTAAAGTCGAGAAGAAGAAGCTGAAGGAAGAGCGACAAAAGGCAGCACACACAGTGACGGCGGCGGCAACGACAAACGGTACCAGTACAGCATCTACTGCGGACTTGCCGAGACTAGGACGAAGTGACACAGTCAATTCGATGAATACCCTAAGCTCCGGATACTCGGCGACCGCGCAGCGCTCAGTGGCTGGAGGCATGTCGCCAACTGCTGAAGAAACGCCACCCCCAGTAGAAAAGAAGGCCCCAGCACCAGCGCCGGGACCTAGGAAGAACCGGATAGTTGCACCACCGCCTGCACAATACATCAAGCCTGATAATGATTTGCCGCCACCTGCCCCCAAATCCAACGAAGTCAAGGGCAGGATGCTGTACGCTTACCAGGAGAATGGCGAAGGTGAGATAACAGTGACTGATGGCATGGATGTCACTATAGTAGAACCCGATGGTATGTCTTCCTGAACTCTCTTCCCCATTCCGGTATCCTCTGCGAATTACTCACGTCGCTCTACAGATGGTTCTGGTTGGACAAAGGTCCGCGCTGGTCACAAAGAGGGACTTGTTCCCGCGGCTTATGTGGAGGTCGTAGTTGCGACACCACCAACAACAGCATCTACCTTTTCATCAAATCGCCCAGACTCGACATACTCTGCCTCTTCAGCGTCGACTACCAACATTGCGGCTGCAGCTCCCGGTAAAAAGAAAGGACCAGCCGTAGCGCCCAAGCGTGGCGCAAAGAAGCTAAAGTACGTCGAGGCGCTATACGACTATACTGCGCAAAGTGATGTGGAACACTCCATGTCAGAGGGCGATCGATTCGTACTTATCAACATGGAGGCTGGAGATGGTTGGGCAGACGTGGAAAAAGATGGCGTTGTCCGGAGTGTTCCAGCCAACTATGTTCAGCAGGTATAGGTTACTTGTTTAGCCATCACACGCGCGAGATGAGCCGCCTCTGGTCAGGTAGTCTGGGCCTAGGGAATGTGGAAGAAGCTAGACAGATACCTTCGTCGTTGGCATCATTCGGGTTTGTACATAGTTGAACTACATATCATTACGTAAGACACAGCTGCACGCCAGCGAGACATTTGCACGAGTCTGACAATTTGACTTGCACATGCAGTGGCACCCTTGATGCAAACTAGCCACAATTCCTGGGTTTTAGGGCGAACATGTGGGGTACCAACAACTAGCGCAGGAACCCACGCATGTCATTACCGTGACATCGCGAGGTTGTTTCCTCGGTCGTTCCGCCATCAAACAATCATCCATAGGAACCTGTCGCATTGCTTTTGCATTGCATTCTACATAGCATGTTCATAACTTTTCCTAGAGTAGGAAGGGGTGCTAGTGTCTGTCATACTTGACAACAGGACTGTACAGGTTACAAGCTTCAGGTTTAACCCTCGCTTCGAAAAAGAAAGGTGACAATCATATTGAATTGATATCACTATCTTGTAGTTCTACGACAGTTTGCCACAAGTTGAATAGACTAAAGACCTGGCCATAGCAACGGCATCTTCGTACCCGCCCAGGTTTGCGCCATTGTTCCTCGCTGTGTAACATAAGGCCCTCGTGGAATGTGCTGTTCAAAGCCTAGCCAGGGGTCAATGTTATACGACATATTGACAGGACCACTTTGCGCAAAGCCCAAGGCCATGTGTAGGCCGAGGCATAGTATCGTCTTAGAATGCCACGGCTAACCGCTGCTACGCCACTGAGTGAAGCACTTGGTGTGTTCAGCTTCAAATAGACCAGTTGTAAATCTCCAGTGTATCTACAATGAAGTACTCTAGCGGCCCTGGCTGGGTACACGGAGGTAACACCAGTTATGGTGTGTTCTTTAGATACGTACTCAATGCCACTGTGTCACTAGTCTAGTTGAATATATCCATTGCTACTTCCTTATCGTCGATGCTCTTCTTCGCTGCTATTCCTGTTCTTGGTGCTGTCAAATCTATCAGTTCACTCTCAGTCATCTACCTCGTCCTCCGCATACCCTCGCCAGGCTGTACGCGCACTTGCTGACCCAGCGCCCTTTCCCACTCAACCAAAAGTCTCAATTGGCGCAAATTCCCCAATTGATTGCTCTTTCCTAGGCAGGCGGAACAGCCGCGCTAGCTAGACCCCGCCTTGGCACAGACATACAAATAACACGCCACCTTTGATCCTCCCACCTATTTCTCCAGGACAACACGCGCTGCAACACCAGACTCGATACTCGAAGTTGCCGGCTCCTGTTCTGTTCTCCCAGCCATTCTTTCGTGCCTCCATCTGGGGCTTTATCTCCATTCCACTCCTTAGGCACTGCCAGTATACTTCCCTGTTACCCACTCGATTGATTCACGTACACCGAAAGGCAAACAAGAGCGAGCAAAGCACTGTAACGTACCCAGCAGTGCCACTAGCTTACGCAAAGTCTCTTTGAGCACGCTGAAAAGAGGTTAGTCACTCACTCATCACTCGCACACATGCACACTGGCTCACAATGGATAGAGCTTCTCCTGTAGGATTACTGTACACGAGTTCTCGCCCGATATGAAGCTCGAGTACATCTTCACTGTCATTGCGCTTGCTGCGAGTACTGTAGCCAAGCCGCATCATCTGCACCGTCACGTTCATGCCAATGACCTGGCTAAACGCGCAGTCGCATTCGTACCCGCAGCAACTCAGACTGTATTCGTGTACTGGCTTGATGATCATGCTATCTCGGCGGAAGAGGCTCACCAGGGCGTCGCCAATGGTACCCTGATTTGGGGAGCTGATCAACTCCAGTCTACCGCACGTTTCACCGCGTTGCCCACACCGCCCCCAGCTTCCAAACAGCCAGAGCAGACCGCAGTGCCCACTCCAAAGCCAGAGTCAAAGACCCAGGAGCCGCTACTCAAGCCAACTCCATCTCAGCAGGCTTGTACTTGTCCCGAGAAGCCTCATCCCGAGAAGCCTCATCCTGAGAAGCCTCATTCACAGGAACCTGCACCGCCAGCTCCGACGTCATCAAACAGTCCTTCTCCCAACCCGAACCAGGATGTCCCGCCCAAACAGCAACCAGATACGTCGCCAAACCACTGGGCTGGTATGGTTGATAAGGATGGCCACTGTGCCGAGTGTGACAAGGTATTTCCCAATGGCAAGATCCGCTGCACCGAGTTCCCATACGGCTATGGCGCATTGCCCACAAAGTCGCAGGGACTGGGCGGCTGGTCCGGTATCCAAGATCCTCAATATTTCGGAGCGGATGGATTCGATAATATCCGAACAGTTGTGAAAGATTCATGCGCAGACGGCACCTGCTGTACGACTGGCAGCTTTTGCTCATACGGCTGCCCGAACCCATATCTCAAGGCTTCGTTCCCTTCCACTCAGGGTAGGACTGGCCAGAGTGTTGGTGGCTTATACTGCAACAAGGACGGCTATCTAGAGATGGCTGATGGCAAGATCGCCGATACGCTATGCGTGCAAAGCTCTACAAAGATGAGCGTCAAAGTACAGAACAAGCTTTCGAAGTCCGTGTCGTTTTGTCGCACCGATTATCCAGGTGAGTTGTATCTGCGAATCGTGAAACTATCACTTACTCACATACGTTAGGCACCGAGTCTATGACCTTCCCTGTGACCGTAGGTCCCGGTGAGACTGGCTTCCTAGCCAACCCAGATCAGCAAAAGTACTTCTTCTGGGAGGGCAAGAAAACCTCGGCTCAATACTACGTCAACAAACAAGGCGTTCCGGAAGATAAGGCCTGTACTTGGGGTACGCCCATGGGAGGCAAGGGCAACTGGGCGCCAGCGGTGTTCGGTACATCCTTTGACGATGGCCCTATGCAAACAGGCTTTTCCAGTTTGAAGCAGAACGAACTCTGCAAGAAGGAACGACTGGGATATGATATCACTTTCGTAGGAGAGGGTGTCGTCTCCGCTTGCAAGTACAAGAGTGCCACAAACCAGTGGTGTGAGGGCGACAAGTGCTGGGAGGATCCCGATCGTGGCTGCACTGTAAGTCTTGTTTCCTATTTCAAAACTGTAAAGAGATACTCACACTACTTACCAGGCCGCTATCCACGGTAACCTCACCATCGTACTTTCCGATGGCTAGCAACCTCTGTCGACCTTCCCACGATTCCCGCCTTTCTTTTCTCATACATACACTAGACGCCCCAGTTCTTCTGACATCATCTGATCCTATATTCCTCTTCAACATCAGCTTGTTACAGCTCATGTATTTCTGGTCAATACTTTCATCATGTCGATGGCCGGTCCTCGGTGGGCTATGGCTTACAAAATCTCGACGGAGTTTCTGGGGGATTCGGATTTCTTGCCTCGATTCACAGCAGGCTAGCTAACTACCTTTTCTTCTTCTTAATATCTATGGATGATTCTTTTTTCCTTTCTATTCTTTTCTTTCGGGCAGGGTTTACATGTGGATAATGATCATGAGCGCTTTCTCGATGGATGGGTCGGTGGTGGACCCTCCTGTTCGGATTTGTACTCCAAAAACTGCATTCATTTGCTGGGCATGGGTTATGATGATAGTGTGTATATTCGCTCGCTATGAAACACCCATTATACAACTTCTATATACCCCTGATACCTGACAACGGGACCTGACAGCGGGACCTGACAGCGGGACCTGACAGCTTTGACGTGCATGCTACAACTACATGAAAACGTTTCGCATTCATCTACTGAATCAACCAAACAAGAAGTCATGTACACTTGAAACAAGAATGAAGATAAAGACATTCATTTCATTCCGCCCAGAGCAGGGGTATCGTATCGAATTGTGCAAGCAAGCAGCAAGAAAAACGGCATACAGGGAAATACGATCTGTCCCCGTATATACCATGTACACAAGAATCCATGTAGTAACTGAAAGCCTTCAGTGTTTGAGGTCTTAGTAACGCGCTTTATTGCCCCCATTTTCTTACCCATGAAAGTGGCCAAGGCCTAGCCAATCGCGCCTGTTTGCGATGCAGAAAATGTACAAAAAGAAGATGGGTGTGAAGAGGCTAAAATCTGCAGGAAGAAGCAAGCTCGTATGGGGATGTTAATGAATTCCTCTAAACAGCGTAGCTCCGTTGATACCCTCGATGGAGATAGCTTACAAACTAGGGATAACGCATTGCGAGCAGCACCGGGCGCGTGGGTAGTATGGTGCCAAGTATCTCTGTACTATCTCTCAAGTAGGACCAGCAGTGAAGTCGATGAAGTTCGATGGGTCATTCATATCAACGCCGAGGGCAGGACCAAAGTCAGGAAAGGTATTGTGTTCTGGGGCAGTCATGTCCTCAAGTTGTTCCCCAGTGTGACCGCCGTGCGTGAGGCAA